CTAGCAGCAGCCGAACAGGGCAAGAAGAACAAATACCGAAACCTAGGCCAGGCTTTCAAACCATTTATCCTTAGCCAAGGAGGCCTACTGGGAAAGGAGACCTCGCAGACCTATAAGGAGCTGCAACAGTCCTTCTCTCCTAGTATAGCTGAATGGCTAGACAAGTACATCTCTACTTTACTTGTCCGACTCCGAGCCCGGAACTGGATGGGATACGGGATTAACTAACACTACACGATCTAAAGAAGGTAGACCACCTGTTTCCTTACCGCACCTAGGTTTCTAAGTTTAGGAGCATAATATAGCTTATATAGTATTGTATCGAAGTTCTGCAAACCCTAACCCTAATAAATACTAGTAGTATACTTAATATAACTATCTAGAATATTATATTAAGAAGCTATAGCAAAGAAAAAGTACTTAATAGAAATTAGGTACTTAGATAGTATTTTATATATAATATAATTAAGTATAGATATAGTCTAAAGTATATTCTTATTATATATATTACTACTACTAAAATAGCTATTTAAAGTTTTAAACTTAATAATAGTAGTAGGCTTAATAATAATATAATAAATATTAGTATAGCTAGGATAAGCCTAGTAACTAGCCTTTTTATTAAGATTAATATTATAAGGAATCTTATTATTATATTACTTAATAGACTAGGCAATAATATATTTATATAATAAAGATTATAAAATCTAGTATTATTAGATATAAGTAATAGCTAGATTTATAGTAGGATTATAATTACTATTAAAGTATTAGTAAAAGGTAAGTAAAAAGATAGTATTAAATATATATAGAGTAGATAGAAAATTTATTTTATAGGAAAAGAAATAATTATCTAATTATTTATATATAAAAAAATATATAAAGTTTTTATTATTAAAAAAAGAAAGCTTCCTTATACTTATAGAGTTTAAGTAGTTAAAAGCTATAGATAAATAAAAAGAATATATAGGATATTAGTAAACTTAGATACTAAAAGTATTTTTTTAATTTTTAACTTAGAGCTTATTATATATAAGTATGAAAATTATATTAGAATAATTACTAATTATTACTAATTATTACTAATTATTACTAATTTTTACCTAGTACTTACCTAAAGTTTACCTAATAAGTGATAGAAAGGTATAGAACTATAATAAAGATCTATACTCTTAAGCAAAGTAAAGGTTTATAAAGTAGTAATAAAGCTTATTGCAATAGAGGTAAGAGATATAGTATATATAAAGATATAAAGGAGAACCCAATATCCTATTTTTAGGTATAGAGTATATACCTTAGCACTAGCCAAATAAATATCGACTTTTTAATATACATGTCTTTCTTAATTCCGTCTTATTAGAAGAGCAAGTATGTTCTAAACATTCGGGCACAAGATTGTTTGTAATTAGTTCCATAGCATAAATGCTCTCGGCTTCGTCTTCGACAATATCTATGTGGCCACTAGAACCTGCCATCCTTCATCGAAGAACGAACAATGATAATCGACAATTCAGTCCACAACTACGTTTAATCTTCTTAGTTCTCCCATGACATCGCTGGTCCTCAGGATTTCCGATTTGTGAGAATTGATATAAACCATGACACAATAACGCTACGGACCCAAGAGAGATTGTTGAGCCGGGGACGAGAAGCGAGTGGGCTCCGGGAGACTGGCGAGATGTTCTGATTATCGCTCATGTTCAGCTCGGCGGTACAGGGAACGCCGTCCACTAGCTCGAAGAACAGAATATTGCCGTCTTGAAAAATCTCAGGTCCTTGTTCATAGGATTCGACCATGATATCAATGTTGAGGTATGCATTTTCAAGGTTCGCGATCGTTTTGGTAAAGATCCTCGTGGTCGTGAGCCATGAAAACACCGTTAGAACCCCAGCCGAAGCATAGCTCGGTGATGATGAGGAATTTCAAGGTTGTATTCCTGGCTTGCAGCTGTCTTCCCAGGCCGAGTACATTCTTGACTCGGAAAGATGAGGTGCTGCCGCTGTTGTTGGCTGACGTAAGGTTCTTATCGATACTAGTTTTGACCGTTCACAAGGGTGCAGTCAGGGGTCCGAGTTTATCCGCGGTCTGAGCTGTTGCGACGAAGCATGCGTCTGTGAATGTGGAAATGCCATCGTAGCTTAGACCGTTCGATGTCAAGGCTTGCAATATCCGGTCTGAGAGTTGAGAATCCCCAGTCATGTCGACAGAAATGTATTGTTCCACAACCGGAGGAGCATCAGACCGTTGTAGCCACTGAACTAGAGCTCCAACAACAGTAAGTCGAAGGCCAAGATGATAAACTGAAGCCAGCCATCTTTCCATGACGATGGGCGGACGACTTCCGACGAGGACAAGTCGAAAGTGACGCAGGGGATTCGGCACAGCCCAGGGATTACGAAGCCGATCTGACAGAACCCTGTTCATAGCTTCCATAGTCTCGTAGAGCGTGCCAGAAACCGGTGGCTTGACAACGACAGCACCAACGGCACAATCGAGAAGCTTGTTCAGGTTGCCATGCTGGTCGGTATTCATGTCATAGGCAGAGACTTGTTGTGCGGGGTCAAGAAACGACTCTGTGAAGTCATACATCTTACAGAATGTCAATCTCTACAACAAACAGTCTGATCGTACCACAAATCCGACTTGTAGGGATATGACTAGCTTGACCCCAACTTCTGTTTGAGTGGCTTTGTCAAGTCCCACCTTCGCTATTCAAGCGAGAAATCTGCTTGCTCTTTCGGAAGATATATTGTAAGTTAATCTTCCGTGTTTCAAGTTCTGACCGGATTGATATCCTTGTTCATGCAAGTAACGTGCTTCCTGGTCGTGATATATTATGATTTTGATCAACAGGAGAGTTGCAGCATCTAGAAGAGATCGTATCAGACTTTCTGTCTATGTTATATCGAGTGTGTGCTAGCGTAGAAGTACATGATAAGCCTCTTAGTCTATATTGTAAACAAGATCACTTATCGGCTGATTGACAAGAAAGAGTATGGCAAGCAACATAACTTTCAGATGTAGTAGCTAAGCTACAAGATACATAACAGTCATGGTTACTATCGTCAAAAGACTAGCAGCCCGGCCGATACTGCCTCCACGCCCGGCCGCACTCTCCATGCCCGAACCATTTGTCTCGATAGCATTAGCAAAGTCGTTCGAGTCGATAGCCTTTAGACAATGGAAAGAAGACTGTCGTAGACGATCAGAAGACGACGCCGAGTTCTCCGTATCGAAGAACAAGCTCATTACTGGACTGTATGCAAACCATGAAAAGCTTTTATTGGTGCTATAGTTGAATGAGTAGAGAGGAGTGAGCTCATTTGTTTTCGGAAGTGTCGGCCAGCAATTTGACGATGCGTTCGTAGAAGGTAAGATAGGTTCCGGGGCATCAGATCCAGTGAGAACTACTGGATAGACTGTGTAAGGGTAGATGTCATTCTGTTGCAATCGTGAGCACGAGGCTGGTGACTTTCTCGATATTGAGTCGGCAATGTTTGTGCAAATCGTTGTACTGTTCTGCTCATCTGTCGCTGCGGCCGCAATCTCGAGCGCGGCAGATTGGAGATCCTCCAGGCATTGGTCACCAGTATCCATACCAAGCCCCCAGCTGCAAGAATCGGATGTGACTTGAGTAGGATCGCCCGAGCCGTACGGAAGAACAAAGCCATGACTGTCGGGTCTGTCGAAGATGAGGGCACACCCTGTGTAGCTAGCATTGGCCAAATCGGTCCCGGGAGGCGTACCAAGGTAGAACGATCGTGTGACACCAGGTGTGTTTACATGGCCACCATACAGATAAGGCTCAGGCTGCACACCAAGAGTCCATGTGAAGTTACCAGCAGAGGCGTCAATCGGATTCGGTACAGTCTCAATGCCAACCCAAGTATGGTCTTGTTCCTGAACCTGACATGATGGTTCTTCGTGATCAGGTGAGAGATTTGGACAATGAATTGCCGCGCAGCCAAGAAGGGTCTCGCCAGTAACAGTCGTTGAAAAGATCGATGCTAGAAGCACGATCGTTGAATAGATTATCGCAGAATGCATACTGAAGGACGATTGGAAGGGTTGCTAATCGGTACAAGGTAGTTGATGGCTGCGCGGCTGATAATGACTTTTATATTCTGATACCTTACCGCCTCGTGTCCGACCACAGAGGAATCTTGTCAGCACAATTGGATGATGCCAAGCTATGTAGTCATCGCCCAGGATCGATCGTCTGAACATGCAAGCGGAGCCGCGGAGTAGCAAAGCCTCCCTACCTGTTCACAGAATAGGTTGTGCGAATGATGGGCTCAGCGTGCTACGTTAGCGTGACGATGTGTAACAAGGCCGATAGCGCTGTGATCGCTACATACATGCTCTGTACAAGACACATGCTAAGTCGTCATTGCCTTTCTTCCAAGACTTATAGAGAGATCGAGCGGCAAAATTTATGATCATGACACGATTATCGCTTGGCTGCTTGGCTGCTTGGCGTACATGTCTTGTGAGGTGCTTCACTCTCGAGACAGATAAAGCCAAGCTACACGGGAATAAGCCTAAGGATTCCGCGGAAACAAGACTCACTTTCAAAGTCTAATTTAACCTCACGCCAAATACAACGTTAGCATGCTCCAATAATGAATCGTGTGGATGATCTCCTAATCCTACGATGGCGGTGCTCAACTTCCACTATGCAATAAGCTATTGCATTAAACACCACGAATTGTTTCCCCTGAGGTCGCTTCGAATGACATCGACGAGTCGCGCATGTTTTGTCTCGAGTGTCGTCCATATAAGCGTTAATTATACCTCTCCTTACGTTTGGGGGTGATTCGCGGCTCTAGCTAACGCGCTTCTCTCTCATCCTCAACTGACCGGACACGTTGACATCCAAGCCCGTAGAGTATGAATCGCAATTTGCTTCCACGTGCATGATAATCCTTGTGGCTGCATGCTCGAGCATGTCCGACTTAGATCGCGCCTACGAACACGGCAGGTCTGTCTTAACAATTAGTGCAGAGTTTGAGACGATCTGTACGTATATTCAGCGGCCATGGAAGCTGCGTATCACGATCTCCAAACATCTTGCAGTTCCGAGGACAAGACTCATCTTTCCTTCACTATGTATTGAACCGGGTTTTTCTGAGCGCTTTTTTTTCCTTTTGAGACACTGATTCTGTTCTGGTTGAATAAAATGAATGAGCCAGCTTAGCAGTCCCATGCGCTGTAAGAAATTTGTAACCCTATAGATACTCAATTTTACCTCCAAACATCTGTGCATCGTCGCGCACTACCTCTGGCTGGAACTGCCCCATTCAAGATGCGTACAGAATACGAAGATACTTGCTGCCACTTGCAATACTACTATAAGCCGATGACCTACCCTAAGCGGGGTGGTCCGCTTGCGGCTGGTAACCATCTGAGTATGCAGGAAATAATGATACGACTGACGATATGTAGCAACCGATCACCTTGGCGTAGAAACTCAAGACCTTGGCAGGTTCGAAAGTCAATTCAGCTCTCCTCAGATGGTTGTGGTTCGCTGTCTGTACAACTACAGTTCGAAGATCAGACTTCAGCCCGAGCTTGGCGAAGGATTTCATTGTATCCACGAAGGGTCTGACTGGGTCAATTGCATTTTCGATCTGGATTATGGACCGAGGATGCTCTCACCCCAGCCAATCTCCTTTGTGTTGATGCCTTCTGTCGCCGAATGCTGCAGCTTCGGTGCACTGCACTGTTGGGCATGTACGTATATAAAGCCCTCCTGCTTCCTTCCCAACAACCATATTCTCGCCTCACTCTCTACATTTTCCTTGTATCAGACTTCAAAATTGCTCCTTCACTCTTTCCAAGATGGCTACTGCTCTAGGCGTCATCTCCAGCGCAATCTCGATCTTCAACTTCGCCGAAGGCTTGTTCCCTGAGCCAAAGACTTATCACTCCAAGCTAAAGATCTATGTTGGTTTTAACACTCAACCAACGACAGATCAAGATTCTCCAGACAACGGTTACAAATACAATGGCAACGGCGGCAACTCCGGGTCCTTGGCCAACGCTGCTGGCCGCTGCCCTGATATTCGACTCTGGGATGATGCCGAGAATTTCCTTGGCATCACAAACGATGACTCCTACATTCAAGGAGGTAATTATGCCCAGAAGGAGGTTAACCACGGCAGTAGCAATGCCGGCTCTGCCTATGGAGTCTTCACGGCCAACGATGATGCTATCTGCATGGCTTATATCCTTAACAAGTGGCCTGACGGTCAGTCATACGGCTGGACTGGAGGCTTCGGCCGCGTGTGTGGCCACAGCTGGTATCCTTCGAGCGTATCTCTCGGCGGGCACTATACAAATTGCATCTGGCTTTCGAATAACGGAGCTGCCACTGATGTCACTGCCATCCAAGTTCACTTCCCCGACTTCGAAGACAACGATCTGAACAGACAATATCATGGTGTCGGAGCCAATGCCGGTAGTTATTGTCAAATTCCCAGTCTCGCATTCGACAAGGACAACGATCCCGGTTACATCCTCTACAAGCGCGGTGACAATAAGACAACCACTTCATTGATCACTTCTGTTGCGGACACTGTCTCCGACACGATCTCAGGTGCGGTGAAGCAGCTTCGCACCGGTAATCTTCTCAACGATACCCGCCTCGTCCAAAGTAACATCCCCGAGCACAGCGCAATCGACCTTTGTGAAAGCGAGACTAGTGTCGGTCCCGATTTCGTCTCCACCGTGGAAGGCATGATGTGCGACATGGGCACTAAGCAACACATGCCTCTCTGTGCCGTTGGTGTGCTTGGCAGGTGTTTCGATCTTAAGACCACGAGTGTCTTGGTGGACGGACTTCTGAGCGCTGTAGAGAGTATCTGGAACTATAGCAACATCGAAGTTTGGGATGAAAGACGTGCCGAGGACGACATGTAATCTTGTTACCTCTTGGTGTATACCATTTATACGTTGTCCCTGGAGGAAATAAATAAATCATTAGTGACTTAGCCGTGCGACAGGAGCTCGCTTTTGTATAACGAAAGAAGAGATTGCATTCCAAGTTTTGAAGTGGTCTAGGGTTCAAATACCCCTTGTATACAAATCTATAGTTGACATATCCGTCATTTGTAGAAAGTAGGCACTTGCCTCTGGCCATGGAAAGTGGTAAGCATGAAACCGGTACAAAACCCATGTCACTTTGTTGACTCGTTCTTTCGCCAGCTAAGCAACCGTTCGCATCTAGCTTCTACTTCACACTTGACACTTAGACGAATTGATAATGAGAGAAGGATATAAACTCACTACGGTACGGGTTCTAAGTAGCAGTTATGCTCTCCACAGGAAATTTTCAAGGTCTTGATATTGCGTATAAGAACCTTGTCTTCATGGGATATCAATGACATGGCGAGATAGTTTGACGAGAATGCAGAGAATGCACTGGTTAAAAGGATCCACCGCACAACTCAGGCTTTTAGTGAATCTGCCTACGCTCTCACGCTTTGGAAGATAGCAACAGCACTGCTTATTGCTTAGAAGTTCCATCAGCGATATGAGAGGTCGATACAGCATGACCATGTCATGCAAACGGCTTGTTCGTTCGTCCGTTGAACACTCTCATGAGACGGGTGACCAATACAAACATCAGAGGCTTAAGCCAAACATGCCCTAACTACTCGCAGCATCTTGACAAGCCGACTCGCCTTTCGCGATTCGCCATGAGTACTGGAACACGCCTGAGCCTACATCAGCGAAGTATCACCAGATTCCACATTATTCAGTCAAGACCTGCCGAACAGGCGTGTCCCCTCCGTTGTCAAACTTCCGGTGAAGACTGGTTCGGGCATTGGGAAAGAGTGAGAAGGAATGATTGTCAATGTTGTGTTTTCGTGTTCGAGAGATGAGTGATCAATAGAAATATTACAGGCCACATGGCCAATTCAGGTGTAATTATGGCGTCAGACCTTCGAAAACGCAGTCATCGGATCAGCGATCTTGTTTAACTGAGTGCGTCGGAGATGAATTGAGGCGATACGTGAATGTGAAGGTACACCCTCAAAACGCCTGTTGATCTCTGGCTCCGTGGATCCATCTTATCTCTTGCACAGTGGGTGTGCACATCCGTTTGATAGCTGCGACTGTGTCGCGAACGCAATTTGTCGGAGCTGTAGTGATGCAGTCGAGAGTTTTGCTGATCATCGAGCAGCAAAGCCCACCACCCTCTCCAAACCCACTGCTCAGCCTTTACTCTCCCTTGCACAGATCGACTCTTGTTTCGTCAAGCTTAGCGGCAGGCGATTGTGATGTCGATACTGGTTCTCAAACTACTTGAAATTATCTGAATGAATCAACGAGACAGAGGCTGATCCATACTGCACCTCGACCCAAATCTTGCAATGGCAGTCTGTTCGTCAAGCTATTGGATCAAATTGACGTGACATACGACCTCTACAGGCGGCCCATCACTCAGCACTTTGTGCCGATCGTCGATGGCACCTCGCAAGAAGACCATAGACTGAAGCAGCAGAGTAAGCCTATGAATCACATACCTTGAATCTCGGTCCCCAGATCCACGAGCGGCACGCGTAAGTTTTCTGAAATGGACTCACAGACACAGCAAGTGCAGAGCTCGCAGCATTAGCATCAAATATCGCATTGTGAAAACTGCGTCTTTCCTTTGCTACATAGGCCAGAGCTCGAATCGCTTGGACCGCTACTTTTAACAAGCGCGCAAGCCACACTGAATTCTATGAAGAATTACAAATATCGCAGACTGGATTGGTCTTCGCTCCTGGCTCCTGACTATATCTCTTAGCTACCAACAGCGTAACAGAAGTCAAGACTATACGACTTGATTGACCTATTGACTGTGGCTCTGACCTTGGCTCTACTTGGTGATACCAGCCTGAGTACTCTTCTGATAACCCGGAAACTGCATCAGCTGCTCATCATCGATGTGCTGTAGCTGTGGGCAGCCCAAGACACTGAGCACGCTACCCAGGGCCTTGTTCACCACGTTGAACACGCTCAGTGCGACATCTGGCTTGGCTTGTGTGGCAAATTGGAAAGCGAAGCAAGCGGCATTATTGCCCTGGAGCAAGCCTGCAGCGTTGAAAACGCCTCCTGTGAGATTGGTGACATCAACACCGGTGAAAGTGTTTGTCTTGCCGAGGTTACCGCCGATGTTGAGGAACTTAGGCTGTGTCAGGGGCAAATGTTAGCTGTGGTCTTGAATGATCGAAAGAACTCCGCTTTGCGATCTACATACGTGAAGAAGTGCAGCATTCAGGAGATCCACCTGGAAGTAGGGAATCGAGTAAGGATATGCGATCGCGCGTTTATACTGGGACAATCATTAGCTATCAATTGAGCCTCGGGTTTGTATCGTTGGACCTACCCAATTGTTGGGGATTTGCTCTTGGCCTTGGTGTGCCACATACGAGCCCTGTGAGCCAGTGATGCCAAACCAAGATTTGATTGTATCATAGCTCAGGTAGCCATATGGGGCTTCGGCCGAGTGGTTGGCCATGAAGCGGTAGATGAATGTGTACCTAATGAGAAGCTTCAGCATACATCAAAACGCAAAGACGGCCTTATTTACGCTGCAGGTTGCACTAGCACACCGGTGAATGGACCATTGAAGAAATAAGGGTTGTTGGCTGTACTAGTCAGCATGTTGCGCGTCTTTTGCATGTTCTCTTATACTCACCAATTTGAGTGTCGAATCTCACGGAGCGGAACGCAGTGAGACTTTCGAGAGTCACTTGACCGCCGGGTGACATGCTGATAAGTTGTTCAAATTGCTTAGCAACGGTTTTATAGTCATTGCCTGCTTCGTACAGATCAGGACGAGTGGGCGAAGCATCGCTTTCGTACCTGGAAGCATGATTAGTGGTTTTCTATGAGCTTGGACAATGACTTTGGGCAGCTCACTTGTTGTGCGAGCCAGAAATGCCATTGCCTAGACCGGAGAGAGGAAGGCCAACACCTGGGCCTGGTGTACCACCGATCGACCACGATAAGCCATCGCCATCGATAGCCGCGCCGTAGACAGACAGGAAGGCGGCAAGGTCGGGTCCCATACCCACGACCTCGCTGGTGGCTTCGATAAATTGTTCAATGGTAGCATAGCCATTGTGCGGCAAAAAGTTGTGGTTTGCAAAGGCATTCAATCTAGAGACGAGGTCAGGAGACAAAGATCAAGAAGTACGAACGAGAGCCTTACCCGGGGCAGGGACCGCGCAGATCGTTCGGTCCTGGTGCAACATATTCGTGTCCACTTCCTGCACTGACGTTGCCGTATTGCTCCGCAGCATTGAAAATGGGAACCGGCTCAAATAGAGTCTGAGCAGCAGCGGCGCCAGCTTGTCTCTCTTGGAGGATCTCGTTCGCACGAGCCTGAAGCCCAGGATGGTACTTGACAGCTTCCAGAACACTGGCAGGGAAGGCTGCAGCAAGAGGTGCAAGACAGAGCAAAGCTTGAAGAATTCTAGGCATGGCGAGCTAATCTAAGATTGTTTCGGGATGATCTTGAGGAGTAGAGAGTGGAATTCATCAGGCACTCAGCACCTACCCTTATATGTCTCCGCTGCCTGTCTCGTTGATCTCGTCGACTTTCGGCATGCGTTGGCATACGTGACAGTTCTTTGAAAGATCTGCGTTCGCCATCGCACAAAAGGAGAACGCTTTGCAGGTCGTTGCAATGTGGAACGAAAACCTTGGTATGTCACGAGTGATCAGCAAAACATCGTACCTCGGCGACTTCTGCAGTCGCAAGACGGACAAGATATTCTGGGGCAGCGGTGAAGATCAGCATGAAGATCTCACCCGCTTGGGTAAGGCGGTTCCGCAGGCGTGGTTATGCTTCAATAAACCTTGCTAACTTGTACCCAGGCGATTCTCGAATCCCCGCAACCCCGCAAACCCAACCCCAGGTTCCCCGCGCGACGGACCACTTCCAATTTAAAGGGGTCCCAGTTTTGGCAGGTGCTTTGAGCGAGGCATCGGAGAGTTCAACGGTCGGAGACGCGAGTGCCCTGGAACAAGCAAGTCTCCAAAGTCTGTCGGTGTCTTGGTATGCAATACAAATCAATTAGTCTTGTGTACATTGATGTGTCGAAAAAATACGCAGTAGATCAGCACTGGCACCCCTGGGATCAAGCGACGCTGTTGAAGCTCAAGGGATCGACGACATGCGGGTTTTGCGGTCACACAATCTGGTGTCTTAGCGCCAACGAGGGCCCTCCGAGTCACTTCATTGGCTGGCATAACGAGCGCCCCGTGCCTCCAGCACACCCACACCATCTGGTACTTACTGCAAGGTCGTTCTTGAATCGGAAAGTCAGACATCTGTCCGTGACTTCATTGCCATGTACAATCGCCTCAAGAAAAAAACGCCTGGTTTTCCTGAGAGCTGTACCAAGAAAGGTCTTGTATGCCGAATCGCGCACAATGTCGAAGAAGTCTGCGGTATCGTTGGCCGCAACGGTTTCTACAAGAACTCAGCGTTCGGCCCCAAGTCTGGACTGAAGATCTCGATACCGAGGAGGACAAGCGCGAGATGGTGGAGGAGAAGATCATTGCTCTTGTCCAGATAGGAGCTTGGCACGACGGCATTGATCGAACCGACAAAACCTACCTGTCTGGCAGCGGCGCGGTTCCAATTGGACATAGCTTGATAACGGCGATTTTGAAGTCGTCCATTGTGTTGCTTGCACTCACTTGCATCCGACACAGGTCAGACCCGCCAATATTAGTATCATGTCAAGCAATTGATGTCGTAAAACACGAATTCGAAACGACAGGCCATGTCGACGCGCTATACTAACGCTGTAGTCAACGGTACACTTGAGGCCGCCTTCACGTACAAGAAATTTGATGGTATCAAGAGGATCTCTGTACCTCCGCACGTAAGCTCTGATCGTCTCCTACCTGTGAAAGATCCGTTGGGCTAACAAAACCAAGTTTGCGGGCCTGGAACAGGACGATGTCATCTCCAGAGAGTGGCTTCAGAAGATGGAAGATTGGCAGCACAAGCTCGACTCAAGCATCAATTGAATGCGGGCGATGTTCTTCCTGTTGGCGTAAAGACTCTTCTCCCGTCATTGCGGTACAAAGAGGCTGACTTGTTCTCACTGGAGCTTTGCTGCACAGCATGGCCGTTGGGCCTGCGAGGGCGACCGCAAGGTGATGGTCAGCTTCTGAGATTGCAGCACTAACAGCGTTATCGTATGAGTAGTTCCAACCCTGTTTTCCTTACGCCCCTCGTTGTATCAAAACCGTGTCTTTCTTTCTCGGGGTGCGAGCCTAGCTCTTTATTTAGTCATCTTCATCCAATGATTGACTGCTCTACTGGTGTATTCGTTGTCGAGACATGTGGCAAAGTGTGCGCCTACCAATCACACCTTCACCTGAAGATCTGGCACCTGCGCTCGGGTCATTCGTCCTCTTTCGCGCGGACAGGCATTCCTGGCCTTGGACATCAGCTGTAGCGAGCAAATCAGCAAATGATCACTTGAAGATCCGTGATGAAGAGGAATCGCGAAAATCTGTCATGCAACAATCGTCGTCGCCGAAAATTTAAATGCAATAGTGTAACTCCTACGTGTAGCAGATACCGTGCAACAGGCAATGCCAAATCTTGTACTCACGGCCGCCTAGAAACAGAATTCCTGCAGTGGTCCAATGGCCGTGACGAGGAAAGTCAATCCTAACTCTTCTGTTTGATGCGCTTCGAGCCGAAGCTCTTGCCGCGTCCCTGTTGACTAATCATCGCCAGCTTGCGGCCGAAGCCACTGCGGCTGACATGGCTGCCTCGAGAATGACCACGAACAAGAAGGAGATCATGATCTACCAAGGCAAACTGTTTGAGACTCATTACTTTGGACTGACCCGTCCCATCAACTGGAACGCTCGTTTATGTCCTGCCCTTCCCCTGGCATCTGGCCCAAAACTGATCGCATCAGTTTCCCGCATTGCAAACGCTCATGGTCGAGTCTATAAGAGAGGATGCGACGCTTGCACAAGTCCAGAGGTCATTGAAATCATTACAGCTGCGGTCGAAGTAGGCGAGATCGACATCAATTCCCTCGGGTGAGATCGACGTTCAACGCTTAGTCAGTCGTCTGTCTGATCGGACGACAACAGATCGCTTGGTGAAAGTCTACTGGGAACTTTTGATAACATTGATCGCATACTACACAAACCTGACTTTTGGGCTGCCTATCATGCTCTCTGGGACAATTCCTTGACTGCCTCGGCCGTCATCTTGTTACGCCGCTTCTCGTCGTGGCCACAGTCGAGTGTGTCTGCTCTCAAGAGCACATGTCATACATCGGCGACAGCTACACACTACGTGAATGAATTGATAGAAGTATGCGAGTTTTGGCTCGACCGTCAAAGTCAGAAGGACATACCGCCAGTCCACTGGCTACCGAATTATGCTCCAGGAAACATGAGCCCAACGCACGACACGCTCTCGGTAGAACAGTTCTTGACCTTCGGCTTCGACAATTCCTGCTGCTGTTACATACACTCTTCGCCGTAAAACGGCAGCCAAGGTCTCAGTTTTCGGCTTCTAGACTAGCCTGTCTCAACGCAGCAAGCACCGTCGTCGAATCAGCTATAGCATGCTTCAGCCTCTCGACCCACGTGTAGACGGATACTTGTCCGGCCTAACCTTGGTCTGGACATTCGAGAACATATAGTCACAAGATTACACAGGCCCGGATCGAACAAGACCGGAGTACTTCTGTCCGGGGACCGAGCTCTCTTGATCGTTCAGAGAGCTGTCATCTTCAAGAACATTCTCAGCGAATCGTCTGGTCTTACGATCGACCTCCCGGTTTGAAATAGTTCGCTGGTCAGCCATGGACTTGATGATCTCGATACACGAATGACACTGGTCATTGGTCGTGATGAGATTCATCTGTTTTACGCGAGACTTCATTGCATTCCATCAATAAGCCAGGAAGCATCCTGGACTTTCCTCGACATTCCAAAGTTATCGAGTCGAATGAATCTGTAAGCCTGCAGATCGTTGAAAACAGCCTTCATGTGCACTCCGGCCCTGTGGTTGAAGGCGTAAAAGCAGGTGATATAGTTGTCGAAGGAAAGATCTAGCCCGAAAGCTTCAAATGCCACATCCCTAGGCCTGGAAACTACTTTGGTGCATATTTCGCCAGGGAGTGATCAAGATTGATGACGATGAGGCGAGCGAGATAACTCACCAGGAGGAACAACGCCATCTCTATGATCAATTCTCGGGACCGAGGTCTCAATCTGTGCAGCCGCTGCTTCGACAGCACAAAAAAACATTCGCGAGTTCACAGTCAGTACCATCCTGGAGGACCGGCTTGGATGTCACACTGGACAACTTTTTGCATCGACCCGATCATATGATAGGCTTGTCTTGGATGGCAACCTCCCGCCTGGTCACCAATGACTATCTTGTGCATACCTTGCTTTCGCAATTCTTGCATCACTGTCAGGACTTCCACGAGCTCTGTGTTGAGAAACACACTTATCCTTGTATCATTCGACCATCGAGTCGACATCGACTTTTCCTCGCATCGGCGTTTCGTCTTATGCTATCCACGTTATCCATGCGATGTACTAGCGCAGGTCGTGCCCATGCATCACAACCGCGACTTCTATCTGGAATATGTCTATCACAGTCTCAACTACACACACTCATTTGAACCGAAACACGACTGGTCATCCAACTATGCCTCTTCTATCGGGATTTTTGCCTACTACAAAGACTTTGTTCAAAAATCTTCGGTTGCAGAGTACATCAAGGGCAATCACGAAGTCGTCGGCGCAGCTCGAAATGAGCAGAAAGCCTCGTGGACGGTGACTGTACATGACCGCAAGCAGAACACCACTTTGATGCCGGCATTTTGAATAACTGAAGATGGCTCGCGATTCCTGGTATCAAGGATCACAAGGTTCAACTTGTCCACAATGCTGCTTGGGAGATGGATCTATTGAATTTGCGGGCAAGCACTTCGGTCTCATTGGCAACGGGTATTTTGACGTGCTTCTATCAGATCAGTGATTATGGTTGTTGACAGGTACAGCTTCGGGCATTCAAACTTTGCCTCAGATCATATATCAGTGAGTACTCGCTACATTCCCGTCCTGGACTAAAGTATCAAGGTTCTTCTGCCAGCGAATGAACAATCTCACACGTATGCAACAACTGCACTTTGGCCCGGATCCACTTACCACTACGTGAAAGCTTTGACACAACCACGCTACGACGGTTTTGATGTCAAGTACCGTGTGAGGTGATTCGCCTATTCTGGTGAGCTTTTTTAATCCTTGTTACGGTGTCAACACACTAATGGTTCTCAGGCCTTGGACTTAGTCAAGTCGATCTCAATTCCATTGTCCACACCGCTTGATACATCAAGAACTTTGACTCGAAAGGATCACTGGCTCACAGTCTCCAGGGTATATACAATGTCCAAGATGCTAGGTCTCGCATGTCAAGTGCGGATAGGGAAGAGTTGAGAATCGCCATTCGAAGGCAGACCATCTAGTGACATAATTCATTGAGAGGTTCATGGACTCATGGTATCCGGATTGTTCGAGAGTTGCATATCCATTGTTTCCACACTTTTGATTGAAAACTTTTCGTGATGGTCATGTCAGATGCACAGCATGATCCAATGTGAGTAACGGAGCAGACAGGGACTCGATGGTCTAGCAAACAACAATATGTCTATGTCTTGTCAAAATTTCCATATCGCTCTATCGCCGAACCCGACGGGGCTGTTGCATCCTGGATCAATATTGATCACCAAACAACCATCGTTGAACCCTCTCGCTCAGAAGAGATTTGGTCACCTTTTAATGCCGTTCGCAAATCTGTACCTCGAGCGCAGAAGGCTTAGTCGGAAAACTGCATACGCACTCTCAATCTAGACTATCTTTACGAAGTGCCTTTGTCAGAAGTACTGTCCAAGATCCACAAGAAGAACGATTCCCTTATACCTTGAATTGGTAATTCGGCCATGTTACGCAAGATGATACTGTCGTGCGGTTCATCAGGGCAGTTTCACGAGTTCCACGTTGTTGGCTTGACTCTGTACGACAAGGTTCAGTTTCTATTTGAATATCGAAGAGCGAATGATGCTAAAGCTGACATGTGCTTTTAGACTCTTGGCCGTAAACTTACGAAACGCCAAACGCGTGGCTTTAGTTGTTGGGGGCACAACGAACACTGAAAGAAATTTAGCATATACTGTAGTGCAGCTCTTCCTGAGCTATACATTCGTCGAACAATGCCTTACATATATACGCAACAGCGGCTAACAGAGAGCCATAGTCTCACACGCCGAGCCTTCCTTTGATAGCCACAGTTACGCTTGTAGATGTGTGATAGATAAGCTGTTGGGCAACCTTCTGATCAAATGTATGAACCCAGATTTGATTCTGAAAATTTCGAAATTCCGAAGAGTCAACATGGCTTTGTGAGGGAGCTTGTCACAAGCTCACCTTTGATTGAACGTACGATCGCTCCTTGTCCACTCTCAGATGGTGATTTTCCCAGGCCTAGATCAAAGTGCTGGTTGGACGACATCTCACAACTCCATGGCAATTTATGCCTACAGAATGATCAACGTAAGAGCGCAGAAGATGATAACATTGTTGTTCCATAGTAACATAAGCTTTCAACATGCACTCTACTTGATCTGTTGAATAAGAGGCCAGGTGTTGACTTGAGATCATTAGCTGAACGGCTATGTGTTTTTGCCCCAAGCAGAATTTCATTGGTTGTCGGCCTCTTATGTGTCGTAATCATCCTCGTACAGAGTATGTGTCGGCTGTTTCTAAGAGCTGGATATGTCGATTCTGGGTTGGTCGTTTGTCCCAGATCAAGATATGGCCAACTGAGCTTCTCGGACGCGGATTATGGCCTAAGACGACCTGACTGCCCGGAGCTGTCTCCAGAACTGTCTGCAAGCTCGCGCACATGCGACAATGCTTCAAATACGACGAAACCAACGACTCTGCCAGTACATGTTTTCTAGTCGGATCCGGCATCGTAAATAGACTGTGAGCGCGAAAAGGACGCTTTTGGAGAAGTAGACCCTGGCTCTCACCATGTTCGTGCCAGTGGTGCAGAGAACTCGAAGAATGACAGTACATCGATAGGAGTACCTGCCAAGCGAGCTCAAGTACAGCGCTCTCTCATATCTTCGGAGAACGGTCACGGCTGCAAAGTCACCGGTAGGGCGAAACTGAGTTAGCATCCTTGACGATCCGAGCATAGGTGAGGCCATAGATTGCTCACCCACAGGTGATCTTAGCACGTAGCTGCTCTCTAAGAGCTCCACTGAACGAATTATGATCCTGACACGATGATTGACTTTGCAATCGAAGCAATCAACCCAAACACTTTTCGTGAAAGCCCTATGATTCCAGAATCGCCGAAAATCATGCCGAAAAATATCATGCGAGACACAAGCATGCTGATGCAAATCAGAAAAGTTGCATTCTTCCACGTGCGTAAGTCTCGATGGAGTTTCGCAAGGGCGATTATATGTGAAACACCTTCAACAACCATATAAGCGACAAGTCCCGAGGCGCAAAATCTGTATTGGAAGCCTGTGTCCTGGTTCAGAGTAGTCCTGCTAGCCAACAAGAGATGAAGCGTTGCCATGATGAAAAGAGTCCTGCAGTTGAGATCCTGTCTTGCCGTGACAAAGTCGTCTAAGAATATAGGACTTGGCTCTACGGCGTATTGTGGTAAGCCTATAGACATATGTTGATTCGATTTAGCCATAATGGAAATAGTGCATATGCCTAGACAGCAGCTGCGTTCTAGCGGAAGAAGAAGTGACGATGCAGATGGTGAGAGGGATTCGGTGTTTGAACGCTGTGCAAGTTTCGTTGAATGCCAAGCATGATTGGAAGCCATGGCGTATCAACAGCTTGGCTCATATTCGAAATTTCGTGACTATTCACAGACTCGAGGAGTCGGAAGAGTGGGAAGGGTGAAAATGCCGGACTCAATCGATCCATTCGTATACCCTCTTCATATCTAAAATCTCTATCCCCCACGTCCCACCATCGTCAAAGTTAAGTTGACGTGTATATCCGTTTCATTCGTTGTTGTTTCATGCAAACATTTGATCCCCAATTGTTAAAATAGTATCCCCCGGAACACCGACGCTGTTGAAGTCATTTTTATGTTGAAAAGATTCCACCACCACCCAGTAGTTGTACAATATGTGGTCGTCTCATGTTGAGAGAGACGACTTAGAAGAGACCATCGATCTCACCAGTCTCGGCGTCAACGTCGACGTTGAGATAGCCAGGAGCAGTGGGAAGGCCAGGGATGGTTTGAATGTCGGCAGCGAGTGCATACCTGGGAGAGGGTTAGCAATGAATTGAAAACGTCACAGATGGATGAAAACTTACAGGTAACCAGCACCGGCAGCCATGCGAACGTCTCTGATAGGAACAACAAAGCCTGAAGGAGCACCCTTGAGATCGGGGTCGTGCGAGAGCGAGTACTGTGTTTTGGCAATACAGATGGGCAGGTTACCGAAGCCCTGGCGAGTGTAGGCATCGACCTTCTTCTGTGCAGTCTCGCTGAACTCAACACCAGAAGCACCGTACATGTTCTTGGCGATCTTCTCAATACGCTCCTGGACAGAGTCCTCAAGACCGTACAGCAGCTTGAAGTCGTTGGACTCGGCCTTCTCGCAGGCAGAGATGACACCCTGAGCAAGGTCAACAGCACCCTTGCCACCCTCAGCCCAGTGGTTGGCGGGAATGGCATCCTCGGCACCAGCAGCAAGAGCCTCCTCACGGATGACCTGGATCTCCTTTTCGGTGTCGGTCTCGAACTTGTTGATGGCAACAACGACCTTGACGCCGTATTGACGAGCATTCTCAATGTGCTTCTTGAGGTTGACGCAACCAGCGCGGAGGATATCGACGTTCTCGGTGCGGTAAACTTCATGGAGCTGGGCACCAGGAGTGATGGCAGGACCGCCACCGTGAGTCTTGAGAGCACGAACAGTAGCGACAATGACAACGACATCAGGCTTGAGCTCGGAGGAGCGGCACTTGATGTTCATGAAGCGCTCACCGCCCATGGTGAAGTCGAAGCCAGCCTCGGTAACGACGAAACCAGTTCTCGAGTTGTAGTCCTCGTCAGGCTCAGTACCAGCCAGCTTGAGAGCAAGCTTGTCGGCAAGGACGGAAGAAGCACCAATGGAGATGTTGGCGAAGGGACCGGCGTGGACAAAGACGGGAGTTCCCTCGAGGGTTTGCATGAGGTTGGGCTTGATGGCATCTCTCATGAGGGCGGTCAAGGCACCACCGACACCAATGTCATCGCAAGTGACGGGTTCGCCAGCGCGAGAGCTGGCAACAACCATACGGCCAAGTCTCTCGCGCATGTCGGAAAGAGAGTTGCTGAGAGCAAGAACAGCCATACACTCACTGGCAACCGAAATATCGAAGCCAGTCTGGCGGGACTGGCCCTTCTCGGTAGGGGCCTGGCCGACGGTAATGCCACGAAGATGTCTGTCGTTGACATCGAGAACGCGGCGCCAGGTGATGGTGTCAGGATCAATGTCAAGACGGGCAAAGCGGCGGATCTCCTCCTCGGTCAGATCGTCAGGGTTGGTCTTGTCGATTCCGAGCTTCTTGAGACGGCGGAACATGATGGGCTTGAACTCGCGCTTGCCCTTGGTAGTGGGCACCAGACGCTTGTAGAGAGGACCGTCCTTCTGGGTGTTCTCATGGAAGATGCGAGTCTCGATGGCAGCAGCGAGAAGGTTGTTGGCAGCAGTAATGGCGTGAATGTCGCCAGTCAAGTGCAGGTTGAACTCGTCCATGGGAATGACCTGACTGTAGCCACCACCAGCAGCACCACCCTTGATGCCGAAAGTAGGACCTTGACTGGGCTGACGGACGTTGGCAAAGGCGATGCGGCCGAGCTGGCCAGCAAGAGCCTGGACGAGACCGATGGTGGTGGTGGACTTGCCCTCACCGAGAGGAGTAGGAGTGATACCAGCGACCAAGACGTAGCGGCCGTTCTTGCGGTGTTCGAGACGCTTGAGGACATCGAGGCCGACCTTTGCCTTGTATGCGCCGTGAGGCTCGAGTTCGTGTGCGGAAAGGCCAATCTCGGCGGCCAACTTTGTGATGAGCTTGGGGTGCTGCTTGCGGGAGACTTCCCAGTCGGCAGGGACGGGTTGTTCGAGCTTGAGGTGGAGGGGAGTAATCTTGCGCGACTTCTGACGGTCAAAGTAGCTGTCGGCAGAGTCGACAACGTTGCGGAGGAGCATGGCCACGGTCATGGGGCCAACACCGCCAGGCACGGGGGTGATTTGAGAAGCGACCTCGGCAGCAGACTCGAAGTCGACATCACCAACCAGACGCTGACCAGACTTCTTGGTCTCATCGGGAATGTAGTTGGTACCGACATCAATGACAACGGCACCCTCCTTGAGCCACTCGCCCTTGACGAAGCCAGGAACGCCAATGGCAGCGACAACAATGTCAGCCTGCTTGACGTAGCCGGGCAGGTCCTTGGTCCTGCTGTGGCACACGGTGACGGTGGCATCGGCGTTCTTGAGCAGGTAGCTGACGGGGCTGCCGACAATGTCACTGCGGCCAATGACAACAGCGTTCTTGCCCTTGATGTCGACGCCACTCTCGCTGAGCAAGACCATGACACCCTTGGGTGTGCAGGGAGTGAACAGGGGCTTGCCGCCGCGCTTGGCCAGCTCGCCGATGTTTGCTACACCGAATCCATCGACATCTTTCTCGTCGGCAACGGCCGAGGTAACGGCATGTTCGGAAATGTGCTTGGGGACGGGCAGCTGGACGAGGATACCGTGGATTGACGGGTCGTTGTTGAAGCGCTCAATGTGGTAGAGGAGCTCCGACTCGCTAATGTCCTCGGGGTACTTCTCCAGGTCGCACTCGATGTTGGCCTCGGTGGCGGCCTTGAGCTTCATGCGGACATAGGTGGATGAGTCTGAGCGGTCGCCGACCTGGACAATCTTGAGCGAGGGCTTGTAGCGAGGGTTGGCAGCCTGCTTTTCTGTGATTTCCTGGTTGATGCGTTCGCGGATGGACTTTGCGATGGCAGTGCCATCAATCTTTTGGGCCGTCATGAGGCGCAGTGTGGTGCTGTAGGCAGCGCGTTGGATGTTGGGAGAGAGGAAGGAAGAAGGACGAGTCACTGAAGTCGCGGGTCTGAGCAAACGAAGATTTTGGCCCCGCAGAGCGATACGCCGACCGCTGATCAATTGGCCGTGCATTTGCTCTCTGTTTCTTTGCACCTTCTTCTTTGAGAAGAGTATGTACACAGGAAACAACAATAGCGACTACGTGAATATCCAGCAGGGAGTGACGGAGAGTCTGGCGTGGGGCAGGCGCGGCAGTTTGGTTTCAATTACATACAACGAGGCAGAATTTGGTGGACTGTGTGTCAGAGAGTCTGGGGAGAGCTCGACACGCCTGTCCTCAACCAACCCGATCAATTCACTTGCTGCCACGTCCTCCCACCAGTATGTGCAATTTCTGCTGCTGTGAGTGTCTATTGGAGCAGCATAGATGGTGAGAAAGCAAGTTGCAGGGTGGTGAGTCAGAGTGCTGGACGAGTAGAGGGCTTTCTGGATTGCGGAGAGGGACGGAGAGCTGGATCGGGAAGGCGCGACTGCTGGAGAGCTGCTTAGTCACGTCCTGATGGAAAATTACAGACTTGAGGCAGTCGCAGACGCACGGGCCAAGCGACTCACTGCGGACGACGCACATTTTCATAGACACGCCCGCCCAGCAGCGACGACAGCGACCAGAAACCCACACGACACCGCCAACATGAGACCTATTCTGCTATCCGGTCACGTACGTTTCTCTGTCTAATCCTTGTGCTCCTCACAAACTGACCAGCATCGCAGGAGAGAGCTCTGACCCAAGTCAAGTGCGTCTTGCTGCCAACGAAAAAAGAGACCGACACCACATAGCGACTAACCCCCGGCGCAGGTTCAGCAAGGAGGGCGACTTCATCTTCTCCGTCTCCAAGGATCACAACGCATGCGCATGGTGGTCTCACAACGGTGAGCGCTTCGGTGTCTACAAGGGCCACCAGGGTGCTCTCTGGACAATCGACGTCGACCCGCGCACCGTCCTGCTCGCAACCGGCGGCGCCGACAACACCATCAGACTGTGGGAGGTCAAGACCGGAAAGCTGCTGAAGACTTGGGAGTTCGGAACCGCAATCAAGCGCGTCGAGTTCAACGAGGACGGCACCCAACTGCTCGGTGTCACCGAGAAGCGTCAAGGCCAGCTCAGCACAATCCTCGTCTACGACATCAACCAGGACCCCGAGGGCGAGCAGCCCAACGAGCACTCGCTGCGCATTGTTGTCGACGACATTCCCAAGGTCACAGTCGCTGGTTTCTCGGCCTGCACAAGATACATCATCTCTGGCCACGAGGACGGTTCGGTCACCCAGTGGGACGCAAAGACTGGAGAGGAGTACGAGCGCGCCTACCCCCACGAGGATGGCATGATGATTACCGACTTGCAATGGTCTGCCGACCGTACCTACTTTATCACTGCTTCCAAGGACAAGTCCGCAAAGGTATCACTTATCCTCTACTCTTCCGCCTCAACCAACCCGCTGACTTGTTTCTCTCACAGCTCATGGACGCCAAGACGCTCGAGGTCATGAAGACATACGTCGCCGACACACCCCTCAACTCTGCCGCCATCACACCCGTCAAGGACTACGTTATCGTCGGAGGTGGTCAAGCCGCCATGGATGTCACCACCACCAGCGCCCGTCAAGGAAAGTTCGAAGCCCGTTTCTACCACAAGATCTTTGAAGAGGAGATTGGCCGTGTCAGAGGTCACTTCGGTCCTCTCAACTACGTCGCTGTTTCTCCCCTCGGCACCGTCTACGCTTCTGGTGGTGAAGATGGTTACGTTCGTGTCCACCACTTCGACCAGCCCTACTTTGACTTCAAGTTCGAGGTGGAGCGCGAGTTGAGATTGTAATTGCAACGAGAGTGAAAGAAAAAAGGGGGCTTTGTGAACCACGGCATGGCATGGCGTTCAGGGCGTCGTTTTTTTGACAAGGACTGACGATGAACTTTTGGGGCCTGAATGATATCACAACTAAAAGTGTTATTCGAAAGAGCAAGAAGATAAAGAAGAAGAATGAACTGTCTACACCAATCCATGTCTCCTGTAACTTCTGTGTGAACATGTCTTGATTCGTCATGGCTGAAGCTTGAGATGACGCTGCACGAAGCGACATCGTCCATTCTGCTACGGAACTCGACCTACAAACATCCACTCCGTGCTTCGATCGAGCTCATACATGAAGTCGCACATCAATGTCAACCTGGGATTCGCTCATTTCCAGCTGAGGCTCCATCCTGTATTCGTGTGAGTGTTTCTCTTCCACCCATCCATCCACGTTGCGGCGTCGTCGGAGCGGAATAACCATCCCCAAGCAAGTGGCTTATCCGCGACCTTGAATTCTTCCGTAGCGACAACAATCTCCGGCGACGACATATCCACCTTTGCATTGCTGTTTCCTTCTTCTTCTTGATCTGTCCATCTCAATTTGTCGCTGATTGAAATACAATAGCCTCCTGCTCTTCGTTGCGGCCATTTTGACGTACTTGCACACATCAACAACCATGGCAACAATCACTCTTCCTCCGCCAAACGCAAAATACCAATTCAGCGTCTTGCCAAATATTTTCAAGCAAGGTCTTCCCGATACTGATGCCGATACTTTTGAATATGTATGCTCTGTCCTGTGCCACACAACCACAACTCTGTGACTTCGAGTATTGAAGTAACAAACCAATCAATCAGGCAAAGGAGAACTTTGGACTCATTCAACAATCTTACCCTTCGGATGATACCCTTGATAACGCTACCGAGAAGACACAATGGCAGAGATTCGAGCATTACATCAGCGAACTGAATAAGAATGCCGAACCAGGTGTCGAGTATAAAGTCCTGTATCTTGGTAGACATGGACAAGGATACCATAACGTCGCCGAATCGAGATATGGCACCAAACTCTGGGATGTATGTTTTTTTTTACTTTTTTCCAATTTCTCTTCTTTGAGATATCCGCATTGCCTGCTCTCTGAATGGCATCTCTGCAATGGTCTCTGACACTATTCAACAGGACTACTGGGCCAAACAAGAAGGCGATGAACACGCCAACTGGGCAGACGCACACTTGACTCCTATCGGCGAGCAACAAGCCCGCGATGTAAACACCTTCTGGAAGTCCGTTCTAACGCAAGCAAAAGTGCCTGCCCCAGAAGTCTACTACACATCTCCCTTTTACCGCTGTCTCCAGACCTCCTGGATCTCTTTCCACAACCTCGATTTACCTACTGACAGACCGTTTGTTCCTATTGTCAAGGAATTGCTCAGAGAAACCAATGGCGTGCATACCTGTGATCGTAGAGGTCCTTCTTCGACCATCCGCGCCGACTTTCCAACTTACATCCTGGAACCAGGTCTTCCAGAGACGGATGTCTCATGGACACCAGACCATCGCGAGACCCCTGTTGAACACATTCTCAGAGAACACATTTGCCTAGAACAAATTTTCGCAGAAGATAACAGGGTGTGGTTGAGTCTGACGGCGCATTCGGGAACGATTGCTGCTATTCTCGGAGCAGTGCAACATAGACCTTTTGTTTTACCCACCGGAGGTTTGATTCCTGTTGCTGTCAAGGCGGAGAAGTTGCTACGTTGATGGGTCTTCCGGAGAGAAAGATGGAACAGGAATAGAGGGCGCCGAGGAAGTGGAGAAAATGTATGGACAAATGCGATACATTAGATAGAGATACAATTATATGCAATATCAAACCCGACAAAGTGCTTTCTTTTTGCTGTTGGTCATGGGAAACTGAAGGATGTAGTCCCATTTGTTGCATCTCATGGCACTTTCTTAGCATGAGCATAAGAAATCATAAATGTCAGTACCACGACCGCAACGATGGTCACAAACACAAGAAAACTGTATATCCCATGCTTCAAATACAGGAAATCATGACAGCATCAAGTTTGAGCGCGAAAGGACCGTCATGTCTGTTATATCGTCGTCATTGATCATGAGTCTGTTGCTGCAGGTGTGACCTTGTCAGCTTGCATCGGCGTCGGCAGCCAATTGCCGAGGCTCTTCAATCAAGAGATGCGCATCTCGGCTTTCTGATAGCCACCCATCGCACGCAAACCACGCTCTCTTGAGAATGGAAATGATGAATATGCAAGAGAGTAAAATGCGAATATCACAATGGTTATGCCCGATTTAGAAAATAGCTATACTATATAGATATGCTTTGTCCAGCACCGATAAGAAAAAAGTCCTGTATTCGAAGGAGAAGATAAAGAATAAGTAGAAACAAAGGAAAAAGAAGAAATGAAAGGAGGATAATCCTTTACGATTGCTTCCACCATCGCGTATCACACCGCCTACATCCTCTATGTTCTGGTCCAGTCAAAGACGGCATGGCCAGCCCAGACTGCGGGCTTGTCAATGGCACGGTGGAAGATCTCTCCGCCAATGATGGAACAAGGCAGGACAAGGAAGAATGCAACGGCCTTGGCAGAGGCAGAGCCATAGCCTTGCTGGACGTTGCAGTAGAGGAAGATCTTGATGCCGGCTGTGTACATCAGAATAGTCGATACAAGGTAGTAGCCTATTTCCAACATGATTAGTCGTTGCTCTTCAAGAAAGACAAGGAGGGGGAAAAACGTACTCAACGAACGTCTACCGATAGCTTTGCAGAGCTTGTTGGACAAGATACGCTTGGTGGTCTCGCTGAACTCAATGAGCAGCAGAATACCAACAATAACGAGCCAGTCGTCCATGCGAGGGTAAGGCTGAGTGCCATCCGCATATCCAAAACTGCTGCCGCCAAGGTAGCGAGAAGGATGGGCATGAGCCTCACCACTCCAGAAAAGGTCATCCAATCCTGCAGTCCACATGTACTTGAGACCTGTTCCCACAGCAAGGAAGACGTAAGCCAAAGCCCAGTAAGGCATTCTCACGCTTCCACTTTCGTTACTCCAGCCGCGGAAAAGTGCGGTGCGAAGAGGAGGGTTAATGGCGACATCGGCGAGGAAAAGTCCAGTAGCTGAGTACCAACCCCAACTGTTGAACCACCAAGAGCCGAACGCAAACATCAACAGACCAGTAAGATGCCAACTGGGTCTGCTGAACGGCAGGATAACCATGAAAATATACACGGTGTAGCTCTGCAGGTAAGCGGCAGAAGGCACCCACAGAGTCCAAGTAGGGAAAGCAAGACTACCCATCTGCAGAGAGTAATCCTTGGTCACCCACAGCAAATCCCAGATACTGTTGAAACAAGCCAATGCAGTGGCTGGCTTCTCCGGTGCTCTCAAGTAGGGATTGCCATTGATGTAGGCAAACTCTTCAAGATAATCATTGTTGATAGATCCAAAGATTGCAAGTGAGATGGCAAGACCGATGGCTAGAGGAATGAACATGCGGATAGGGCGCGCGATCAAAGAGCGGGCATAGGTATTTGACGTCACATCGCGCAAGAAAGGGATAGCGACTGTGCGAGCTGACAAGAGGATGAAGAAGCAGAAGATGAAGGATTCGTCCCAGAGAAGAGGAGAAAGGATCTTGCGGAGGAGCACTTGGTAGTGAGGAGATTTTTCGGTGAAACTGGGAATGACGCCTGAAGAAGAGCAGGTTAGTAGGAAACTTCAAGACTATCACTATGAGAAACAGCGTGGAGTGTGCATGGAGCGAGCAGAGCAGCAGAAGCAATGACAGCAGGCTCGGCTTCAACATGAACGGGGTTCCAGCGACTGCCCAGACTCCCTATCTCCGAGTCGGCAAGTCGGCTGGTATGACCGCATTCTTAGATGCCTCTCGAGCGAGCTCTGGTCTCGTGTCTGGCAGCTTCAAGATCTCCGCGAATAAGATAACCAAGATATTCCCGGAAAGCTGCCATGAGATGCTCAAGCTTGTGACAGACTCAGAACAGATGTCGTCGTGGATGACGCTCCTTCTGCCCGTCTGCCGATGTTTTGCCGTCGAGATTGCGTGTCTGTCTCTCATTTCCACACCGCTCGCTCCAATTTACCCCTTGAGTTTGAGATTTGGAAGGAAAAAAAGACTCAACGTACTGTTATTGCGACGGTACAGGTCGCGAGAATACAGGTCTGCGCCAGAATACAAGTCGCGAGCGACAATTCCAGAGCCAGCTCCTGGAGCAACAATACCGGGTCCACCGAATACACCAGGGACTGTTGATGGCGATGCGCTCGGAACGTGTTCTCCAGTCGTCGTCGGTCCCGGGACTGTGAGCGCTGGGTCAAAGACCTTGAAGAACAACCAGGCGAAACTCTGCACCGCCAGAACGGCACGAATGCCCCAAAGGTGATCTTGCGAATTGTTGACTACCGACGACTTTCGCCGATATGCCATGTAGTTTTGTGGTTGATAGGAAGGCATGATGTGCTGACTTGGCCGCTGCTGAGCGTGCTTTGGCGAACAAGTGGAAAACAACAAGCTGAGTTCAACTTCAAATGCCCACGACGGACTGTCTTGAAGTGATTAACTCCCGAGATCTTTCTCGTTGGACTCATCATCTCAAAGACCCTGCCATGCGTTATTCTTCCACTCTCTCGTCATGTTTTGATCAAAACGGCCACTATAGACGTCAATCACCCTAGCTGTGTCCAGACTTCCTTTTCCTCCTCCCGTTCGTCCCTGCCTGGCCCAAGGGTAAGAAATTAACAAAATCGTTACGATCTCTCGGCTGCTTAGGGAATCCGAATCTGGCCGATGGAATCAACTGCCAGCCATCCAACGGCCACGAGCCGCAACGTTCGCCCAACTACCATAACCTCGACAGTACCCTTTCCAGTTCAGGGCAGATTATGCTTGACTCGGCACGCCGTTCTGAAACATATGACAGCAATAACTAACAAGATTCCTCGGTCAACGTCTGATCGACGCCTCCACTACTGCTTTCGCTCTACGCTTTCCTACTGAGGCACCATCTTTGTTTTGCTCTCACCATCCTGAGACATATCGTTTTGCTTTTCTCACGATGCGACACCTCACTGTCAATCATGCCCCGCGGTATACACTGGTGGCGTCAGTTCGACTCCATCCATGTGGAGTACTTTCTGGCCAAACGCGTCAAACGAGCGTCTACGTCCGTATACCTTGGCAATCTCGTCCCCATCGTACGCTTACCCACAACGGCCAGACCACTAAGCGCCATGGCCACTACGTCAAGTAGTCCCCAAAACAGAGACACGCTTTTGTCGATTACAGACGTTGATCATTTCGATAAGTCCAATCTGTCGATGAGCCTAGAGACTCAGCAAACTTCCGGATCTAGAAGCCTCAATATGATAGGCTTGCTCAAGGATGCTGTTGAATAAATTGAATACTTGAGCAAAGTCTTCAAAAATTTGCCGTAATCTCCCATTTCCCTCTACTACACCAACAACACACGCCTGTCTGAACACCAACCATACGACAGCCATGGCCGACGAGTTCAAGGGCGGCAAGGCCGCGAAGTCGGGTCTAAAGGAGATGTTCAGCAAACTTGACTTTGCTGTCAAGTACTCTTCCAACTGGGTCTTCGAATGGACACCCTTCATTCTCACAATCTGCTACTGGGTGTCATCGATCACTTTCTATGTCTCTTGCGACGAGGGAACCATTAAGGGTTTCTACTACTTCTTCATGGTCATCAACTTCTACATTGCCGCCTGTACAGTCATTGAGGCATTCTTGGGTATTTCACCACTCCGCGATGCGAGAGCAGCTGCCATCAGAGTCAACACTTGTGGCGAGTTTCCCACTCCCGATGACCTTCTTCCAATTCTCGACATTGTCATTGTCGCGTACTTGCCCAACGAGCAAGATATCGTCAAGGACCAAGTCAACTATGCTCTCGAGGAAATCGTCTACCCTCGTGACAAGCTGCGCATCAACCTGCTCTACAACACTCCCAAGCCGATTGAACCTCTGGAGACCGAGCTGATTGAGATGGAAAAGCAGCACGGTGGTCTGCTTCGTGTCACCAAAGTTGTCGGCTCCAAGTCCAAAGCCGACAACCTCAACTTCTTCTTCACTCTCGACACTGGTGCCGAGATTATTGCTATTTTCGACTGCGATCACTTCCCCCACCCTTACAATGCTCGCTGGGCAGCTGAGCGTTTCATTGCCGACCCTACTGTCGACATCGTTCAGGGCAGATGTATTGTCTACAACTCCAAGGAGACTTTCTTCACCCGCATGATCGCCCTCGAATTCGACAAGATTTACGCCGTCTCGCATCCTGGCCGTTCGCGTCTCTTCTCTTTCGGTTTGTTCTGCGGAAGTAACGGTTACTGGAAGGCCGAGCTTCTCCGTGGTCACCAGATGCACGGTCACATGCTTTGCGAGGATATCGATTCTGCCCTCAGAGCTTACGGCGAAGGCAAGCGTGCTGTCCACGACATGAACGTCAAGTCTTACGAAATGGCACCGACATTCTGGATGGCTTTCTGGAAGCAAAGAATGCGCTGGACCCAAGGTTGGACACAGGCCTCTATCCGTCACGCTCACATGATTTGGGACAACCCTCCCAATGGCACCCGCTGCTGGAGCGAGCGTTACGGTCTTCTCTCTCTCATCATTGTCCGCGAAATGAGTTACTACCTCGTCACTCAGTAAGTCACGACATGCATATCGAATCTTCATGACATTTACTAATTATTCGCCAGACACACATGTCTCTTGTTCAGTTTCCTGATCACCGGCTGGCCCCACAGCTCGGGTGAATTGGCAAGATTGATCTTCTTCCGATACGCTCTCTCTGAATGGTTCCTGTTCCTCACCGTCGGAAGTTTGATCGTGACGCTATGGATCACTGAGATCGTCCGTTCCGAGTTTACATCATTCTGGGACATGATCCTTTTCTCCGCAATTTACGTGCCCTATCTTATTCTTCAGGGTACCATGGGTAAGTTCGCCTATAAGCTCAAGACATACACGAAGTGCTTTACTAATCACGCAAGCAGGTATCTATGGACACTTCCGTGAGATCATTGGATACTCATCTTGGAACCCTACTTCGAGAAAGTAGATCGTTCTAATTTCCTTGTCATCTCTTTTCTTTTTTTTCCATTTCTCTTCGTCATATATCCCACTTCTCGCTATTTCTTCATCACATATTATTTTTTTTCTTTTGTCACAAGGGTATAGATAGCATATCCAGCATTAAAAGGAGCTGTTGATTAGTTTTGATAATATCGGCAATATGCTACACATGGTTTTTTCCACGATACGTCGCTCGGAACTTTACCGGGAATTCGGTATGTGATCTGATGCTGCAGGTCTTCGATAGTTTCGACCACACAACGTTTATTCTAACGTCGCACGCTCCGTGCGCGTGTCATATGTTTGATTGATTCATGGCAGAACGTGTGGAAAAATGATTCATTTCGAAAATCGCAGAAAGGCCGTTGCATCGCCAACGGCCAATATAATCCTACCTTAACCGTAAACATTCAAATCTTAGGCTTCTACGTACGTTGAATATGCATCACCGGTGCCCCTTTCACCACCACGCCGTTGCAGGCAGTCTTTTGATCTACAGAAGCATTGGAAAATGTCGGAACAAACAACCACGGAAAATAAGCAACTGAAACAAGGTGCGTTGATCCGTACGTTGGCTTGCAACTGTCCATAGTGCCGGCCCTTTCGCTCCACTCCCGTCTAGATGCCATCGGTCATTAGGCTTGTTGCGCTATCCGGCTGACGGTTGCGTATTGGTGATGTTGATGAGTGCCCACCACAATAGCAGGTGTAATGATTTGCTTAGGGTCCAGATCGATAGTAATAATTCTTTGCATCATACATTGATCTGCGTTTCCTTCCTTTGCCTGTTCTACCTTCCAATACCTGCCACCCACACGTCAACCATTCGATAGGACAAAGGCACGTGCGGGTTGGATATATTCCAAAACTGCTTGCAAGCCATTTTTGCCTCTTCTTATACTTTCTTACCCTTGTATCTTCCCATATCCTCTTGTTTTGCTTCTCCCTTCACCAATACCGCAACCATGAAGTGGGGGATCGCACTAACAAGTGCCATCTTGGCGGCCACAACAACTTCCGCCCTTGACGTCTCAGACTGTTCTTGCGGTTTCGTGGATCTTGAACACGACCAAGTATGGACGGATGCATTGATCGTATACTTCAATGAAACAAACCAACTACCAAGCGAATTCAAGGCTCTTGATTTTCATCACAAGAGAGAGTTTGGGTTCAACTCGCTCTACAGACAGGGCGCCACTCCCGACAATGTTATGATAGCCAATGCCACGGATGAGAATGTGAACGAGCAGGTTCTTCAGCTGTGGATTGACGCAGCTACTGGCAACCACTATGTCCAAGGTGCTGGTATCGAGGCTTTGAGACAGGATATGCATTTTGGTACCTTCCGGTCTTCAATGCGTGGACCGCCTAAGAACACCGGGTAAGCACAAATCGGCTTCTGATCCTTAGCGGATTGCGACTGACATTAGTGCCTCTGCAGTGGATCCGCAATGTCGATGGAGCTCTACCACAACCGCACATCCTTTATCGAAGCTGATATGTGTAACATGCAATATCCCAGCGACGCCAAGTTCCTAGCCCTCAAGGACGGCGAGTTCCCGGACACCAAGTACCAGCTCAACTACACGTACTTCGCAGATGACAAGAACGCTACCGCTGGTGGTGATCCATGGGAATTCGTTGAGAACAAAATTGACTGGACAGAGAAATATGTCAACTGGACCTTCGGAGGAAACATGACATGATCAGCTAAGCGCAGTCGCGTTGACCTCAGCGAGCCCTTGCCTCTGATCTTCAAGCACTGGTCGATCGGCGACAAGTACTGGATGGCAGGTCCTCCCAACCAGCGCAACCAGGCTGATGTTGCATGGGTCCGCGCCTTCTTCAACTCTTCCTTGACCACCAAGAATGAACAGCTCGAGTTCGATGGTCGCTGTAGAGGCGTTCAGATGTGTTCTGTCAACGACATCACCCTGCGTGGCTCGAGTCCTTACTCGCAAGCCGCACTGATCCCATACAAGGCACCTCCGCAGAGTAAGAGCTGGCGTATTCCTGCCGGTATTACATCTGGTGCAGTCTTCGGATTCGGTTGCTTGACCCTTCTCAACGTGCTTTTCAGAAGAGCTCCCTGGAAGTTGTTGCTGGCCAAGAACAGAGGCAAGAAGGTTCACGTCGAGCCTGAGCTCAGTTCGCCTTCTCCTTTCGTGCAGCAGCTTCTGGGTGTATCCAAAGACGAGAAGACTCTTATTTCTGCACCGCCGGAGAAGAAGCCATCGACCGTGGGCTTTGTGGATGTGGCGACTCCAGTTGGCGACAAGGAAAGCGCTCCCGACAGCATGCGCAGAAGAAGTGTCAAGTTCTTCAACCCTTTCGATTCAGAGGCTGGTGACGACTTTGTTAAGCGTCACAGCAATGCTTTCGCTACCGCCACTGAACTGCCTAGAAACATGTCTGTTACGCAACCCACCGACTGGCGTAGAAAGAGTATGGCGTACCACGGTCAACTCCCCGAGATGCTTCCGGAGCGAAGTGACATGGCAAAGAAAGTCAGAAAGGCCAGTGTCGCGTTTGCTGAAGATAGCTACACCCGTCCTCGTCAAGCCAGCACTTTCCAGAGCATCAAGGGACGTAGCGGAAGTACCGTTAAGGCCATCGGTCACGTTCTTCAGCATGGTATGCATGATGCTGAACGCGTCGAACCCATCGAGTTGCAGGAGAACCTGATGCGCAACGATTCTGATGATTCTGGTAACGGAAAGGCTAGTGCTGCGAGAAGAGAGAGCCACGCAAACTTCGCCGGAGTTGTCATGCGTGACCCCGATACCTTGCAGGACGTCGACCTCTCTCACCAGTCTCCTGATGCCCGTCGGTCTACCATCATCCGAGGAAGACAGCCCAGCGTGCTCGAGCGTTACCGCGAAAACCATTTTGCCAGTATTGGAGGTGTTTCCATGGCCTCTGGAGTTTCGCGTCAGTCAGTGTCCGTCAAGGATTGGAACACTCAGGACCTGCACGAAGTCACCACCATCGACCCTCCTCACGAGTCGCAGATGAAGTTTGCTCGTCGCATCACTCTCGCCGAAGCTGTTCCCGTCTCTGCTGTTGATATGCCCTTGCCCAAGGCAAAGGAGCACGAAGCTCGTATCAACTACCTCGCCGGCCTTGTCGCTTTCTCCTCTCTTGGTGTTACAGTGATCCATTTCATGCTGACATTCGACCCCTACGCCGGTGGTCTGAACTACGGACAGCACTACCGAAGTGAATACTGGGCTCGCTGGACTGTTACCCCCGCTATCCTCAACCCCATCTGGGTAAGTCAGCCAAACAAAAATTGCAAGTTTTCCTTTACTGACTATCATTAGCTTGGACCTTTCTTCGTTACCTCTTGTCGATTCTTGGCAGCCAGATATCTCCGTGATGGCGAATTGGGCATGATTGCTGAGAAGATGCTTCTTCGTGCACCCCGTCTGCTTCTGCCTCCCTTCATCGTTGCTGCAATGGAGTACCTGTTCTTCGAACTCAACTTCATGCAGTGGCTGCAGTGGCTTCCTTCAATCTCCTGGTCTGAATGGGCTTACATGACCGACTACGATAACTTTGGCCACTACCTCAACGCAATGTTGGAATTGGCATACCTAATTCCTAATGCTGCACCCCAGGTTGTCAGTCACTACTGTGTTGGTGTCCTGTGGTCTATTCCTGTCCAGCTCCAATTCAGTTTCGTGACGCTTCTTGGCGTTGTCATGATTCGCGACATCAAAACTCATTGGAAGCGTTTCCTGTTCTACAGTTGGTGCATCATCGCCAACTGGTACTCATTGAGTTGGGGATCTTGCTTCTGGGCTGGTCTGGCATTGGCAGATTTGCAAATCACCTACAAGTTTAGTGCCAAGCTCCAGAAACGTCCTCTGCTCTGCTTGGTGTTCTGCATCTGCTGTTGGATTGTGGCAATCTTCAGTGCTGCCATGACTCTTTTGCAGGATCGTTTGGACATTCCCACCATGTCTGGCGAGAGAAACATCCACCCTGACATGTACACCGGCAAGAGACTTGGTGACACTATCAGAGGCGGATACCCGCTCTACTTCGAGCCTCGCTACAACACTCTTACTTTCGCAGTGTCCATGCAGCTTTTGGTCGAGACAAGTAAATGGTTCCAGGCTTTCCTTTCGATGAGAGTCTGGCAGCCCATCTTCCCTCACGCTTTCACCATCTACCTCGTCCACGGATTCATCTGGTGGACCCTTGGCTCATACATGGTGGTCCAGCTCGGAACTGATGGCTGGCCTTACTGGTCCATTTTGCTGCTCACAGCACTTGTCTGTTACTTCACTCTCGCCTTGACAGTCATCGCACTCTCTTTCTTGACCGAGACCATCACAGCAGCTTGCTGTCGCAACATTGCTCGCTGGGCAATGGAGCCCAAGGTGCCCAAGCAACCCACTTTGGAACCCTTCCCCCGCGGCCTCTTCCTCGATCGCAACAATGATAGCGCAGCGGCCAAGGACGAAGAGACAGCTATTGGCGAGTCAGGCAACGAAGTCGGAGCCGGCAACATGGTCAGACGCCCTACCCTCATTCCAGGCCAAGCCGTCGACCCAACAGCCAGACGCCCAACCCTCGTCGAAGGCGCCATTCTCAACGACGCCGAGAAGGCCGCTTTGGGTCAGACAACCATGTCATCACCCAAGCCAGCACATGGTGGATTCGAGCAACAAGCCCGCCGTCCCACCCACGTGGGCGACTTCATCATCGAGGAAGAAGACGAAGAGATGGATCCCGATGATCCTCACTACGTCGGAGCAAAGTCGTCAGTGGCATCTAGTTCTGCCGAGGCATCAAGTTCGACAGACAGAAATTCGAGTTCGGCGAGTTCGAGGCAGGCTCCTTGATCTTTTTCTTCTTTTTCTTGTGTCGGGTCAAATATCTCCGGTTTTTTCGTATCCTTTCTTCCCTTTGATCATTATACATATTATCTATTACATTTCCTTTGTTAAGATATCAGATATCAATCAGAATATGATTTCCTTTGACCTTTTCAATGATATTCGCTGTTGCTTGTCCTTTGGTGTTGCTTGACTTGAGACGGTAAACAGGAGGTGAAGTCGGAGGAAACGATGCGGACCGTGTCGCTGTCATGACGAAAGTGTTTGCTCTGTCTCCAAACTCTCCACTCCCACTGCAGCTTGCAACCGTCCCTGCTCCTGACTCTGCTCCCTGATTAATAGTATCCGGCATGTCTCTACCACAGCCGGATCTTCGTAAAGGTTCATTACGACGGACTAAATCTCCCAGCCGGCTAGCAGTAGGCTTTAGCAGGCTGTATACGGTCAGATAAAAACCGAAGCCGATCGTCGACCGGTAAGTTTCGCGCGGTTCCGACGGCCTCAGGACTTCACGCCGGTCGGTTGGTATCTCTCATGCCCGAGCATGGCTCTCTCTTGATCCTGCTAGGTAACATAAAACATGACTCTCTCACTTCATTGTGGAGATTAATTTAGTCCAATGGCTTTGAACTTTCGACATATTACAAGAACCAAGCTCATGTCTCAACTCAAAAACAGCAGAGGTGTCCACACGGCACGTGTTGCCCTCCTCTACCAAGCCATCGAACCCCCAGCCATCAATGGCGTTCGTAAGCCAATGAAGCCTGGCGGTAGGTTTGATCCTTGATCCATCAGGTATACTAGCAAAAGTACTGATCTCGTCCAGGCTACCAGGACGGATGCGCCGACATCGCCTTCAACTTGAGCCGCCAACCTGGCATCGACGTTGTCACTCCCATCGACTCACCCGATCCTCGAGAGCACGTTGGATGGAGCTTCCCAGACTCTGAAGATGGTATACTGGCAGCTCTGCAGAAGGGAGCCACCCACCTGTTCTCCAACACGGTCGTCTTCGCCAACCATCCACTTCAAACATCAGCAAGAGTAGGAGAATATCAGGACAAAGTAAAGGTCGTTGGACATCCTCCATGCATGGTGGAGCTACACGATGATAAGCACTACGTCAATGACATGTTGCGCAAGTCTGGCAAGTTCACTCTGCCTCGTGGCTGGTTGCTCGAGGACGATGGTACAGACATGGATGCAAAGCTGCAATCGCTGGATCTCCGCTTCCCTGTTGTCGGCAAGCCAGTTCGAGGCAGAGGTAGTCATGGCGTCAAGGTCTGCCAAGATATGGCAGAGCTGCGTGCTCATGCGCAGTCGCTGTTCAAAGAGTCTCCAGCCATCATCCTCGAAGACTATCTCGCCGGCCAGGAGGCAACTGTCACCGTTCTGCCGCCTTCGGACGAGCATCCGTCTCATCGGGCTCTCCCCGTTGTCACGCGCTTCAACCATACCAATGGTGTCGTTCCTTACAACGGCATTGTAGCTGTAACTGCTAATTCCCGCGCCATCACCGCAGATGAGTACGCAAAAGACCCTGCATATTCAGCCATTGCGACCGAGTGCGAGAACGTCGCCAAACTGATGGGTGTCACTGCTCTCATTCGAATTGATGTTCGTCGCTTCACCGAAGAGCCGGGATCTAAGTTCGCTCTTTTCGACGTGAACCCAAAGCCAAACATGACTGGCCCTGGACGTCCTGGAAGAGACGATCAGGCTAGTTTGAGTGCTATCGCTGCTGCCGAGATGGGGTGGGATTACCCGAGGCTGATGTTGGAGATGCTGAAAAGTGCCCAGTCTTTGCGACGCCTGAGAGAGATGCGCCCGGACACTGTGTAGGACGACAGAGCAACCTTGGGACATGCTAAAGGAGCTACAACATCTTGAGGCTCCTAGATGACTACATTGGGTTGTACAGACCCGTTTCGCAAGTTCGCGCACAGCCTGTGAGCTGAATTTGATACCACAGTCAGAATTTCGAATGGAGGTGAGCACGTGGGCTGAGTCTGGTGACATTGACTTTGAGCTGGGCTGCAGGGTCGTTCTGGAACGCGGTTCAGCCGTTATCCTTAAACATTGTTGTTTACTTCTCCGCACTTCCCCAAACCTTCCCCCTGGCCTTCATCAGCCGACCGCATCGTCCACTGGATTTTCCATGCCAGATGAGCATTGGTGGCCCGTCATTTACGTTTCAATACTTCGATCAGTATCACTCAGGTTGATGCTCATCGATAACATGAATGGACTTCTGCGATTTGTGCATAAGCCTCTAAACAAACAAATCGCTATCTAAGAACGGCTTGTCATCAGCCACAAATGCTTATATACTTTTGGACCAGTCAGGTCTCGCATGACCTCCACGGAACAGCTCCTCTGATTGTCTCGCTGTTGTATTGATCCTTAGCCCTGCAGATCTAGGCTCGAACGACTCGAACGTTTTGGTTCCTGGCGTTGACCAGCAATGATCTTTGGAAACCAATCGCTCATGCGTAACCTTGCGGCCCCTCTCATAAAGCCATACTTGACCCTGCTGAAAGCTGTCTGAACACTTTCAATCTCCAGTCTCCTATCGCTGCTCCAAAATACTGCGCAAGCTCAACATGAAGTCTTATACTTTGCCATTCGTTTCGTCTCTCTTGGGAACTGCTTATGCTGCGTCCCATTCTGTTGACGTTGGTGAAGGCGGTCTGGTCTTCTCCCCCAACTCTACTACTGCCGCTGTCGGCGACACAGTCACTTTCCACTTCTATCCTCGCGCCCATGGTGTCGCTCGCAGCAGCTACTCCAGTCCTTGTGCAGCTATAGCCGATGGCTTCAACTCTGGCTTCGTTCAAGTCGCCAGTGGAGAGTCAGCCACGACCTTCACGATCACCATTAACAACACTGATCCGATTTGGTACTACTGTCCTCAAGGAGATCACTGCCAGGCTGGCATGGTTGGCGTGATCAACCCTCCGTAAGTAGCCTATGAACAAAACTTCCTCTGCTCCGCTGATAAATGAATCAGCTCCTCGGGCGGTGAGACTATCGGTGGCTTCATTAACGCTGCATCAACTGCTGGATCAAGCACAGTGCCCAGTGAAGTCTATGGTGGTATTCTCTCTGCCAATGGCAATGGCACATCAGGCGGTGCTGCGGCCGGAGGCTCTTCTTCGTCGTCTTCCATGGCATCTTCGTCGCACGCCTCCTCAATTATGGCCTCCTCTTCCCAAGCATCCTCCATGATGGCTTCGTCCTCGAAGGCTTCTTCCAGTATGGCTTCTTCTGCTGCCGCTGCTGGTGGTTCTTCCAGTCACTCCATGACGGGTAAGCTCTTCCCTCCCATAGTCACCGTCCATTGCTGTCCGAAGTGTTTGCTGATTGTCTTTTACCAGCCTCCTCTGCGTCCGCAGCTTCGGGTACTGCTTCCCACAGCTCAGGATCAGGATCAGGTTCAGCCACATCAAAGGCTGCTAGCGCCACAAGCAGTGTCGCCGCTTCTACAGGCGCTGCTGTGTCGTCCAAGACAGCGGGACTTGCAAACCTTGGTCTGGGCTTGTTGTTCGGTGGATGGCTCTTCCTGTAAACCATGTTTGAACTGCTGTTTCCCAACTTTTGATATTGTCATATGTTGTCTTTGTTATATCCATTTTGACGGCTGCGATGTGTACTCATTTGGTGTTCTTTACAATAGCAATGCATTGATCTTGCAACAAACATCACCTACACTGCCAATCTTGCATTGCTTGTCAACTTGAATTTTGCAGAAAGAGGCACTCCGGATTAATCTTTGAGGTTTACACGAGCTGCCTGTGTCGGTCCGCTCATCTGCTATAAGAGCTCAATACAACATGATCTTTGGCTAGGAAGCAAAAAGGCTTGGAAAGCACAAGAGAGTGGATTTAGAACGACATCCACCTCCTGAGAGTCCAAACAAGGCAACACATAGATCAAGTCATGATGAGTTGAAATCACGAAATGAGTGGATGCCAGAGACACCCTGCCTCGACAACGCCACAGACGTAACCCCTGACGATCTTCCTGTCGATCTCGGAAGCAGTGCGGGGTAGACCCAGCTCCGTACCAATCTCGCAGATGAATTTCGGAAAGCTGAAAACCGGACGACTTTTCATCTTTGCTCTCTGCCAGCATCTTATTGAATTGTATGGCAGAAAGATATCATTGTTGTCAATCATTTGACCTGACGTGAAACAGGACCATGTGAGGAATCAGAATGAAACGCCCAAGCTTGGAGGAAAGGGTCCTATGTGGGTAGGTGGTGGATCTGAAAGGTCACGCGGATCACGCACAATGTGTCCGCCAAGGATCAATAACCTACTTCTAGATCATGCATATGGCTTGCAGCGTTCTAAGCATATCGTTCTTGCATGATATGCAGCAGAAGGTGAGGTTCAGATGGCCGGGTAACAAAATGGGTTACAGAGAACATATAATACCACATCTTGCAGGTATATGCGACAAGACAGAACACCTCGGCTTCCCGGCCCGGGGCGCTCGGGTGCCTGACTCTTCGACCCGTTAGATAATGGATACCCCTCACAAACCTTTAGCGGCTTCCCAACTCTGGGCCGATCTACGGCTGCCATAACCGGCAACGTATACATGAGCTTACTTAAGAAGCAAATGAACGTTCCCCCACGGTGATACCCCGCGAACCTATGCCCACGTCTACTGGCCAATACGTCTTGGGACCGAACACAGAGCAGCCAAAACACAAAGATAACATCGTCGAACTTGCAAAACGCTATGGATGTGATCAGGACAATCACCTTGGGGGAAAAGGTAGATCTGGTCGCACGACTTTTGTTCTGCGGTAAGTCGTTTTTGTCACCGAATCTTGAGTCCACTCCTGACCATCTCAGTCCCGCTTGTTTATATAAGGGAAACGATCAAGACAGTGACGACGGCTGTCCAGCGGGGTCTCCCGATCAAGGAATATTTGACTGCCACAGTGGTCCGTACGCTCATGACGTGTTTCACCGAGCGACAGATGTTGTACCTTCATGGACCCACATCGCAAACATACCAAACATGGATCGAGAAAGAAGCCAAAATCCGCAATCTCTCTCCAGTTCAAGATACTGTCGTCTTGGCTGATAGTACGACCAGGCTGCATTGGATCAAGAAAACCAAGGACAAAGCATCAAAGGTAGTTTTGCTGTTCCACGGAGGTGGCTACTACGTTCCAATCGCACCTGGACATCTCAATTGGTGTTCATCGATTATCAAGGCTTCTGACTCGACAACAAAGACTATGGCAGCTGCTGTATTAGAATATGATCTCACTTCACAGTCAAAATATCCTCGTCAGCTTCAGCAAGCAACTCTCGCACTGCAACACCTCTTGCAGCTTGGTTATCAACCAGGAGATATCTTCATTGGAGGTGACTCCGCTGGTGGTCATCTTAGCTTGAGCCTTTTGTCTCACTTGATGCACAAACATCCTTCAGTGCCGAGTGTGAATATCAGTCGCCCTTTGGCTGGAGCGTTCCTAATCTCCCCGTGGGTTACAGATGACTGTTCGACAGCCTCATTCAAAGAAAATGCATGGATCGACATGCTACCTCACCACATAATAACCGGCGTCGCAACTTTCTTCGTACCTTCTCATATCCGACGAGCAGAATCAGCGAAGAAACAAGGCTGGGCGATGCCTCAAGATGCAGATGATGGTTGGTGGCGTGCGCTGGCGAACGTTGTCTCCAATGTCTATATCACTGCGGGCGAGCAGGAGCTCTTCCGCGATCACATCGTTATCTTTGCAAACATGCTTCGCCAACAAGCTCCCAGCTGCCACATTGAGCTGGAAATCGGAGTAGGAGAGGCACATGATCACATGTTACTCTGGGAGATGCTGCATTCTCGCGAGAACCCTGCACTCAGAAGACTTGACAAGTGGTTCGTTACTATTCTGCAAGAATGAGGTATTCCTGCTGTGTCAGCAAATGTTTTCTTGTTTTTGAAGTATAAAACAGCGCCAGAGATCAAAGTGGAATAGCAAAAAAAGCATTCTTCAGAAGTCTGTGTTCTGCAGATTAAGGCCTTTTGACTGCTGGGCTCGCTGATGTTCGCATAATATCTGTCCTTTTATTCTTATTAAAAGGCTTATCCGAGATCTTTCGTAGGACTGCGTCATATAGTAGGCTTTGGTGATTTGGTGACTTGAATCTATCACAATCTCGATGGCACCCATCTGGGCTGCTTCTTCGCTGCGAATGCTTCTAGCCCAATGCGCAGGTTTTCAGATGTCATCAAGGCGCGCGAATACCTCTGCTCCGTTCGTTGTGAGGCTTCTTCAACACTACCACAGGCCAGCGATTCTCTTAAGCCAGAGCGAGTCACAAGGACAGCATCAGGCGACTGAGCTGCTATCTGCCTCGCCAGTGCCATGGCCTTCGCCATCATTTCCTCTACTGTGTCGGTCACTACATTGACAAAACCCAGTCCGTGTGCTTCATCTGCACTTATACGTCTCCCGGTCAAGGCCAGCTCGCTAGCGACCTGTAGACCGCAGACTCGAACAACACGTGATAGACCTCCAGCCCCTGCATAGAGACCTCGTCGCACTTCGGGCAGAGCGAATATCGCTTGTCTGGCAGCTATCACCATATCGCTGAGAGTGTTATTCTAGGAGATGGAGGCCGCTGTGATTGGTAACAAATACATACCAGTTCAGACAGATTTCAGCCCCGCCCCCAAACGCAAAGCCATTCACTGCGGCAATCACAGGTTTCTTACCTGTGCGACGGCTCAATCCTGCAACACCTGATGGGGCCATGGGTTGCTGTTGCTGTGGACTCGCACCGTAGGGAGAATCGCGCTGCTGTTTCAAGTCTCCACCAGCGCAAAATGCCTTAGGTCCCGCTCCAGTCACGATAGCTACAATCAAGGAGGGCTCGTCATCGAACCATTCAAAGAGGGTTTGCCCCTCCAGATGACCGCTCATTGGAATGCTGTTCATCTGCGATGGGCGATTGATGGTAACGAGCATGATGCCCGGCTCCGGGAACGTGACATTGTAGACGGAAGTGGGTGGTGGTTGAGGCGACATATGGCTACCCAGTAGTGACACTATCGAAGAGTTATATGAAGATACAGGTGGCTTGAATCACAAATCTAGTCCTGTCCTGTATTGAGGATATGTAGTTTTGAGAATTTCCGAATTCCGATGCATGCCCAGCCAAGCCACGATCTGGGACAACCCCGCTTCCCCGAATGTTAGCCCTGCCGTTTTTGCCGAGTTTGTGGGGACCCCTCGTGTTTCAACTTCCATCACCCCTCTCCGCTGATTCATTGCCGACGACCCTTACGCTGAGTCATTGTGAGCGACAGCTCGGCCGACTCACTGCAAACGACCTCGTCGCTGATTCGCTGTTGCTTTGACAGCCTACAGAACTGATAGAAGTGCCACATGACTCCCACAGCTGCTTCCCTGGAGAAGAAGCGACTGCGCGATCGACGTGCCCAGCATGCCGCCCGAGCACGTCGTGACACCCAGCTGCAAGCACTCCAGCAACGCGTGGAGCAGGGTGATAAAATACAGGCACAGCTTGAGGTTGAGGTGCAGCAGCTCCGTACTGCCCTGGATACTCTCCGCGCCGAAAACCTTCAGCTTCGTCGTCAACACACGGCCGCTATCGAGCTCCTCTCCGGCAGCAGCGAGTTGATACAGGAAGGCGCCAATGGCCAGATATCTCACCATCATAGCTCGCCAAGTCTCCCTCAAAAGCAGCTGGATGACTGCAGCCCGTCCTCGACGTGGAGCCGAGTACCACAAAATTTCCCGGAGGACAGCCTGTCAGCGAGCCTGATGCCCTGGTTGTTATGTCCTGCTGTGGTAACACATCTAAGTGACACGCCCTGCGGCCCCGATATATTGTATGGCAGTCATACAAACCCGTTGAGTAACGCAATCCACATAGCCTTCTCTTGTGCACTGCACGGTACCCTTAATGACCCTGAACGCCTCGCCCTCGGTGAGTTGCATGATCTCGCGTACCGAAAGTGCTATTCCTCCAGACTGACAACAGTGGTCAAGGATATCTTACCTACATTGTCTCGAAATGGCGTGTGGAACCCTCGCAAGAGCGCTTTGATCGCTTGCCAGAGTTCATGCGCTCTACCCAACTCCAAACTAGCCAGCCACACCAGGCCATAATTGACGGCTGTATCTGGCCACGAATGCGGGACAATCTCATCGAACAAAACCTGCCAGATGCTCAAATTCACTCCAAGATTGGTTACATGATCTCTGCCATGAGGCTAACGTGGCCCAAGAACATGACTCTGTTGAGACCACGACCAGATGGGGAGCTCTGCATCCGCACCGACTTCATACAGACTTTCATGCGGCTGGAGAACTGGTCTCTTACCACCGAGTTTGTCTCAGAACATTCTGACATGGTGAGCTGCATGTCTTGGTCGCCCATGCCAAGCCAAGAATCTCCTGATGAGCACAGTCGAGTGAGGATAGTCCCTACTGTTCATGAATAGGGATAGAAACCTGCTATTCATGATTGAAAGAAATGTTCGAGACATCTCTTCCTGATCCTCCACGTTCTGGACCGCTTCACAGTCTGGAATTCAACTTCTCCTTCCGCTGCGTCAACGCGAGCTCTTGACGCACGGCCAGGTCGCCAATTATCTCCTCACTTCCTCCACCAACAACCATGACACGTAAATCTCGACTGATCTGCTCCACCGCACCACCAACCCCACCCCTCTGGTATCCAACGCCGCCAAGCACTTGCTGCGCTTCTCGGCATGCCAATTCGAGCATGCGACCCCCAAAGATTTTGGCCATAGCAATGCGACTCGCCACATCATCTGTCCAACCATTAACATGTACATGGTACGCAATCTGTTCGATCCACGCCCAGTGCGCTTCAATATCCTTAGCGACATTGGCAAGCTTGTGCCTGATTACTTGATTGTCGAAGAGGGGTTTACCAAACGTGACGCGATCCTGTGCATACGCAAAAGCGGTCGACAAGCAAGTGCGTGCTTGACGATTCATGGCCACAGCAATAAGAAAACGTTCTTTGTTGAAGTCTGGTCACGTCAGCTCATGTATGCCTGGACTCTAGATTTGATTCACGTACTCGTCATCAAGACTTTGAAACCTGCGTTTTCTTTCCCTATCAGGTTCGTCACAGGAACCTTGACATTTTCGAGCGTTATCCATGATGAATTGCCAGCATTATTACCACTGTTTTTGATCTTTCTAGCCGAAAATCCTTCCGAATTTGTAGGAATCACAAGTACCGATACTCCTTGAGCACCAGGACCACCCGTGCGCACGGCAGTGGTCATGTGTGTAGCTGAGAGTGCTCCAGTTATCCATTTCTGTGATCTTGTCAGATCTTGATAGTTAGAGGCCACATTACCAGTCATCATACCTTATGTCCGTTAACAACATAGTACCGACCATCTGGAGTTTTCTGAGCGGTCGTGCGTAGATTGGCCAGGTCTGAGCCACCAGTAGGCTCGGTCGCGCCCAAGCAGAATGAAATTTCGCCAGTGAATATCCCGGGCAGCCAAGCGTCTTTCTGTGCTTCTGTGCCATGCGCAAGTACTGGAGGAGCGCCGATCGAAGACGCTCCTGCGAGGCCGGCCTGTACTCCGGTTTTTATGCGTGACAGCTCGTCATGCAGCACCATATAGTGGAATACGTCGTAATCTGCCACCCCAGCTCAGCAACTTTTCGAAAGTATTCGATCAGTCAGCGAATGCCAATGTTACCTTCTGGAGCTACGCCGCCAATATACTTAACACCTGCCCTCTCCCGATACTTGCGGGGGAAATCTTGCAACACTAGACCGGCCTTCGTAAAAGCCATTGCGGCCTGTCAAATGTTGTCAGACCATTCAAAGCTGTGTCCTGTACGGGACGACAGGGCCAAACTCACTTCTTTTGGCACTTGACCATTTTCCTCCCATTCGTCCTCATAAGGCAGGACATGTTCATCAACGTAGCTTCGAATTGCTTTACGTAGACGTCGGTGACTGTCATTGTAATATGGCGAAGCCAAGGTAGTATACCAAGCGGGCTCAGCCCACGGCGCCAAATCGCCAAAGATCTCGACTTTATTCATTCTGGTGGCGGTGCTTGAAATTTGTGCAAAATTGTGTCTGGAGAAAGGCTTGTCTGATCTATCGTAGACTAAATCAAGCTGATATTCCAATTCGGCAGATCCAGCAGCCTAAATTACATCTTGTGGCTCCGAAATCTTAACCCCGCTGGAGAAGCGCTGAATCAGTGCTTGCTGTCGTGGCAGGACGCATCGTTCCGAAATTCCGACTGCAACCTCCACTTTACCATGTGACGCATGAATGGTAAAGTGTTATTTATGTATCATGTTAGCCTTCGCTCAGAAAGATGGTCTGAAAGTCCCTCCGAGCAATTATCACGACTGCACATCTTACACCAGCCTTACATCAGCGGAAATGGCGCAAGCAATCACCATATACGAATCTCCTTACCCGGACATGCTCATACCAACTGATGTGTCCATGTCGGAGTATATGATCCGCAGCAACCCAGACGATGTTGCCGATGATAAGGTCATCTTTTCAGACCTCGAGGAGCCGTACGATTCGGTGACTTATGCTGGGCTGCGTGAAGACACCGCCAAAAATGCTGCTTGGCTGCAGAGTATAGGCTTGCAACCTGGAGACACCGTAGCTATGTACGCAACGAACAGCGTCGCATGGATCAAAGCGGCCCATGCCGTGGTCTGGGCTGGAGGAGTTCTTGCGGGCATCAATGCAGTCGTCTCCGAGTTCGAACTCCCGCATTACCTCTCTGTTGCAAAACCCAAGTTTGTCTTTACCGATCCGGCGCTGCACTCACGCGTGGACTCTGCGTTGAGCAAACTTTCCGCTCAATCAGCAAAGGTGATCGACCTCGGCACCACTCGCGGCCAAGGGTTCCCAAGCAACGTGCCTCATCAGCGACCCATACCACCGTACGCTGTTACTGAAGATAACCGCAAAGTGCCAGCAGTCTTGCTTTTCAGCTCGGGTATGATATGTTCTGATCGAATGCGTGCTTCTGTTGTTGACTTATTGTTGCAGGCACCACTGGCAAGCCAAAGGGCGTGCTTCTCAGCCATCATAATATGATTGGGCATCTTCTTGGGCCTCGCAGCGGCAGTTACGAGACGATAGGCCACCACACTATAGAAGTGTTCTATCCACCACTGGCGCATATGTTTGGAATCGTCGGTGCTGTCTTCCCCGGAGCTTACAATGGCTCCCACACTGTCCTCATGCGACAGTTTGACTACCGCAAATGGATAACTGCTTGCGCAAAGATCAGAGCCACAAGCTTGAAGTCAGTGCCCGCGATCGCAGTGATGATTACCAAGGATCCGGAGATTCTCAGCGGCAAACTCGATCTGACGAGCGTCCAGTATCTACTGTGCGCGGGGGCTGCATTGCAGCAAGAGGTTGTAGCATCTCTACAGCAACTTCTTCAGGGAGTGAGTATTGTTCAAGGTTTCGGAATGAGTGAGACTGCTCTTTCCTTCTTGCGCCCACACAGGTCGGTGGAGAAACGCGGCAGTGTTGGAAAGCCATTCCCCAGTGTGAAGCTCCGAATCGTTGATGATCAGTATCGCGATGTTCCTCGCAACACTCCCGGACAAGCACTCGTCAAGGGCCCAACTGTCTTCATGGGATACCGTGACAACGAAGCCGCAACAAAAGAGAGCTTCCGCGACGGTTGGCTGTGTACAGGCGACGTTATAGCCATTGACGACGACAACTTCCTTTGGTTCAAAGACCGAAAGAAGGAGATGATCAAATACAAGGGCAATCAAGTTGCACCTGCCGAGCTCGAGGATCTTCTGAACTCACATCCCGCCGTCGCCGAAGCTGGTGTGTGCGCTGCTTGGGACAAAGAGAATCAGACAGAGGTATGTCAAAGAACAATTTAGAAGAGGGAATTTAAATTTGAATGTCTGCTAACTTTTGCTTCTATCGACACAGATTCCAACCGCTTATGTAGTGTTGAACCCGACCAAGAAGCAAGCGGACACAAGCGAGATTCTCGCGGACATCCGGAAATTCGTCGATACGCGTGTTACTGGCTACAAGAAGCTCCGTGGTGGTGTACATGCTATCGCAGCACTTCCCAAGAACGTTACAGGCAAGCTTGTGCGTGGAGAGCTCCCTGCACGCAAAGAAATGGAAAAGGCGTTCGCTGCACCGAAGGCGAAGCTGTAGTCCATAGCTAGATATATAGTCAGGGAAAAGGTGTTCTTATGAGGGACTTTGGCCATGGGCGGTCGATAGATCTAGATAGACAGTGGATCTAGGTACTCATATCCAACAAGTGTTCAACGATCAAACCAGATGTCAATATCGCTATATAGTTATTAGTCTCATCGCATAGAATAGAAGATCATCGACAGAGGTGACCGTCCTGTCGGAAATCATGGATGTTGCGTAGAACAAGAACACATCACGCCCATCATCAGCATTAAACACAGTATCAATTCGTTGCGCCTCGGACCAAAGGTTCACTACAAAAGCAAGGTGTGATTCAGGATACTGAATTCTTCCGAGTGCGCCCCCTCACAAGACCCCGAGGAAGCAAGAGGAAGGATGGCTCGCGCGATCCGAACTCGAAAGCGGATGTGGTCAGCGCTGATTCAGTGATATACCCTGCCCCGCATCGTAACCCCAGTCGTATCACGGCTGAGCTGCATCCGTCAACCGGGTGGGGAAGCGGGGGGCGATCAGCGCTGATTCAGTGCCATGACCTTAACACATATTGTCAGTAGAAGCACGGCCCGAGGATTATTCTGGGAGCTCGAGATTCCGGCTTTCCGGGATATTCTTATAATACGACCTTGAGTACATTTTTTGAGTCTTTACGCCTGGAAGTTTTGATCTCAATCCGCCAACAGATTTACCAGTTCTCACGTCGCAGAGTGACCAAAACCCGTGATCATAATGGCGCTTCCTCGTGAGAAACATCACTAAACCCTGACATCGCTGTTAGTCGCGACTGACAGTGCTACCCTAGAGATCTTAAGGACACCGTCCACAGACATCTTGGGCGTCAAACATCCTATCATGCTCGCTGGAATGAACCAGGTGTCGAGTCCGGCCCTGTGTGCTGCTGTCACAAATGCTGGTGGCTTTGGTGTCATCGGTGGTGGCACATACACACCAGAGCAAATGGCAGAACAGATTGACAACACCCGAGCCCTGCTGGACGACAAGAACGCGCCGTTCGGAGTAGATCTCCTCATCCCTAAAGTTGGCGGAGGCGCCCGAGCGACAAAGTAGGCACAGCATACATTGCGATTGTGTTGTAGAATTTTGGCTGACGAGACTAGTTACGATTACCTCAAGGGCAACTTGGACAAGCTTATCGACATTATCATCGATAGGAAAGTGGCGCTCTTCGTCTGTGCAGTTGGTTTGGCTCCAGCACATGTGGTCAAACGTCTTCATGAGGGAGGAGTGTTATACATGAACATGTGCGGAGCACCAAAGCATGCGGTAGCAGCCGCCAGGAACGGTGCTGATTTTGTTTGCGCAACTGGCAACGAAGCCGGCGGTCACACTGGCGAGATCCCAACCATGGTCCTGATCCCAGCCGTCTACGAAGCCATTAAGGGGATCAAGAGTCCTTATACTGGCAAGCAAGTGCAGCTGGTCGCCGGAGGTGGCTTGTACAACGGCCGATCAGTCGCGGCTGCCATGTCGCTCGGCGCTAGCGCTGTGTGGGTTGGTACCAGATTCATCTTGAGCAAAGAGTCAGGAGCATCCAAGTTCCACAAGCAAGAGCTTCTGACAGCTGGCCATGGTGACGTTGTCAGGTCGACTATCTTCACTGGAAGACCACTGCACTCCAAAGCCACCCCATACTTGCGCAGATGGGAGGAAGACCGACGTGTCGAGATGTTGGCGCTTCAGGAAAAGGGCATCATCCCAGTGCACCATGACCTCGAGAAGCACCCTGACGACGAAGAAGTACTGGACGGACAGATCCCCATTCTCATGGGAAAGGTTGCGCCATTAGTCAGAGAAGACTTGCCTGCAAGAGTTATTGTTGAGACACTTGTGCAAGAAGCAGACAGTGTTCTCAAGGAGCAGCAGCAATTCATAGCTAAACTATAGTAGACGCAAGAACAAGGAACATTACAAGGCTGGCAAGCTTGATATCAGCCAATATCACTCAGCGGAAGTAGAATTTGTTCACTCCCACTTTTATGCTTTTGGGTGACAAGCGTTCTAAGCATGGAATGATCCACCAGTAGAGTCCAATTCATCGGAGGTAGTGTCAGCATGAGCGACAAAAAAAAAACGGTTCCAGTCGAACCCACATGATGGCTTGCTGAAGGATGTTGCCAACCTTACAGTCGAGGTGAGAAGTAATACTTCGAGCGGGGCGCATCAAAGACATCATGCGCACCCTGGTATTCACAGCCAAAACTCATTCGAACTTTTAAGCGCTAGATATATGGTTTGGAGTGGGGCGTCGTGGAACTACCAAGCACGCTCACTTTGCTTCTCGGTCGTCGCTATATACGTGCGAATAAGGCGTGTGCCCAGGCGAGTGCTGTCTTGGCTACAGTTGATGTCCAGTCAAGAACACTGCTGGAAGCTGAAAGCTTCTTGGTCTTAGCGCCGTAGGCGGCACGGGGCTTGCGAACGCATTGATAAAGGAACGACTGATGCGATAGCAAAGCTACATGAACATCCTCGATGAAGCCCTGTGCCCCGGCTTCGAAGCACAATCGATGGAAGTGAGCGTGTCTTGAAGCCGACTGTGTTCATTTATGTCTCGGAGAGCACCATGAGGTTTGTGGCTGTAATTCACATCTTTACTGGCTGTTGAGATATTCTGCGGCATGGCCATCGCTGCACATAACGATATGCTTTACAAGGAAGATCGTCTGCGCAACATTGCTTGGAGTTCTTGGACCGCTGTATAAAGTCCTTCGGGAGGATCAGGCATACCTTTCCCATCGTGAGAAGAGGACGAGGGGTAGATAGGTCTATGTACATCTGTAGTATCAGAAGTAAGGACCAGTGCTGTCACAAAGTTGCAGTGTGTGAGGTTCGTCAAGTGCACAAGCTGTCTGTGGTCTTCACCGCAAGTGCACAAGCTTTCTGTAGATTCTACCGGCAGAGGCAAAATCCTTGAAGTGCAAAGAGAGAATCTCGAGAAGGGGGAGATTGGAGGAAGCAGGGAAAGATGATGAGCGGAGCTGACTGCGGTGAGGAACAAGTGAGACAGCAGCGCCGGTTTCCATTGAGAGGTCCAGCTATATAAGGGATTGGAAGCGGTCATTGAGGCCACTGACTAGTGACATCAGGGTCTTCGCAATGGCTTGTGAATCTTCATAGAGGCAAGCTTTGCTTGGGCTGCATTGGCTCTGGTTTTGGAGCAGTGTCAAACTCCTAAGCTTCTTGCAAGATTCCCTGGTCTGAGCAAAGTGTGCAGTAGAACCTTTGACACCAGCACCGGTGCTGAAGACCTGGATTAGCCTCGGTCTGAATCTTTTGTTGAAGCTCGTTGTAAGCCTTGAGCCTCACACAGGCATCTTCGCATTGTCGCTTGAACTTCTCGTAATGGCTACAAGCTTGACCATCAGTCACAGTAGCATACTCCTGCTTGTAGACATGGAGACAGATGTTGCTCCGTGAACAATATATAGGAGAGTATGTATACAACGGGGAAGCCTAGTCCACTTCTCAAGCCAAGTCTCCATAAGGATGTTATCAATTGTACATTGCCAAGGAAGACAAGTTTGAGTGCTCCAGATGTGCTGCGATCACGGCCAGGTGAGTGTCAAATCTCTTGTCATCTGAAACATTCTCGGGCGACATGGTGCTGGTGCCGTTTGTGTCTTTCAGAGTGCTGATGAAAGTTGTCCTGGGGCCACGTCTTTTGAGGTTTCGTTCATCTTGGTAGGGATTTCGACAGGTGAGATGGATGACATGCTGAGATTGGTCGGCGATCACATCCTCGGGGCTCCAATGACTACAGTTTCCGACCAGAGAAGGCTATATACAATGACTGAGATAAGGTAAACTGTCTGTGAATCATTCCAGCCATCAGGACTCTCTTGCAAGCTGAGTCGTAGTCGCAGTCGCTCGTCGATATCAAGATAATAACAGGAGTTTTTGTGCTGTGAGCTCTTAGACATCAGCTCTATTGATTGGCTTTCTTTGGATGGATTTCAAGAAATAGCCGATGTTGTAGTCGGTGCTCGATTTCATCCTCCAGCGATGCATTGATGTGATCCATCTACTGTCAGCTGATGAGATCGACAGGATCGTTGCGTACCCAGTTTTGAGTTTCGAACCACTGCCAATTGAACTGATCATAATCAACACTGTCACGGTCTGCGTCACCGGTAGGGGTGAAATTGTGGCGGTAGTCAACGGAGACCTCGCTGTTTCCTCTTGCGAAGGTAGCCTTATTGAAGTTGTAGAGGTAGCCAGTTTCGTAGTCGCAAGTGAACAATCCGAGATGGATTATGTTGTTGCGGTTAAAGTAGTCGATTTCAGGGCCAAATTGGACAATATCTTCGACGCCGCCACGCACCACAATGGCTAGTCTCGTTGTGAATGTAGGCAGTGTCGTGATCGCAGACGAACTTGCCGAGAAGGGTGATGTTGTTGCGCTCGGATTATACAAGATCCAAAGCGTCATCAGCTCTACTTCCTACGAAGAGTTTCTATGAGCCTTGAAGCTGTCCAAAGCAGCCCCAAGATCGGTAAGTCGAGGCGTCGCCATGATGATGTGTAACCCTAAGCTTGATGGAGATGTGGGAGAGGATTCTAAGCGTCCGCATCTGGTTGGCCGTCCGTGTAGCTCTTTAGAGAACTGTGCTCCTTCTCTAATGCAAGGAGGATCCAGCGGAAGCCCACGCTGCTGCTGGAAAGCATCAGCAGACCATGCAAGGTGGCCCACAAGGATGTTGCTGGATTTTTCATCGATAAAGAAGATCAACACTTGAAAAGTTGAGTTTTGTGGTGCTTGGAAGAGACATGCACTTCTCAGTGGGTCTGGACCACTGCGAAAGTTCCAGCGTGGACAGGTGTTCAGTCTATCATCGATGGCAGTCTTTCCCTCTTGGGCCTTTCTGCAGACGTGGTCGTCAATCAGCACCAAGACGATTGCGTGACGACTACTGACTGCGGAACCAATAATTCTGATGATAATGTTGTACATCTGCTGTTGTGACCTGGACGCTGTGTATACCAGCGTTCCTTGCCGTTCTCAGTCTGGAACATAAATGTTAGGCAAACCAGAGGAAGTCTCCAAACAGCAAGGAATAAGCAACAGCAATATCGTTCCATGTGCCGCTCTTGATACCGCAAGACTTGACGAACGGAGATAATCCTCAAGTCATCCAGTGCGACAGAATTGGGTTCTTCTTGTCAAGAAACCTCTCTCAGACTACCAACGAAACGTCTCAGTAGGGCAGTACCAATGCCCACGCAAATGCCGGAGTTGTAGGCCTGGACATCACAGGTATCTCAGTCGTGGATGATGGCACGCCAGCTTCTGAGCAATTGACGTACGGCTCCTGAAGTACTCTGTTTGACGCGTGGGGAAGTGGACATTCTTTTCGTAGAATTGCAATACCAAGCGTGGACTTACCAAATACATGTGAATGCCCGAAATGATGGAGAACTTGACATGGAGTCGAAGGTTGGGACACTAAGGCTCCACGAGCAATCTGAGGTAAGTCTCAGTGAAACTCTTCAAGCCGGCACGTTCTTGGCGACCTTACACTTCTTAGTGTCCCTACGAGCCTTCATACATCCAACACAAGGCTTGTTGGGGTCAGGCTTGACACATTTGTAGTGTTTGTGATGGCAGTTATCCCAAACGAGGCGTTTATTTCCTGCGTGGAATTTGCCGCGGCGTTTGCGAGAGATGGGAGCTTCATATCCATAGGTCTGGCAAAGAGCTGCTGCATGGGCTCTTCCGCTGAAGTTCCTTGCACTTCTACTTGCTGGGCTGCCGTTATATAGGTGACGAGTTTGTGTTTGGAGGCGGTGCGGTGGAGAAGTTCGGCAAGAAGGGCTGGTGACCGGAGGCACTGGAGGCAAAGATAGGGGCCATGGGATTGAGCTCTGGGGGGTGAGCGACGCCAGAGTCAGTCTCGTCGTGGTACTTGCGGAACCAAAACCAGTGCTGCTTGCCACAGATGCGCGAGAAGAAGAAGGAGCAGCACCGAATATAGCTCTATAAGTCGAAGAGGCCGAAGCAGGAATAGCAGATGCGATGAAGAGGAAGGTCAAAGTCGCCATAGCAGGCGGACTAGGGCGAGCCATGGGGGAGGAATAGGGGGCAGGTTCAGAAGTGTTCTGGATGGCACCAGAGCGGCGCTGGACTTGATCATTGGCAGCTGGGTACGAGCTCCAGGAAGGCGACCAAGGGGGTTGACGCTGTAGGCTATAGGATAGGGGTTAGTTGAGTTTCCGTATCCATAGGAAGACTGAGCAGCGTCAGGATAGTGGCCATACTTGTTGAGTCGAGGATCACTCTGCCTGCCACACCAATATCGAGCAGTCCGCAGCGTAGTAATCACCTTGCGCAGGAAGATACGACACAGGCTTCATCGGCGGCCAGCAGCAATTCAAGTGCTGAAGGAGCTCTCTCGGCAGTCATGGCTATTGTAGCGGTGAAGAATGTATCGCCAGATCCGTTCAAGGGCGTGAGGCTGAGAAAGCAGGATACCAGGAGACTGACGAGACCCACGACAATGGGGAGTTCCTTGATGCGGGCGTAAAGTAGGATTAGAGTGGTGCTGCTCTCGTGGGTAGTCTCAGCAGCAGCGACATGTATATATCCATCAAGAGCTTTCCGAGTATCCAAAGCTGGTAGCAAGATGCAGACAAAGGCCAGGCAATCATCATGGTGAATGGTGATCGCCACCTGAGCGTAAGTACAGCGAGTGGTTGGATCCGGATGAGATTGACTGGAGATGGTGACACTGATATGGATATCGCTGCCCAAGATCATTGATTTGAGGCGTTCACAGTCTTGAGGCCTTATACAAAGAGCCAGTAGATATATAGGTGGTGATGAGAGTGGAAAGACCAAATTGGCGGCGTGGATGGCGACTTACATATCCCGCCCGACTGAGGAATCCTGCGAACTTGGAAGCTGCTTGATTGCGGCGGATGGCAAAGAAATGAAGCATGTTGTAGAAGAGTGAAAGACGAAGACAGAAGAGGTCGCCTGTAGTACGTCGACAATCTGGAAACACAAAATGTGTGGAATGGGAAAGACGGAGAAAGCGACTGCCGTAAGCATAAGATTTATCGAAAGAAGGGCAAAGAAAGTAAACGGTGAATGTAAATCGGTTGATTGTCTCTCGTCTCAAGCTCAAGCATAGCTGCAGCAAACGACAAGCTTACCCTACCTACCCAATGAGCACATTGCCCTGCATACAAGCACATCAAGTCTCAAACACAGTCTCCACATCCTTCCAATCACCCTTATCTCTACGTTCCCAATACCCGTGTTTGCCACCCACCAATCTCCAAACCTCTTCATCACCTTCCTCTCCCTTGACAAGATCAAAGAATTTCGGTTTCCATTCCACACCATGTGTCTCCAAGACCTTTCTTCGTGCTCTTTGTCGTTCTTCAAGACGTGCTTTGAGGGCTTCGGCTTCGTCTGTTTTGCCGTCTTCGAGGGCGCGTTGATCGGGACGGAGGCGTGAGTCTGTGGGTGCGATTGCGTTCTTTTCGTTGTCGTCGAGTTGGTTGAGACAGGCTGCAAACGAGGTGTATCCGTATACCTTGGCTGCATTGGGAACAAGAGGACCAGCTGTCCATACTGTTTCGCCGGTGTCGGTACGAGACAGGCTTTCTGTCCATTTGCCAACCAATGTGGTTCCGAGTGGGGATGCAGATGAAGCCTCGTAGAACTGTGTTGTCACTTCTTCACTGCGACCAGAGAAGATGCCTCCAGCTTTGAAAGTAGCAACGGCTTTTGATCCAGTAGTCTCATTGACAATAGTCATGCTTTCCACAGGCTCGACGTACTTCTCGCCTGCAATTACATTGCGGAGGAAACATGTTGCCAATGTCCAAGAATACTTCTCGCCATTTACGTTGTGAAGAACCAGTCTCATCTTGCCTTCCGTGTTGAGTTCGGCACTCTTACCCCAGAATTTCTGAGTTGGTTGTTGAGATTGAGACAGTGACCATGCTGAGTCCAGAGCATCGGCTTGGAAGGCCATACGCACTGGTCGATGGCACACCTTCTCAGAAACAAAGCGGAAGCCAAGATCTGGACGGATGAGTTCGTAAGTCTCACCAAGCATGGGATTGAAAGGCTTTCGAATCGCTCTTTCCTTGACACGATTGCTGGCAAAGTTGGAAATTGCAAATGCTGCAACATACACAAGTCGATCTAGAGCTTTGTCTGGTGACAACAATGAAGAAGCCTTGTGTAGTAGGTCAACAGATTCGAAAGGTTCGGCAAGACGCTGTAAAGCCGAAAGTGGCTCGTTTGCAGTGACTGGCATGCTGACAGTACTCAGGTCTTTTCCAGCATTCTTTCTGAGGAAGCCAATGAGCGACGGAGGAGGTTGCTTGGGTGGCGATATAGTTGTGCGATAAGAGACCTTTGGCAGTTGCGAAGTCAACGGTACAGGTTTAGCAGGGAAGAGAGACATCTGGCCGGCTGCAGTAGTTGTGTCGTTTGCAATCTCTGTAGCATCTCCCACATCGCTGCTGGTGTCAGAATCATCTCCGTTAGAAGTGATGTCTTGGAAGTCTTCATGTGTGGCTTCACTAGATCTTCTGATTGACAAGAGTTGGGATGGAGCGTCCTCGGCATCAAAGAATTCTTGCGAAGATACCGAGTCGATGGATAGACGAGAAGCGGCAGGAGCAAGCAGGTTCGGATTGATGGACATGCGACGTGCTTTTGATTCTGCCAGTAGAGCGGAGAAGTCATTCACCACATTATCCAAATCGCGAAGAAGTGCTAAGCATCGTTCGTGAGTTTCCTGCATGGTGATGGATGTGGTATGAGGCTGTTTGTTCAAGTAGCTCGGTACTGGGGAGGTCGAATTGGAAGTAGCGGCAGATCCATGAGGGACTTCAAGCTGCTGACCAGAAGTCTTGCGCTTGAAGCCAGGAGCATCCTTGCTAGCTGTACTAGGCTTGCGTTTCCAGAAAGGCAGCCGTTCAGAAGAGGTGGTTGCAGAAGCTGTATCGGCATCGGCGAAGAAGGGGTTTGTGGTTGACTCGACAGAAGAAGCGCTTGGTGAAGCGACCGCAATGGAAGGTGAAATCTTGACATCAGTGTCCTGAGCAAGTCTGCGCAAAGCATCACGAGAACCAGAAATTCTGCTGACAATCTCCTCTGCACGTTCCCATTCGACAGATGTGACAGCTTCCGAGTTGCTAGCAAAGGGGCTTCTGTTCTGAGTAAAGGCAGCCGGAGTAGAGGGACCAGAAACAGCAGTTGCTGAAGCACGTTCAAGAGCTTCTTTCCACTCCTCAAAGTCCTTCTGATTGCTGGCTCTAAGATGCCAAACCTCGGCACCAGAATCGACGGAGAACTCGCGAGTTTTGGAGTCACAACCGACTGCGACTAGCGACAGAGGCACAGCGCCACGCAAAGCAGAAGCATGACTGTTGCGGTAGTAGGACAGGGTTCCAGAGGTGAAGTCGAGAGAGAAGAAACGACGAGCATAGCCCTGACCCTTCTTTCTGCGACGCTTGCCCAGGGTGCCGCTGTGGATATCGTGCGGCGCAAGCGACTGATGGAACGAAGACCTTGGACCCTTTGCAGCTTGTGTGTTTTCCAACTCTTTCCCCAACGACTCGACAGAAGCTCCCGGTGAAGCAGAAATGCGCGGACTGGTCTTGAGATTCGACGAACTCGGTTGAGCCTTGAGTTGAGCTCTCGACTTTGGCGGTGCGTTGGTAGGGTGCGTCATGAGTACGAGCGTGGCAGTCTTGGAGACAGTCTTGCTGAAGGTGTTGTCGAACACAAGACCGTACATGCCTCCCTGTCCAGGGCCAACATCGTAGGTGCCGACTCTGACTTTATCAGCCTCGCAATTGCCCACCCATTCAACACAGCGCAAGCCAATGCTGTGCAGTTTCTCTATGACAGTGCTAGCCTCATGCTTGGCCACCGATCCTCTTCTCTTTCTTCCATCGTTCAAGGGTTCGTCATTGCTATGGGCGCTCGGCGGAGGATCGAGGGTGGCAGACGAGGTGGGCATTCCAGGGGCCAGTCCATTCTTTGTTCCAGGATGTTTGAAGATGCCAAAGTTGATGCTTTTCTTGTGCGGCTGCACACTCCATCCAATCGAATGTCCTTCATTGACGTGCACCCAGCGCACAATGTAGCTCTGTGATTGTTGTCGCCGTCAGCCTCGCATTACTTGTATACACTTTCGGTTCGGTCCGGGCTTTGACACCGCGACTGTGCCTGCATCAAGGCCAACTCACCCTCGAATGGATCTGTAGATTCTCCATTCTTCCCTTCTACCTTTGAGAGATACAGAGAGCTACAGAGGCAACATCCAGCAGTAGGTCAACGTGTTTCCTTAGGAATGATTTCGTGTCAAAACGATACGGGAATCCAGGGATGAGCACGCAGTGGCCCAGTTATGTCAGCTCTCGCGAATCCCGCGACCGACACTCAACGGCCCTTTTTCCAAAAATCGCCGACTGTCCGGATCTTACGATTCCCGTGTCCGAAATATCGATTCTTGCGATGCTCTCGTCAGCTTTGTTGGTCGTTGTTGTACTGTAGTAATTCTTGCGAGAGCTGACTGTCGGTGAGTTGACTTTGTATTGCTGTCTTGTCGCAATATATGACCTGATTGGAAAGAACACGCGGCCGTATAGTGATACGCTCATTTGCTGTGCGTTTCTCGATCCCTTGATTTCAGCCCTGTGCTTTCCCCAGTTTCATAAACAACGCTGTGACGACGCCAAGATCGGTTTGTTTTGCACATCTATGCAATAATTGTGATATTTATGCTCGCTCTTCGCTTCTCGTCAAGGAAGTTCTTGCGAGGTCAAGAGTCTCGCCATCATTGATGCGTTCGGACTCTGGTGATTGCTTAATACCAAAAAAAGAAGGCGATGGCTCTTCGGTGTCTTGAGGTTTCGATGTGGCTGAAACGCGCGGCCTTTTCTTGTTATCAAGCCTCTCTCACCGGTAGAACGATAAGCTGTCATGTTGAATACGGCTGCGATACGGTAGGAGAAGAGCGAAACACACGACAATCCTGTTACCACACACCGACAATCCCAGAAGCATAACAATGAATCTAGCATATCTACTTCATGGATCCATTATGTCCATCTATGTGATTCTGTACCGATACCATCTACATTCCTTCTATTCTTGCAATGAAAACTACTCGACGTCTCTGTCCTTGAACACCTGCTGCTCCTCAACACGATCAACGTGCTCGGCATGAGGATCAGCCTTATATTCCTCAGCCACAGCCAACTCAACATCCTTCTTTCTCTGTTCGGGCGTGACGGCTCCAAACAAAATATCCATCTCTTCCAAGCTGCGACCTGTGGTCTCTTTGAGGAACATCAGAACAAATGCTCCCATAGCTGTGCAGAAACAGCCAAACATGATGAATGTACGCCAGCCAATGCTGTTAATGGCTGCAGGTGTGACTTTTGTGACGACAAAATTGAACAACCACTGTCGCGGAGTCAGTTATTTCGGAACAATCTCCACAGGATTTGAAAATCACAAACCTGAGTAGCAGAAGCCAAACCAACACCATACGCTCGCAGTCTCGTAGGAAAGATCTCTGCAACGTACACCCACGGTACAGGACCCCAACTGGCGCTGTAGCCGATAACATACAGATAGATCATTACCACCATGGCAATAGAAGGTGAGCTCACAGAGCTAGCATCCGGGTCTGGTGGGTACGAGACAAGAAGTGCGCCAATGATGAACATGCAGCTAGCCATCCACCAGGCTCCAGTAACCAGTGGCCATTTACGACCAAATCGTTCAATGCCGATGATGAGGAATATGCCTGTGGCAATGACTTTGACCGTACCGTAGATGCCGGTTGCGAAGAGTGAGGTGCTGGAGCCAGTGAGACCAACCTATCTCCATATTAGTAAAACTGCGCAAGAAATGAGGAAACGAAGAGAGAAAACAAAATAGAAAAAGAAAACTTGAAGCCTCAAGTCTTGCCTCTTCCTCCTCTATAATACAGCCACAACATGGAGAGCAACGACTTACAGATGCGAAAACTTGTGGTGCGTAGTATCCAATCGAATTTGTGCCGCTCCATTGCTGCCAGAACATGATGCAGAACGCAAGGCCGAAGCGTTCCCGATATCCAGGCTTGAGACATTCCTTCCAGCTAAGACCTTCAGTAGCCAAGAACTCTTCCTCTACAGACGCACGAATCTCAGCAAGCTCCTGAAGTACCTCAGGGTCATCGGTAGGCACACATCGAATATATGCGAGAGATGCCAAAGCCTCATCATGACGATCATTCTTCGCCAACCACCGAGGGGACTCTTTCAAGAACCAAAGACCGCAGAACATGATTCCAGAAGGTACGAGTTGAAGGCCAACAGGAACGCGCCATTGCATTGTTGTGGGAGCCATGTTTTTCTTGACACCGTAGCATAGCCAGTAGCTGAACATGACACCCAAGACCAGAAACTCTTGGAAGAGACCAGAGATCCTACCACGAACATCAGGAGGACAGTTCTCGGAGACAAAGACAGGTGTGATGGCGCTCATACCGCCGATACCTAGACCAGCGATGACACGACCACCGTAGATGGTACCGATGGCATGTGAAGCTCCAGTCTGAACAGCAGCGCCAACCATGAAGATGAGACTAAAGATCATGAGAGAGTATCGACGACCAAGACGTTCATTCAGCCAGGGTGCAGCCAGAGCGCCAAAGAAACATCCAGCGGTCAGTAGCGACACGACATTCGACGAGATCTCAGCGTTCCTGCCGTTCTTGAAACCTGTTGACGAAGCGGCCATGCCAAAGTCGTGCTTGAAGCTTTCCAGTTCCAGAACAGACCCCATGACACCAGTGTCGTAGCCGAAGAGGAAGGAGCCCTGCCATAATTGTCAGGAATTGCATCATTGTAGGACAAGTGTTGAGGTCCTCACCATATAGGCCACTAGGGTCAACAGGTAAACCCTGCGATTCTTGAAGAAAGCATTCGCCATTTTGTGCAATGTTTCAATGCCGAAGACTCTGCGTAACCAGAGAGTTGAAAAGAGTGAAAGGAAAGCGCTTCAAGGGAGACAAGACACATTTAACCCAGTCGCCGAACCATCCCATTGGGTCTGTTGAGGGCTGACTTATCAGTAGCGTGCTGTGCCCTCTCCGCGACCTCCATGTCTCCTCCACAGAATCCATCCCCTCAAATGGGCGGAGAAACCCTCATGGAGAAATAGGTGTGGGTCTGTTGCCCAGTCTTTCTCCAGATCTGCAGGTGGATACCATTTTTCCGTCGAGAAGGTCCGTGTGATGTCAGCGTGGTGAACTTCGAGGCATGCACTCGACTGTGCTGAAAGTGAAAGATATCTTGCTGTCAAGAGATACGGACATAGCGACTTTTCCTCAACAAATCTCATAAGCGATGATATCGATAATCTAGGGTTGTGGTTAACACAAGGCTTGAAGGATTCTGGTGGCGGTAGAGTTATAGGGCAGAAACCGACCGGGCTTGGCTTCCGAGTCAGGTTTCAACCGAAGCCATCATCAACAACATCCAATCATTCGTGCATCCTTCAAAGTGGCTTTTCACTAGGGAATCACAAGCATGGCGATGGCATGTGTGGCGGTCAATTCTGCTGCAGGTCGACCTTAGATTGGCTGTGGGTGCTTGTTTTTGAGATGCAAATACTCACTGTTGACAATCTTACTGGAGAAAAACATAATCCCTTCTTCATGACTCCGAAAGTGTATCCAAACAGTGCCAGATTCTCTTGAGGTAAATTTAACATGATGGATAAGGACATGATCCTTCTTGCTCGGATTAGACATGATAGAAAGCTCTTGTAGACTGTTGTTGAAGGTTGATCATGACGAACAGGGTGAGTTGCCCAGCACGGCGATTCTTCGGCAGACAGAGGGTCCGCAAGAAGACCACATGCCCTTCTCAAGTATCATCCTGCGTTGTTGATACTTGCGGCAGTCTTCGAGAAACTCGTACCCTCCTGGTGTGGCTTGTCTTAAACGAATGGGTCTAATGACAACATACTTTAACGACGCACAATCACTTCTTTGAATGCAATCTAGCCAAAGAGATCAACTGAGAAGAAAGTTTCCTTCACACATATTTTATCACTCGAATTCGTTGTGCGTTAGTATAGTCGTACCCAAGAGTGTCTACCAAACGGGAATATAGAAGATCAGTCATGATACCATGGCACATTGAACTGGACGTGAAAAAGCTGTCTTGTATCTGAACCTGCTACCTGAAATGACAGGGGAAAACGGGCAAACTTGACAATGAGATTGGTGTGCAAGAACAGAAAGGAAAGCCTGCATAAAGCTCGAAAAACAACAAACTGGTAGAGGGCTTGGTAAAAAGCAGATCTGCATAGAAAATGACAAAGAGAAAAAGATTCATGGAAGCAGCCTGGTGCACAGAGCCTTCGGGGTGGACAAAATGTGGTCGATTCTAATGACAAACGAGCAAAAGTCTGCTGGTGTGCTCCAGAATCGAACCAAAGACCTTTGGGGATGGTTGTTTTGTAGAAGTCCGTGACGGAACTTGTTTGCGTCTGCGCATCACTTCTTCCAACTTAGTAATCTTCCAACACAACCACACAAATGCATACACACACGCTACAGCATCGTTGTCAGCACAGTCAAGCGGAAAACTCATCTCAAAGCTCATCAGAATGTACAACGTCAAAGAAATCGCCCTCAATCCTCACATCAGCGCCATCGATGGCTTTCTCTGGGACGAGCACAAAGAACAACTGTTTCCAGAACGGGCGCCCAAGTAGCTCAAAAACGCCCAACACAAGTCTCAACGCATCGCCTAGACTCGTCCGATCGACGCTGGCCGCCTAGAGATGGTGCGAGACAGGATCGTCATGTACGAGGCAATGATTGCTCACAACGAGCAAGAGGCTCAGATCCAGGCTCAAACTCAAGGTCAGGATCGGGCTCAGTCTGGCCGTCCGGGTGTTGAACAGCCGGCTCCTCAGAAGGATGGCCATTATGGTCTCAAGGAACCTCCACTGCCCCACGTCCCTTCGGGCCAACAGCAAGATATGCCGCATCTCGAGGATCTTCATCTAATCCCCAAAGACGAAGAAGCCGAGAAAGATCTGGAAGATGGTTCTGCTGCTGCTTCCTGTGCCGGTCATAGGCTCCCCGCAGTCAATGAGGAGGGCATGCCTCGCTATTTCGAACATCCGCACAACCGTCGTGCAGATCACCCCAGACCCGAGGAATGTCTTGCCTTGCAAAAGAAGAATAGAAAAATTGCGGCAGTTGAGGCAGCCAAGGAAAAACGTTTTGGGCATGTCCCTCATGCCGAGTTAGAGAGTACGGCCACAGAAGAAATCTCTCGCCGTTCGCCATCGCTTCGCTGCCGCTCACGTTGGCCTAATCGCGGCTTCGCAGATTACTGCAACCGCCAGGATAACTACAATGTCCGCGACGCCGCCAACATCCCTCGTAACGGCGATCAGCAATTGCAGACACGTGCCGGCAATCAGCAGGTACAGCAATATGCCGTTCCGGCCTATCAGAGCCAGCCACCTGCCCACTTCCCGTCACCGCAAGCTCTGGGGGATACTTTCTTCCAAGCTCCTGGACCATTTGGAGGTAATGCTTACCACGACACGCCGACCACGGTCAATCTTCAATACGGTGTTGCTCCCTCTCAGCAGTCACAGTATGAATAGGTTGAGATCACGGTGTAGGCTACGTCGGTGGCTATGATGGAGACTTTGGTGGTCGTCAGAATGCTTCCGGCATTGAAAGAGCAAGGAGCTATGGAAGAGGCAGAGGCAGAGGTGACAGTTGAGCAACGGAGGGCTTCGAAGGACTTCGGACGAATTGCATCAGCCAAATAAATCAGCTCTGTACGCCAATTTCTTTCCTCTCCTTTTGATCCTTTGTTCTCTTTCAGCGTTGCGTTCATCACCTCGTCAGCTCTGCGCACTAGGCTGTCCCAAGGTATCATCCGTGTTTTTTTGCTATATACATACATAAGAAAGTTCACCAGGCTCCAGGTCTTCTCTCTTGTACAGCTAGCAACGTCAGCCTGTTCTCCAGACTGCTGTCGCCATTCTCCTTCATGCCCATCTCTCAAGGTCATTCTGGCTGCGGCTGATGGATGTTTCACCGAGTCATATGTCCCGCGCAGGGCCGCAGAACTGATGGACAAATGAAACATGCTGGTCTTGAAAAAGTGTCACTATTTCTTCACGTTGCTAGTAATCTGTCTTTCCTCAAAGATTTTCTTCTTTGTGTACTTGTTGCTTGCTTGCTTGCTTCTTTGCAAACACCTCTATAGCAGATCAACAACGAGCCGTCAAAGTCGATTCCTAACCATATTGTGACCTTTGTATCATCATGATAAAGATTCTTTTCTTTGTCAAATGCAACCTCACCTTGCGTGGCTCAAAGACGCATTGAACAACAAAGGTTTGGTGGTTGGAACTAGCTTGAGCTCGGCTTCAACTTGCATGTTTTGGTATCATGGTTTTTCCAAACCTGTTCCATTAGAGGTAAGTACAGGAAAGTGTAGAATCAACGATTATTTATATTCTTTCTCGAAATGGTCAAGGCGCCTACGTGGAAAACTCCAACGATATTTCAAAGTGGTCTGACCTATGGAGAACTTTTTCATAGTCTGTCTACTTTGTTCTTGGGCAATCAGTTTGATCGTCGAGCAGCATCACGAAGATGCTGTGGAGAATGAAGAGGAAAGGACAAACCCACATTTACAGCAAGACAAGGTGCAAATTCATGCAACTAAGCTATTTGCAAAGAGTGGTCGATCTCCAGCAGGTTTTCGGCATAAAACATCATGTCATTCTTCTAGATTGTTTAATCTTGATCACAGTACCTTCACTACAATCGAGAGCTATGAGAACATCAGGGTACAACAAACATTTAAAGCAGAGGTGAACGGAAAGATCTTGATAATCACAGAAGTTTTGGGAAATTGAAGTCTGGATAAGACTCGGATACTCAAGTCTGCTTCAAACTTTCGAAAAGCTAAAGCCGGCATAAGGCTAGCAAAAAAGTAGAGTACAGATGTCTGAAAAGGAGGGAAAGAGCCTTTATGAGGCTTGGAAAGTATAAGCCTGCATGAGGCTTGGAAAGTACAAGGCTGCATAAGGCTTGAAATCTAGACAAGCCTGTATAAGGCCGCTGAAACTTCTGTATAGTTGGGGAAAGGAAGAAAGGAAGAGAGAAGAATGAACCACGGCCCACAATGGAGCAAGAAAAATCCTCCAGAGTGATCGAACAACACAAAGGATACGGAGACCGCAGTCTGGTGCGCAGAGCTGATGCTTTTGGCGAAGAGGAACTTGTACAGCGTGGTGAACAGCACTGACGAGGTTGGCGAGAAGAGTCGAGAAAATCATCTTGGTGGACGGGAATGATGTACTTGGCGAAAGAAAGAGGAGACTGATAAGAAGACCTGCATCTCCAGAAAAGAAAGAAACATGAGGACGTATTGGTGAGCAGACCGGGATAAAAGCCTGGCGTTCAGTTGGAATCTCTGTCGCGGCCTCTACGATGACTTTTTGTCCCTTCACTGCGTGAACTGCCGTTAGAGTGCTGTTGATCCGTAGCAGGAGCGGAAGCAGATTCTTACCGTGACTCGTGATTGTAATGATTGTTGACGGTGACTGAGTGGTAGGTGTACGTGGCGTTGTGCATACGAGCCATAGCCAGTATCTTTTCATAGAATTCTGTTGAAGGCTGGAAAGACTCGTGAAATGGAGCAGGGGCCCACTGCTGCAAGTCTTGGTTGGTGTTGATGTGGTCACCATGGCCGTGAGCACAGGGTTTACAGCTGTCGCCTCTGACGACGGACTCAACCGATGGCTTGCGAGAGCGACGTCTCTTACAACCGTTGCGATGCACAACACTGTTGTTGGCATTAGAAGAAACGTTCTCAGGAGACCTACCTCCATGCTGATGAATTGGCAGCGTAGTGTCCTCACGACCAGAACCCATCAACGCAAGTTGATCGGGGTGGACGAACTCCAAGCGAGTCATCTCAACTTTCTCTGGGGAGTCGGGCTCGTCAAAGTCTGAGTCCGTGGGGAGCTGAGCAGTGGCTGCGAGGGCGCTGTAAACGCGTCAAGGTCATGGCGCTCGTCCCACAGCGCATCCTCAATTCTGGTGTTGAAAAGATTACACATGTTTGCTGGTTTTCTGGTGGCGAAATATGTTTGTAGGTGTATGGATGTGTCAAAGCGACAAAAATTGATTTGCGTGATGAATTCGCTGAGTTGAAAAGGTGCAAGCGCAGCAGGTGAAAGAAAGCGGAAACATATGCGCAAACAATGCTTCTCACGAGGTCTGAGCGTCACTCTCGCGTTGAGACACTCGTTGCACATCTTATCCTTGACTCAGTGCACAGTTGAGGACTTGGAGAAATCAAAGAACCTCGTCTGAGACCCGTTGAGGTTGCGTACAAGACATGACTTCGGACTTCTGTGAACAAAGGCCTTCAACTTCTTGTTGATTCTGATACCGAAATTGGGCATCGAGACTGACTGTATTCACAGATGAGAACTTCTCTTGAACACTGAATGCTCTTGGTCAAGTCATGAGAAATGTTTCTTTCTTCCGTCTGTTCGATTGGCTTGATCTTCCGACGTTTCAAGCAAGGTCGTACGTCGTCGTAGTTTCGTAAATTTTTCCTTACTTGCACGCAGAGACTTCATTTTCTGCCTTTCTACTACTTTCCACAACACTTCATCTCTTTCTATCGATAAGCAAAATCTGCGTCAGACAACCAACATCCCGTCAGCATGAGCAATTCTCACCACCAAGACCCACGAGACGCTCTGGGATGAGCGACACGACCTTGAGCCAGCTCTGGCCGTTCTTTACGAGATCAACGTACAGCATGAGATCAACCGCATCTATTCCGCAAAGAAGCCTGACTTTCCGCGCCTTTTCGTGATACATAGGCTGAAGACTCGGTACCGCGCTATGGTAGTGGCTGGTGGTGAGAGTATGTCTGCTCCCGCCGTCCATATTGTGCGACAGTTCTGGCATTGCTGCCTTTGGTGAACCCTTGCCACCTCTCAGCACTGCCCAAAACAACACCGATCCGGAGATTGAGCAGAATGGTGACCGCAGCAAGTCATCAGTCTTTGAAGACAGCGACGAATTACCAGGAACTAGAGACGGCGTCCCTCGCTGCTTCAACAACCCTCACAACCGTCGCGTAACTTACCATCACGCTTCCGACTGCAGATTTCTCAACCAGCCACAGCCACCCACGGGCGTCGCCATCAGGAGCAAGAGCCTCGTCAAGCTCATCAGCAGGTTTCCTCATCTAACCACGATCGCATCGGCTACCGCAACAATACCATCAACGACCCAAACGACTTTCAACGTTCGAAGACCACCGCTTTGGATCTCATTGAACTCAGACCACACCATGGGCAAGATCACCGCCGGCATTCCCACAGCATTTCTCCCAGATTGCGTTTTCCCTACGGATACTGAACAGATAGCAATTTATGTGTTCCACTACCCTCCTATTGGACCTTTCTTTACTGACCGGGTACTCAGGTACAGGGGAAGGCTTATGGGACGTTCACTATGGCAAGAGAGGTCTGTTGAGAGATTGGCAATTTTTTATCGCGGACTAGTGATATAGGATTGTGCAATCGGGAAGAAGAAGTGGGGTAGCTATCCCTGTATAGCGCGGCGGACCTCAGCGTTGGTCCTAAACAATCGTCTTTCTTCATCACTCAATACTGTGGTTCTCAGAAGAAGTAGATCACGTTCTAGAGGGATCTGGAAGTACTGTGTACAAGAAAGGACATGAAGGCCTTACGAAGATCTTGATATGCAAGATGTATGCAGTAGTCCATAGGAAGACAATCACAAAGTGGAGAGTAAAGATGCTCTGCTCGGTTCTCAGATAACGAAATCACGATTGTGGTCTCAATCTCCATATGTCGCTGGAGCCCCGAGCCTCAAGGATAGTCAGCGAGACAATGAAGCGCTCCATAAGATCTTCTGTTCCACAGTGCTTATATCATCTAGTGTACGAAATCAATCACCACTGTCTTATATATCATAGCAGCGAAAGATTCAGTGTTTTTCAGTAATGCCGTCAGGTGCAGTGGAGACGTGATCGTTGATGAGTATCCTGGTTCCATGCATCGAGTCATTCAGAAGTTGGATGGTCACTCCCAACGAGTCTCGGAAGACAGCAGAAATGCCAACATCAGTCTTGTGGCAGAAAAATTGAGATAGTATAGAAGCGGAAGTGAAAAATCTTGAGAATCCAGTGACGCGCTTCCGTCTTCTCTGGATCCGCAATTCTGTAATTCCCTCCTACGAGTCCACAACCATATCCTTACTCTTTTGCGCACACTCTCAATTCTCTTTTCCCTCGTTGACACATCATTGAATTATCATCATGGCCAACGACAAGCAGCAAAACCAACAGTCACGCGCGCCAAAGCTCGATACTCACGCTGTCGTGAGATTCTTGCTTCAAGAGCCAAGAATGCCACACCCCTTGGTAACAGGACTTGGTACCATCATGCTCTGGCTCGAGGCTATGCAGACTAGTATGTCACGTAGCTACCTCATGACCAACAGAGGCCGCTTTCTGGATGCCTGGAGAGAGTACGGTAGCTCGATGCCATTCACTAGGGCTCAGGCGGAAGAGTACATGAGAATCCACGGCGAGGACCTGACTGCGCCCGTTCTTTCGAACATCTGGCGTCCAGCTCAGGCACCCTCGACGCCGGTGAGCCGCCACCAATCCCGCCGTGATTGGAAAGAGTGGCTCGATGATTTTAGAGCACAACAAATGAGAGCTCAAGCAGACGGTATGCCTCACATCCCAGTCCAATCACTTCCCTGCTGATTGCTGAACTCTCCTAGATGGGCGTAATTTCGTAAGCCAGAGTCCAATAGTAGCAAGACCGGGTGATGACTCCGACAACGACATGGTCATCACGCCAGCTGTCTCGGTTCCCGTTCCTCCCCGAGCTCCAGCTCAAACTTCCAATGAGGACAAGCAAGAGAAGATGAAGAGCCCTGCTCAGAGAGCAGGACCTCCGGTCGTGCAGCCACCCCCAACTGCACCAACCCCTGTGGATCCCTACCAAAGACTGGAAGATCAGTATGGAAAGGACTGGGAGTCGATCCTCAAGTCTGGCCAATTGGCACGTTCTGCCCCTGCTGCTGTACGGCCATCATCAGAGTCGAGGTTCATAGTCACTCACGAACAACAAGAACAAATGCGATCCACATTCTCGAACTACTATGCTGAAAGGGCATCGGAATTGATCAGAAACCAGAGTTCGAACGCAATTGCGGAGTTCGAAGAAGGAAGAGTCGAAGCTCTTCAACTTGATGCATACAACGAGGACCTGGACAATCAAGAACCAGCCGCTCCAGTGGCCTCGAGACGCCCTGCTCCCAGAAGCACGAAAGACAAGGACGAAGCAATGGCCAGAGCATTGCAGCAGCAGGGGTACGAACAAGCCGACAGCGACTCTGATGATCTTTCTCTTATCTCTGAGGTCTTGGCCGCCGCTAGTCGCGGCATGGAACAAGAGGCAGCACAGTCGAGGAACGTGCTTACTCTCAGATCCGGGCCTGGTCGTTCGCTCGCTTCCCCTCAACCGTCCCCGCCCATGTCTCAACCGGTCAGCTCGCCTCCAACCTTGCCTACATCAACCCCAACTTATAGCAGCATGAATTCGCCAATACCTGGTGCTAGGACCAACAACAGGGTCAGGACTGCAGCAGGCAACCAGCAAGCTCCTGGAGCTGTGGTAAAGCCGGCCTCTAGGCCTTCAAGTAGATCCCCAAACAAGTTTAGGCCGTGGCCTGCTCTCCAGTCTGCTACCAGGAGTCCTGCCAGTACATCCGGTACTCTCTGGAACGAGCCATTATCATCTGCGACGGCGACACCATGTTCCAGTCCGACCCCAAGTGCTCCCAGGAACTTTCGTGATGCTGGAGACTCAAGGCCGGCTCAGGGGATGAGCGCTGCCACTCTCATGCCGCCACCACCACTACCACCAAGATTGTCGCAACCTGCTGCCAATGAAACAGCTCCAGCACCTGTCCAGGCTGCTCGAGTAAATAATAGCAATGATCTCGGGACTGCCTCCCGAGCCAGGAGGCAGGCCGGTTCAGGAAATCGTGGGGAGTTTGACTGGATCGACTACAATGACATGGAAAATCCAAACGATGATTACGAGCCGCCTGAATCTCCCCAGGGTGACTCTCAAGGAAGGTTCTATGAAGACTACGAAGACTCCAGTGACATTGAGTAAGTTGATTTTGGCGCTGGTCGGGTCAAAGGGAGGGGCCTATTGAGCAGCATTCATCTCGAGATCATTTGGGCTCAGTCGTGCTGACCACACTGCCCTTCTCTTCTTCATAGGGTTCAGTCGTGCTCACCACGCTGCCCTTTTCTTTTTACAGGGTCCAGTCGTGCACATCACGCTGCCCTTCTCTTCTCTAAAGGGTCCAGTCGTGCTCACCACGCTGCCTTTCTCTCTTCTCTTCGGTCTGGGTTCATGTCGTGCTGACCACGCTACCCTCTTTTCCTTTGATCTTGTTCACTAAGTACGTCTGTGGGCCAGTTTGATCCCAGTCGCCAACTTCGACAGTGCTTCCTCTACACGTCGGCTACATCGACTGCTCGGATTATGTTCTAGTTCTCTACGTTGGTCGTTATAGTTGACAATATTATATCAATGAAGCAGTGAAACCCACCATATTCTTCACAAATCCCTGACCCCGCTCTTTCCTGAAGTTGTCCGTTTTCCATGCTTGCTGATGATATCCTTCCGTTAGCTTTCTTGTAGTTATGAGATAGATATGAACGCAGAAACTCTGGTCATTTTAATCATTGAACGTGTTGGTGTATTCGGAAGTTTTGATCTGGACTCTTTGGCTGGTGAACCGCGCTGCTTCGGTAAAGATACTGCGTGAGGGCAAGCATGTTTTCAGCACTTTCCGTCAGTATATGACGATAATTTTTGTATGCAATCAAGTTGAAAGCTATCTGAAATCTCTCCTTTTGATTGAGGTTGTTCCAACATAGCTGAGGTGGTGCACAATACTGTTCAGACTCCAAGCTTGATCACGGAGATACCTTGAACAAGCCGGTGTCGCTGCAGAAAGCGACCATCTCTAGACAAAAAAAATCATGCATCGTCACAGTGCGAAACATAATAAGTCCGATTGTGGATGAATTGACGGTTTCAATTTTCGAACGACCATGACACCCTTTTGCACAAGGGGAGGGCAGGAAATTTTTGAAGCTCGGTATGGGGCATCTTGAGACGTCAATCCTCGGCTTCCGTCGTTTGAGAAAGCGTGAAATCAATCATTCGCCAGTAAACTACGCATACTTTTGTGCCTGTGATGCCATTTTGGTCAACAAAAGTGAGTAACTCGTGGTTAACGCAACTGGACTTTGTTGTTTCTGATGAGACGACTGAAGGATTGCGTTCCGGTCTCACTGCTATCTCGCAGCCTCAGAATTGATAGATGAATCCAAATCAGATGCATACTGTGCTATAGTGCGAGTGGCAAGGTATAATGTTGTTCGTATTGTTGAAAAAAGTAGGACAGGGTGGCACAAGCGGCGGCGCAAACGCACTCGAACAAAGTGAAGGCTTCCAAATCACAAACACTTACTTTCTTCTGCGCACAGCTTCGATCACAACCATCCTTTTTTCTGCGCACACCTTAGATCGCAAGTCTTCATCTTCTTCAATTGCCTTATCACTCAGACAATCATATTTCCTCTTCGCACTATACACGACACAATGGACAACATCGATTACTCCTCGTTCAAGCGTGTTCAGGAAGAGCCTGCAATGCTCAAATGGCTGGCCGAGCACGAACTCGCGGCTGAGAAGGCGGCTGCCGAGGCCAGCAAAGCACCCGCTCCCAAGAGGTCGAGAGAGGTAGAGGCAGAAAGTGCTGGACAGGTGGCCAAGAAGGCCAAAAGCGCAAACGCAGAGCCCAAGGAGGCCAGAACTACGAACGCCGCCGTTGTCAGACTCCAAGATGCCGAGAAAGCCGCCCGCCGGGCCATGGAAGACGCTTCCTCTGAACAAACCAGAGAAGTCGCTGCGAAAGCTTTCGATCGCGCGCATCAGCAACTACTGGATGCCGAGCACCCACCTCCGCCTGTCGAGCTGCAAGGCATTGTTGGTGAAGCCTGTAACGCCTGGGCAGGAAGACGCAACGAGGCCCGATCAGATTACAACAGAATGCGCAGACTCTGGTTCGCTGACGTAGCGAGATGGACACCCCAGCAATGGGTACGCACAGCAACATCATACAGGCTCCATCACTCCTACGCCCACAATGGTGTCGAGACCGCATACTGGTCGCTCATGGTCAACTTTGCCTCGTGTTCCCAGAGGGACGACCTTACTGGAGGCAAATTCAACCTTGATCTTGCCGGTGTCGCTCTTTTGCGCTGGGAAGAGGAAGAGCGCGAATTTCGCCCAGAGGAGGAACTCAGAATCGTCCAGGCAAGAAAAGCAAACCGCCTGTATTCCGCCTTTGTCAGTTCTGAGACGAAGGTTTCTGAGGACGAGGGAAGGGTCGAGCATGCAGTCAAGCCCCCAGCACAACCCCGAGTCCCAACACAACCTCAGGCCTCAACACAGCCCGAGGTCACGGCACCACCATCTCCTGCAGCCCAACCAGTAAGCGCTGCCAAAGCTCGACCCTACGATGTTCTCGACCCCAGATACAAGTACAGCACCCACACTCCGGTCGTCAAAAAATTATATCGCACTGGCACATGCTTGACCAAGGTATCCTCTCCAGCAATGTTCCAAGCTCATCGCGTCTTTTGCAAGTTCATCCTGCGTCGCCTTATCAGGCGCATGAACACCGGCAACAGGGAGAAATCGAACGTCAAGACAGTTCCTTTGACTTATCCACAAATGCGTATCATTGGCGGAAAATGTCAGACCCGACACTGGGCTCCAAGGCCCGGAGCTTACCTTCACGCCCGCGAGATCACAGCCGTCGCGCGGTCAAGACACGAGGCCAAAGCAATCTTTGGTGATCCTCAAGCTCGCACGATCAGCCGTGGCAAGATCGATCGCTTGGCTGCAATCGTGCGTTACAGCAGAGCCAAGAAAAGAACTATCGCGGAAGAAGCCAAAAGAGTTCGTGCTTTGGCAAAAGGTCTGCTGCTGGCCTTTCCTGAACTCACATTCCCCGATCCAGAGGATAACGTGCTCATCGCCGGCGAAAGAACCCAGAGTTCAATGACGCCTTCGCTCTGGTACAACGAGGAGAAAGAAATTGAGGTGCACAGTGAAGGATTTGTCTTCCAAGAGTTTGACAATCCACGAGCCCTTGATGGCTTGGTGAGTACTCACGCCATCGCAGAAGCTTTTACAGGACATATTACCGGCCACCTGCAGATCTGCAAGCAGTTGAACCTCAACCCAAGCTTCATCTTGATCGGTGTTGACGCAATGGGAAGCAACTGGGATCGCATGGTCGCCTATATCCGAGATACTGTGCAATCTCTTGGGCACCATTTTGACATCTTCATTCGGGTCAAGGCAAAGTCGATCAACCTCTGTCCCAGGGTCAACAAGTACGGGCGCTACGGAGTTGTTCGCTCAGAAGACCTTTTGATCTATGACACCGCCGACCGCCACAATCTCTCTCCCAATGTGACTGCCGCCCTCAAAGAATGGAAATTGTCTTTGTCCTATCTTTGGGGCAGAAACATACTACAGAAGAACGTTCAGACCATCAGCACAACCCGCAACTGATTCTTCCTTGCTTCACATCCAAGGCTTGATCGCTATGTTTGCTATATCCATGCGCACGATCACAAAGCTGCACACAAAAAGAGCCCCTTGCTATGATTAGCTGATCACTTGAGCCCTGTTCAAAAGCAGCTCCATCCTGGCAACCACTTGAGCCCTGTTCAAAGGCCGCTCCATCCCACAAACTTGTTCTTGAGCCCTGTTCAAAGGCTGCTCTATTCTACAAACTTCTTCTTGAGCCCTGTTCAAAGGCCGCTCCGTTTCGCCATTCACTTGAGCCCTGTTCAAAGGCTGCTCTCAGAACTGAATTGGTGATGTTACTGTTCGCTCCAAAGGACCTGCCGCTGTACAAGTGACAGGGACTTCTACGGCTGGTTGATATTTGCCTTTGTGGTTCTAGGCTGACTTTTACACGTTCAGACGAAACGACTTGACACTGATGTTGTGCGTAAGTCCTAATCTTCACTTTTTCGCTGATAATCTCTAGGTACCACCGCAAACTCTTCGCACAACGATCCCGATGCATATTGAAGAGTCATTTCTCTCCATGTGCTGTCCCGATATCCCCCCATCATTTTTGCTGGCCTTGTGCCGGAGGCTGAAGGGGGTTTACTTCTATCACTGGCAGCACATGAGTGGCTTGTTCCTCGCTTACGCACCGACGCTGAACCCCTCGATCACTGCACGTATCTGTTTGAGTATTGCGTTGAAGTCCGTACGATTGACTGTCTTTGCAACGAGCATGCAGCCACTCGATCCTCAGATCTGTCGAAAATGACTGTCGAGCCGCGTCACATACAAACAGTGTTCAATGAAACAGAAAGCTAAAAGCCTATTATAATATTGAAATGTGAATTCGCATAGTCGAGCCACCAGAGATAAGCAACGGCAGCGACAGACAAAGCAAAATCCGCAAAAGCGTTGATCTAGCATCAGGCTCCATGAAGGCACCGGATTCATGTTCATGTGGCCACTCTGTATGGTCAAGCCAATGGGAATGACTTGATTGAGGCGACCCTTTGCACTCGGAGAGCACAAAGACGGAATTGCAGAGGCTCAGTGGCATGCGCTTCCGAACCCAGAACTCGGAGAGAAAATGGGTGGTCTCCTGTCAAGCTTCCCGGAGAGACTCTTGACAGTCTTTCATCAACACTAGAGGTTGATGAGGTTTGAAGAAAAGAAGAGAGGAAGAAGAGAGGGGAAGGAGTGAGATAGACAGAATGATGGGCCTTGGCGTTGCTCTGTCACATGCTAATGTTTGACACAATTCATTTCACTCGTCGCACTTTCCGTTCACACCATCGAGCTCCAACTTCTTCGCATCGCCGTCTGATCCCCTTCATTTTCATCAAGATTGTGTGATACCATAACCACGTTATAACTACAACCAAGCTAACACACTCTCAGATTAGAAATGATGAACGCATCGAGCATATTCGCGCGCAAAGCCCTCGCAAGCACAACCACCGCGCTCAAGACCGTTGCGCTCAATGCCGCTTCTCTCGATGCCGCCAGATGCAGAGCAAAGGCCCGTACCAAGAGAGCTGAGAAGAAGACCAAGAAAGCCATGTCGTTGGTCAAGAAGGTAGTGAAGTTGCTGAAAGCAGAGAGGAAAGCCAAGGAGACCAAAAGGGAGAAATCAGAATCTCCTGAGCCGTACAAGTCCGAGGCTGAGCTGGAAGAGATGCATCAAAGATACCAAGACGCCGGTCACAGATATCTCGAGCAAAAAGCAAAGCTTGAGAGAGACATGCGTGAGGATCGCTTGTCTGCCAAAGAATACAAGCTGGAACTTGAAAATGCCAGGATTGACATGGCCACCGTACAGCTAAAAAATGGCTGGGGGGACATTGAATTCGTTCGAGCGTCCGACTGGATCGAACGTAAAGCTGAATGCATGGCTTGGCAAGGCAGGTCCGAATGTGGTTGGGAGGAAAAGTACTGGAGAACATTGGCTTTCGCGGCTGAGTGCGTCGCTGATGGTAGTGCATGGGGGGTTGAGGGGCTCTTGTCCGCGGCACGAGATTTCTTAAACGAGTGGGGTATGTCCGAATGAGTAAGATTGAGACCCATAACACTGCTCAGCCTGTCTGATCAGACTCTTTGGCACTCTTGTCTCCAGTTCCAAGCTCGAGCTGTCTTTCACCAACTCATCAGCCCTTTCACAGGCCGCTACTCCCTTTCCCACACATGATTTTAGTCCACCAGCCTCGTCAGCTCTGCGCACCAGGCTGCTCTTCTCATCCTGTCCTTTTTCGTTCTTTCGCCAGTTGCATCGGCTCTTCACACCAAGCTGCTCCATCCCACCAATTGCGTTAGCTTTGCGCACCAGGCTGCTTCTCTTTGTGCTGTCATCCACGCCCGCTGCATAAGCTCCATTCTCATGTAGCTTCAATCACTGAGAAGAATCAATCTAACACAGACTTTTGCCGCTATCACCAATCGCATGAGCCCTGTTCGAGGGCTGCTCTTTGCCATTTACTACGTGAGCCCTGTTCAAAGGTCGCTCTTTTTGACCAATTCATGAGCCCTGTTCAAAGGCGGCTTTTCTGTCATTGATTGCATGAACCCTGTTCAAAGGCTGCTCCATCTACCAGATCTGTTCATCCGGGCGTCTTTCTCATCTCGTGTCTGTATTCGTCATGTGCACAAGTCTGTCTTCAGGGCAGTCATGAAGATAGTTTCAGTTGTCGTTCTCTGAGCCAACGAATTCATTGTTCTAGGAAATTGAAAAATGATTTCCAGTTGATGATCTCTGCCTCTTGAAGTTGTTACATCTTCGCTTCAGTTCACAGCAGTTGCTTGCGGCCATGTCACTCAACTCCAATCGAGGGAAGAGAATGATTCGTTAACGTGTTGCTCAACGAAAGGGAGTGTAAACCTCAAAGTTGTATCGAAAACTCATGCGATGCTCTCAAGACAGATCCACATCGTGCACATGGCTTTGGAAGTCTGTTGTGTGTTCTTGGCGAAACCGAAGGAAGTGAGGTCCGATGGGAAATAGGGTGGCCCATACGGCACGGACAAACATCGGCCTTGGAGACGAGGGTGCTTCCCAATCTTCAGACTACCTTTTGTGCGATACACTACTCTGGTCGAATATCAAGCTGACCAGATCGAAGGTACAAAATGGCAATTATATATTGATGCAGGGCAGAATGCCTGCTGAAGACACAACAAGAGAGACCTGGTCATTCGTATACTGTCTGGTAGGTTAAGACTAACCCACTCGTGTCTTTATGTTGATTCCCATCTTGTTGTCTCACACGAGATGGCTATAATGCCATGACCGAGTGGTCTTTTGCCGCACAAATACAAATATATGTGTATATGTAAAAGCTGTGTCGTCTGTCGTCAACAAGGCTTACCAGTCTGACTTATCAAGGCCGCCGCATTCACATTCTCTATATTGGTTTCCGACAATTGTATCTTCTGTAGAAGGTAGAACTTTCTTGTCTGGTTTCGCACGAAGCAGTGAAATTATGTTCCTCGGCTTATGAAATACCCCTTGCTTCCTCCGGAAACACAACACAATGCTGCCGAAGTAGACTATACAGGCACGCAAACTCAATCATCTCATTTCCTCCACTTTGCCATGGTGCTGGTACCTGCAGTTAAGCTTCATGGTTACTGCCGCTTTCAAACAGGGTCGTTGATGGAATGTTAACATTGACATCAAAATTGTCCTTATATATCGATGTGCTTCGTCTAATGCATACTGTTTCAACTATCTGCTGTCTACCAGACTGTTGTACATGATCTATATAGAGGGTAGAACAAATGACAGTATCACCATTGTCTCAGTACTTTCACTTGGTATCAGAACCATTCAAGACCGAGGATCCGAACTAGCTATCTCTGCGAATACGGAAAATTGCAAGGCAACGCGTACATTCCTCTCATGTACACAATGCACGCCACTTCCCGACTTATGCATTCTGGGATGTAGCACGCTTACTGCCATTTCTTGGCTCAACCTCGTAGATTTCTTCGTAGACATACTGTTCGCAGAACGTTCGCCGTGAGTCCTGTGAGGGCTATTCGCCTATCGTTAATGTGAAGATGAGGGTCCTTCAAAGGTCTTTCCTACTAGCTCTCTTGACACTATCATCGCGAGTCGCTGGTCAAGGATCTATCCAGCCAGCTTCGACGACAACGCGTATGTCTGCTCATCTTCACACCACAAGAAGAAACAAGCTGATAGTACCGTGAAGAACCATGCCCTGTTACCGTCACCACCACCATATATCCTTCAGGCTTCACTACAAATGCCGCTGGAAGCGTCATCTATACTGGCTTCACCACCACCACTACGTCAACCTCAAGCTCGCTGTCCTCATCCTCATCCTCCTCATCTTCCAGCGCAAGTTCGTCAAGTTCAAGCAGTAGCTCCAGCGTGAGCTCTTCCCTATCATCATCCAGTTCGAGCAGTGTCTCCTCCTCTTCAAGCAGCAGCGCTTCATCTTCGGCTTCATCCATACTTAGCAGTTCTGCTGCCGGGATAACTGCATCTCTATCAAGCTCGTCCTCGGTATCCTCATCTTCAAGCAGTAGCGTGTCGAGTTCGCTCTCGTCTTCGTCTAGCAGCTCGCAATCCTCCTCCCGGAGTTCCAGTCTATCTTCCTCAAGTTCCAGCAGCGCGTCCTCATCAGTTTCATCGTTGCTCAGTAGCTCGGCCGGGGGCATCACTGCTTCGATATCATCTTCGTCATCCGCTTCAAGTTCGGTATCATCTTCTTCAAGCAGCAGTGTGTCAAGCTCGCTATCATCCTCCTCCAGCAGCAGCCTGAGCTCTAGTCTCTCCTCGTCGTCCAGTAGCTCGCAATCCTCCTCCCGAAGCTCAAGTTTGTCTTCCTCAAGTTCGAGCAGCGTGTCCTCATCGGTTTCTTCCCTGCTCAGTAGCTCGGCCGGGGTAGTTACTGCTTCGGTATCATCTTCATCATCTGCGTCCAGCTCGGTGTCATCCTCTTCAAGCAGCAGTGTTTCAAGTTCGCTATCATCCTCTTCAAGCAGTAGTGTGTCCAGCTCCCTGTCATCTTCGTCCAGCAGTTCGCAATCTTCTGGCAGCTCAAGCTCCGTGTCATCAAGCCTGTCTTCTTCGGTTTCATCGCTCGCAAGCAGTTCCGCCGGGCAGATTACTGCCTCTGCGTCCCTAAGCAGCAGTTCTTCTTCCTCTGGATCCAGTTCGAGTTCGAGCAGCGTAAGCTCAAGTCTCTCGTCGTCGAGTTCGTCGTCAATATCATCCTCATTATCTTCCTCAATATTATCTTCAATATCATCCTCAGCAAGTTCGAGTGTATCCTCATCGAGCTCGTCTTCGGCCTCTTCGTCGATATCCTCGAGCATTTCCTCATCAAGCTCGTCAAGTGGATCCAGTGTGGTATCGTCAAATTCTTCTTTTGCTGGGGCCGCCACCGCGTCTGCTTCGTCCCAGAGTAGTCTGTCATCCTCCTCCTCATCCTCCTCAAGTTCCTCGGTCTCTTCAAGCCTCTCCTCCTCGAGTTCGTCATCGGTGTCATCCTCAAGTTCGTCTCTCGTATCGTCGTCTGTTTCTGCATCAGCGTCATACGCACAAGGGGTTTCAGCAAGTCTCGCCTCAGCAACATCATCTAGCAGTTCCTCATCCTCCAGTTCAGCGAGTTCAAGTCTATCGTCTTCGTTAAGTTCCTCTTCATCGTCTAGCGCATCTTCCTCGTCAAGCTCAAGCGTCTCGTCCTCGAATTCGTCTTTTGCTGGAGAAATCACTGCTTCCCTATCTTCTGGAAGCAGTTCCTCATCTTCTTTCTCATCAAGCTCAAGTTCCTCCGTCTCAAGCAGTCTGAGTTCCTCAGTCAGCTCCAGTCTCTCTTCCTCGTCAAGCTCAAGCAGTTCTAGCGTTTCGTCGGTGGTATCGTCATCGGCTTCGTACGCCCAGCGCCTTTCGGCAAGCCTGGCCTCCGCAACATCATCCAGCAGCTCCTCCTCATCCAGTTCAGTGAGTTCCAGCCTGTCATCTTCCTCAAGTTCTTCTTTATCATCTAGCGTATCTTCCTCGTCAAGCTCAAGCATCTCATCCTTGGATTCGTCTTTTGCTGGTGCGGCAACGGCATCTGCTTCTTCTCAAAGCAGTTTTTCGTCCTCGTCTTCGTCAAGTTCAAGTTCCTCCGTTTCGAGCAGTCTAAGTTCCTCAATCAGTTCGAGTTTATCATCTTCGAGCTCCTCTAGCAGTTCTAGCGTATCGTCTCTGTTATCATCTGTGGTATCATCTTCGGCGTCATACGCTCAAGGCGTTTCCGCAAGTCTGGCCTCAGCGACATCATCAAGCAGTTCTTCCTCCTCCAGTTCAGTGAGCTCCAGTCTGTCGTCTTCTTTAAGTTCAAGCGCGTCGTCCTCAAGCAGCTCGAGCGTTTCATCATCGATAACTTCAGATTTATCATTCTCCGCGAATGAGGCTTCAGTGACAGCCTCGATATCATCTTCATTCTCCAGCAGTTCCTCCTCAAGTGTCAGCAGCTCCTTGTCATCCTCAGCGAGCTCTTCCTCATCCAGCGCGTCCTCTTCCAGCAGCTCAAGCGTATCGTCATCTATATCATCCGTGGCATCTTCCTCCGCAGACCTTGCTTCCGCGACTGCGTCAAGCTCTTCAAGCATTGCATCATCTTTCTCGAGGAACTCTTCCCCAAGCTCCAGCTCCTCTTTGTCGTCTTCGAACAGTTTGAATGTCTCATCTTCGGTTTCCTCTCCGGCGGACTTGTCTTCGGCCGCTGCCTCAAGTTCTTCCAGCCTTCAAGCCTCGTCTGCTTACAATGTCATGACAACAAGTCTCTCAGCATCAAGTATCGTTGGCTCTAGTGGCTCCTCGCTACTCAGCTCGGTTCTATCTACGTCTACCACGGCCACGACGCCTTCGACTGCAATAACACCAACGACAGCGACAAATCTAATCACGGCCACGAGAGCGACAACGGATGCGATAACCACGACCTCAGTATCAAGCAGTGTAGGTTCTAGTAACTCTTCCTCGCTGACCTCGATCTTGGCTACGGCTACCTCGGCCACACCCACAACTGCAACAACTCCAACGCCAGCGACCACCTTGAGTACAGCTACATCACCAACCACAGCGACTACCCCAACCACGGTGACAAGTCTAATTACACCCACGACGGTCACGACAGCGACAACTTCAACGAGTATAGTGACGTCGAGTATAAGCCCAATCAGCATTACCTCGTCTTCTTCGGCATTCGCTATTTCTTCGCTGATTAGCAGTTCGAGTACGTCATCTATCGCAGCCAGCAGTATTTCTGCCTTTTCGACGGTATCTAGCCGCAATTCGGCCTCATCTTCTATTATTGTCAGTCCGGGCATATCGTCCATTGCATCAAGCAGCAATTATCTGTTCTTTGCAATCAGCAGCAGCTCCTTCATTCTGCCTATCATTACCACATCAACGACGAGTACTCTGGTGGCTACATCTTCGACGACTATTACGCTATCGATAAGTTCTTCTAGCAGCATATCGTCTTCTCCGGCGTTATCTAGCAGCAGTTTTACCTCATCTTCGATCTTCAGCAGTACGAGCGTTTCATCTGTTGGCATCAGCAGCAATTCTTTGTCTTCTTTGGTTGCTAGCAGTTCGAGTCTATCTTCGGCCGTGGTACCCGTCATGACTACACCAACGACAAGTACTGTCGTTATCTCTTCCGAGACCGTATACCTGACACCACTGCCTGGCACAGCCACGAGCACAGTGACCTCAACTACATCTTCAATGGTAGCGCCGATTTCATCCTCAAGTAATATTCCCACATCATCGTCCAACCTTTCGAGCAGTGTGAGCAACTCCTATTCATCCGCAGGGGGTGTTGCCAATGTCGGTGTTACATTGACACCTTCATTCTTCTCGACAACAATCACAACTACCACGACCACAAGTTCGAGCTCTGCCTCTGGCGCTGCACCCAGTAGCAGCTCAACATCAATCAGTGCATCATACTCGTCTGTTGTTGGTCAGGCGAATGTCGGAGTCACTCTTACTCCTTCGCTGATTTCAACTGCCAGCCCAGCAGCGGCATCCTCATCCTCAGCACCTACAGATTCTGTATCCAGGACTTCAGCAGTGTTCACGTGTCCTGATGATGACGGAACATACTACACCGATCAAGATGGGAATGGGTACCAGATTCAATGCAACACCAATGCAGGCTCGCAGAAGCGTTCGGTTCTTGAACACGGTTTACATGGTCTTGGAATGGATCGCGAACCTGTTTCACGCGTACCCATCGTCTCAGACACGCAGACTGATTTTGCTTCTTGCGTCAACAACTGCAGGACCATTGCTACTTGTTTGGGAACAAGTTATGTGACTTCTTCAGGGGTTTGCACATACTTCTCAACCTTTACGAGTGTGGGTTCGGATACAGGAACCGATGTCGCATTCCCTGCCAATATCAGCTGTCCAAGCTTGAACGGATACAGCTATCTCGATTCTTCGGGCTCTGAGTACGGTGTTTTGTGCAATCAGTCGTACCCAGCAAGCAGCAACATCACTACCCAAGCTGGGTACTCCAGTCTGTCGGCTTGTAGCAATGCATGCTCCTTCAGCACCAATTGTCTTGCATCGTCATTCGTCAATGGCCAATGCACATTTGTTAGCAATCTCAACACGAACAGCAATGCCGGGCAGAATCTTCCTGGCGCGGTGATGCTTGTTCTGTTGCAATCTCGTGCTGTTGATGTAGTCTCAGCGACTGGTGTTGTGTCTCGCAGTACATCGATCTCAGTTGTGAAAAGTTTACCAAGTGCGGCATCTACAGTACATAGAGGACAAAACCCATATGCTGCGGTTGTAAGCGCATACTTGGGATGCGGAGATGCGTTCTGGCAGCCCAGGTGTGCGTCTGCTGTTGCTGCTACTTCATCCGTAGTGTCAAAGTTTTCGACTGTATACACGCCAGCAACGACAAGTTCGAACGTACTGACTCCAGTAGCGACTTCGAGCGCAGGTATAACATCGCAAGCTGTGACGACGACTTTCAGAGCCAGCAGTACATCGAGCAGTTTCAAGACCTCATCTACCGTCTGTACTACAAAGCTGTTGGGGCTTATTCCTGTCTGTTGAGGGTTTCATGAAGGCGTAATCCGTCTTTGGAATCAAGTAGCTTTGCAATTGATCTTCAGTATGTGAGCAGCGCAAGAGAAGGCAGATCAGCGTTGATAGTTTTGGACATGGAATAATTAGCAATACAACTCACTAATTCTATACTCGTAATCGAGGATTTCTCTCATGCTTATCATCCGGCTTGCCATTCTCTCGGTCTGTACGAGCCGAAAGATGGAGATGAGCGTGCACAGAGGCACATACAAGTCACAGCATAGCATATATCTTTCTGGATTGGCGAAGGGATGCGTCAGCAGAGTGTGGATGGGATAGATCCCGTGAAGGAGCAACCTGTCTTTGGAATCACGCAATTTCGCATCTGATCTCTAGTTTTTGTGCAGCACAGTGGAATTCATGTCAGCGTTGATTCAACCCTTTGGCCCATCTTAGTCTATTACAGGAGAGAGATGCACGTTGAGCGCTTGGAGATGGGAGAATAGCTAGGTACACGATTTCGCGATTTTGAATTAAGCATATTACAAGCTAAGTGATACTGTCGTGTCGTAGGGAATGGTGATTACCTCAAGCAATAATGCCTGTTCAAGTCCTCTTGAGTCTTTCCTGCAGACCAAGCATTTGTCCATACTTGACACCCAGGGCCAACACAACAAGGACAAGCCATCTCTTAACACCTTGGCCCAGAGTAGCTCCACCAAGCGCCAGAAGCCTTCCCACCAGTCCCAAGGTCACAACCTTACCTTCACGATCAAAGTTTGGCGCAAAGTCGTTGATCATCTTCAGTTGTGATAGCTTGCCCGCGTAAGGTGGGTATCTGGCGCTCAATAAAGTCTCCACCCAAGCGGGAGTGTTGGTGACCACACGGCGATGAGTGAAACAGTCGAAAGATGCTTTACCGCGGTAACAGCCTGCGCCGCTGTCGCCTACACCGCCGAACTCGATTGTGGGCATTGAGGCATGGGTGAAGCCGTCATTGATACTGGCGCCTCCGCTGCGGGTCTCGGAGAGAATGCGGGAAGTGTCTGCTTTACTGCCGAAAGCGTAGAGACCGAGTGGTGTACTGTGGACTTCATTGGCGATGCGGATTGCTTCGTCCAAGTTGTCGACTGTGAGTAAAGGAATGAAAGGACCGAAAGACTCGTCAACAACCAGAGAGTCGGAAGTTGAAGAAACGCGCACAATGGTGGGAGCAATGTAATTTGTTTCCGCATCCATCTCTCCGCCGTATAGGATCTCACCCTTACTGGACTCGAGCATTTTCTTCAGACGCTCGAATTGGCGAGAGTTGACGATGCGACCGTAGTCTTTGCTTGCTTTTGTTCCCTCGGGGTAGAATTCCTTGATAGCGGTTTTGAGCTCCTTGACCAGGAAAGGCAGAACCTCCTTGTCGACCAAGATGTAGTTCTGGCTGACGCACACCTGACCGGCATTGTGAATCTTGGCCCAGAGCAGGCGTCTGGCAGCAAGACGAGGATCGGCGTTCTTTGTGATAATAGCAGGGTTACGACCACCAAGCTCAAGTGTTACGGGTGTCAATGTCTCAGCTCCTTTCTTTGCGATGATGGTTCCGACGGTGGCAGATCCGGTGTAGAAGATCTTATCCCACTTGAGCTCGAGAAGGGCGCTGCTCTCAGGGATGGCACCTTGAACGCAGATAAAGGCGGATGTGTCGAGCGAGACTTCCATGATTTCTTGCAAGAGGGCGGCGGTGTAAGGCGAGCTTTCTGAGGGCTTGAGGACGGCGGTACAGCCAGCAGCGATGGCACCAATCAACGGGCCAAGCGAGAGCTGGACAGGGAAGTTGAAAGCACTATACATTCGTCAGTACCTCGCACACCCATCTAGTCTGACAGTACTCACCCAAGTATCACCACAACACCCAAGGGCTCCTTGCGAACCTTTGGTCGCATAGCCATAAAAGTCAGCGGGACATCACCCGCAGCCTCCTCTTTTGCCCATTTCTCGAGATTATTGATGGTGAAGATGATGTCGTTCAACACCCATCCGATCTCAGTGAGATAAGCCTCATAGAATGGTCTTCCCAAGTCGCGTTGTAGAGCTTCTCCGAGCTGCTGCTCTCTGTCTTTGATGGCCCACCATAGCTTACGGAGCTGGGTTACGCGCCAACTCAAAGGCTTGGTCTTTTGCGAGTGGAAACTTTCGTAGACGCGGGCGTGGATGCCTCTAATTTGCTCAATGGCTGTGTGCTCGAAGACTGGGAGTTTGGTATCCATGGTTGCGGATGTGCTGGAGAGGAGAGAGGAGATGAGTGGGTGATAAGCTGCTCAGCGTCGCTGGAGATCTCCCCTCATCTGACATGACACAGCAGGCTCGACGTGCCTCGGCTTGACGATGTATCACACCTGCTGTGTCTGCTTATCACTTACACCACCTACCTGTGTACCTGCTACCCTACAGGATCCTTGAGCACCGAGATCTTGTAAATTCCATGACCGGAAGAGCTTGCGAGGCCATTGTCCGCTCCTTCTTGTTCTCAGGGTCTTGTATGTCACGAAAACCAGCGGCCGTTCGGCGAACTCGGGGACTTGATCTGATAAATCCTCCGACTTGATTGTTGCAACCGTGCATTCTTGGCGGGACATCCTCGAAAGCTGTCGGCTGGTTGCAACTGCCCCTTCCGTTTGCTTACTGTGATCAGAGCGACCCTGACCTCATGCTATTACCACACAATAAGCAGCATGTGAAAAACCTCGAGATCTGTAGCGGAACACTGAAGCAATGGTTCAATTTGCAACTTCAGAGGTTGTCCAAGAAAGAAATTGCCTGGTTGCGTGACTCAAGCCTTGTAATGATGCTCGGCCGTCGTCGTCCGCAAACCCGAGCTTAAGAAATCGATTAATCGATTGCAAGACGCAAACAATGAGCACAGATATCTGTTGCTGAGAAGCACTGACAATACAATGCGGTCGTCGCGAATAGACACAGCTGCAGTTGACATCGAGCAAGATTCATTTGTATCCGTTGATTCGCCTCTCGTAAACATTCGTAGGCACTTGCGGCAAAATATGAAACACACGTCGAGGGTCAACATAACTCGGACTGAAGACTCTTTGCCTCATGGATGGCCGTGAAGGCACTCCTGAGATACTCGATGTTGCACTTGGCACCCGATGAACAACAGTGGTCGGTCCAAAAAATGCGGATAACAAACTCGTCTATTGATACATTGCTTCGTGAGTACATAATACATAACAGTCATGAGTGTTGCGAAGAAGAAAAAGAGTGCCGTACCTTTAATCCTGCTTTGAGCTCCCAGGCCTCTAGCTGTTCTTGCGTCCAGTCCCATAACTCGTCCTCCAAAGCTGTGTTGTTGTGGTGCTTGGTCGGTTTTGGTCGCACACCCACGGGCTCATAGTACTCTCCTCCTTGTACTTGTCCTTTTGCCGGCCCTCTTGGAGCCGTGGCGGCCCACAATCCGTTCCAGGCAAGTTGCTTTACTGAACTTCGCTTGCCTATCGTGGTAGCCCACATGACAAACCGGTCAAGTACATTCAAGTTGTCCTGTAACCCTGTATAGCCAATTCCAGGATGTACTGAAACGGTAGTGACACAGGGATATTGACGATTCAAGGCTTTGGCATACAGCATGTTCGCAAGTTTCGACTGTGCATAACGCCGCCATCGTCCTGCTAACATCCTCTGTTCTGTCTTGAGAGAGCTGAAATCGATCCCGCGCTTTGGTAGCAATGGCGTCGAAGCAGCTTGTGACGTTGTGATGATGATTCGTACATCAGACCCATGTAAAGCTGCCGTGTCTTGCAGTACTGGCATCAAGAGATCGATTAACAAAGCATGACCAAGATGATTTGTTGCAAATTGTTGCTCATAGCCGTCTTTGCTCAAACCAGCCGGTGATGCCATGACACCAGCATTGCAAAAGAACAAGTCAATCCGTGATACTTTGGCAGCGATTCTGTTGCTCGCTTGACGAACTGAACTCAAATCTGACAGGTCGCACGGAATGAAGCGGATCTGCACTTGTGGATTGACAAGCTTCATGGACTCTATGAGACTGTTGGCAGCTTTTACATTGCGACCAGTGAAGAATATTTTGCTTGGACTGTGGACTGCGAGCTGTTTGACTGTTTCTGCTCCCACACCCGAAGTGCCTGATATACTGTTAGTAGAACTCTCGAGCATCTAATCCAGTCGATACTTGCCTCCTGTGACCAAGATCACCTTTCCGGATAGATCCGGGATGTCTTTCAGCGTGTTAAAATGGTGCGAGGGCATCTTTGCTTATGTTTTGGAGCGTGAAATCGAAAGGATGAAATGAGACTGAGCAAGAAGAACATATAAAAAAATTGAAAACGAACATCGCCGAAACACGGTCTTGTGATCAGTCCGAGAACTTTCTCTGTTGCTTACATGTTGGTCGAGTTTTCAAGGTAGAACAATGTATCCGTCCGTCTCGGAGCCGGGATTGCGGTTGGTCCGTCTTCCGTTCCTGCAGGGTTGCTGAGGCAGCACACTGCAGTTTTGACACATTCCGGGGTGCTTATGGAGAAGTCTCCGTCAGTTTGCTCACCGGTGGTCAGACTCACCTGGTGTTATAGTCTTGGCTTGGAGTGCATGGAGAAAGGCTGTCCTTATGATAGTCAGGCCATAAGGCAGACACAAATTAAGGTTATTCTTCTCCGCACCGGCCTTTGACAGTGAAAGAATTACAAAGACAGTCAGCCAAGCTTTTCATGCTTGAGACTGCGCAAGAGAAACCACGAAACGAAGCTAGATTTGCAGTCGGAGCAACTGTTGTTGCGAATGTCTTGTCGCGAACTTTGACTTGCAAAAGCGATCGAAAAGTGTCAGAATCGTCTCGGTCATAGTTATTCTGCCGTGGCCGAGCTGATCCTTTCGTAAGTGCTTGCAAATCATAGAGGAGGACAAGAGGACGGAGGTCAACAAGTTCCACGATCCAGAAATGTATGATGAGTCACTCGGCATCTGCAGAGGTTTTATCAAAATCCGAGCTGATCAAGGAGGTGTTGTCGTTTTACTGTTGAGGGTTTCGGCAGACATGGAGCATCAGGGCTCCGAATCAGCCCCACACGTCATCTCGTGGCAGCAGTTCTAGGCGACGCTTTGACATTTTGATCAAGATCTTGGCATTTCTGCTCTCTTCTGATTGGCTCGGAAGCATCGAAGGTCCGCCTCCCGGAAGATTGGCTCCAATCGCGTTTCTAAAGGCGGCCCAACCCTATGCAGAAAAACACCGTCCCCGATTGCTGCATGGTTTTATTTTAACAAGGCGTTTGTATATATGACCTGGGCATCGCGCCTTGTTAGCTAATATCTGCTCCTTTGTTCAAAACGTATTGTGTTCTTCTTCCTTCGTCCTTCGACACTTTTATGTCAAGACCTCTCCATTGAGGCTTCTTGCGGTCGCGACATTTCTGTACATAGCGGTCAACACAACAACCTACAAATACTGTATACACTTCAATCTTCTTCACAATGGCTACCAACAGCCAGATGGCCTGGACGCCGTCACTCAATCAAGGCTTTGGCGATGACCTCATGCGTCGCATCTCCCGCACAGTCTCTGGTCGTTCTGGCTTCTCCGACTATGAGGAGCCAAAGGATGACGAACACATCAGCAAAGCCGAGGACTGGTCATTGATGCCCGAAGTTAAGAGATATGCTGAGAATGATCCTGCCACCGGACGTAAGCTCGGAGTCACCTGGAACAACCTTACGGTCAAGGGTGTTCGTGCTGACGCTGCTTACAACGAGAACTTTCTCAGTCAGTTCAATGTACCGCAACACATCAAGGAAGGGCGCCACCCTGCACCTCTCAGGACCATTATCGACAACAGTTCTGGCTGTGTGAAGCCTGGAGAGATGCTGCTTGTGCTTGGCCGTCCTGGCGCAGGTTGTACGACACTTCTTAAGATGCTCTCCAACAGGAGAGCAGGCTATGCAGAGATTGAGGGCGATATCAGATTTGGTACCATGGATCCTAAAGAAGCCCAACAATACAAAGGTCAAATTGCCATGAATACCGAAGATGAGCTCTTCTTCCCTACCCTTACAGTCGGCCGCACTATGGACTTCGCCACTCGCCTAAAGGTGCCCAACAACTTGCCACAAGGCACCGAAAGCAGAGAGCAATTCCGCACCGAGTACAAGGACTTCCTCCTGAGGTCCATGGGAATCGATCACACAGCCGGTATGCTTCGAGATGACCATGGTTATTGCATTAACTAACACAAAAACAGACACGAAGGTGGGCAATGAGTACGTCCGTGGCGTCAGTGGTGGTGAGCGTAAGAGAGTTTCGATCATCGAAACTCTTGCGACCATGGCAAGCGTGTACTGCTGGGACAACTCTACCCGCGGTCTTGATGCCTCGACCGCTTTGGAGTACACTCGCGCTCTGCGTGCCATGACTGATAAGCTAGGCTTGGCCACTATCGTAACGCTGTACCAAGCCGGAAATGGTATCTATGATCTCTTCGACAAGGTGCTGGTTCTTGATGAGGGCAAACAAATCTATTATGGTCCTCGCGCCCAAGCTCGCCCCTTTATGGAGAAACTCGGCTTCATTTGCGACGACGCTGCAAACGTTGCCGATTTTCTGACTGGTGTCACTGTCCCTACGGAGCGAAAAATTAAGGATGGCTTCGAAGCTCAATTCCCCAGGAATGCATCAGCAATTCGCGAGCGCTACGAAGCGTCATCGATTAAGGCCAAGATGGACAAGGAGCTCGACTTCCCAGAAAGTACACGCGCGAAGGAGTGGACTGCCGATTTCCAGAAAGCAACTCACGAAGACAAGGCCAAGGGCATACCTAGCCACAGTCCCAACACCGTTGGCTTCCAATCGCAAGTCAAGGCTTGTATCATCAGACAGTACGAAATCCTGTGGGGTGACAAGGCAACCTTCTTCATCAAGCAAGGCTCTACTCTGGTACAAGCTCTTATCTCCGGTTCGCTCTTCTACAACGCCCCTAACAATTCTTCTGGTCTCTTCATTAAGGGAGGTGCCCTCTTCTTATCTCTCCTCTTCAACGCTCTCTTGGCCATGTCCGAAGTCACCGACTCCTTTTCGGGCCGTCCTATCTTGGCTAAGCATAAATCTTTCGCCTTCTACAATCCAGCTGCCTTCTGTATCGCTCAGATTGTTTGCGATTTGCCAGTTCTTGTCTTCCAGATCAGTATCTTCTCGGTCGTCTTGTACTTCATGGTTGGCCTGAAGGTCACTGCTGCTGCCTTCTTCACATACTGGTTTGTCATCTATCTCTCGACTTTGGTCATGACTGCGCTTTTTAGAGCCATTGGCGCTGCCTTCCCAACATTTGATGCTGCCTCCAAGGTCTCTGGTTTCATGATCAGTGCCCTCATCACGTACATTGGTTACCAGATTCCCAAGCCCGAGATGCACCCTTGGTTCGTGTGGATCTACTGGATCAACCCTATGTCCTATGGTTTCGAGTCCCTTCTTGGAAACGAGTTCAAAGGCCGTGTCATTCCTTGTGTCAACAACAACCTTGTTCCCAATGGCCCTGGTTACACCGATGCTGCTTACCAAGCCTGTGCTGGTGTTCGCGGCGCTGTCCCAGGCGCTACCGAGATCACTGGTGAACAGTACCTTCACAGTCTCTCATACAACTCTTCGCACATCTGGCGCAATGTCGGTATCCTATTCGCTTGGTGGTTCCTGTATGTTGCTATGACCATCTTTTTCACCCTTCGTTGGAGCGAGAATGGCAATTCAAATGGTTACCTTTTGGTCCCACGCGAGAAGGCTCACCTAGCCAAAGGTCTAATGAACAAGACCAACACTGATGAGGAGAACCCTGCCGAGAAGTCTCAAACATCGATCTCAAGCGCTGACACCCAAGTTCCTGCTGGCAAGGACGAAAAGCCCAAGTCCGAGTCTGAGAACAACGACCAGCTTGTTCGCAACACCAGTATCTTCACCTGGAGAAACCTGACCTACACTGTCAAGACACCATCAGGCGACAGAGTTCTTCTTGACAACATCCATGGTTACGTGAAGCCCGGCATGCTCGGCGCTCTCATGGGTAGTTCCGGTGCCGGTAAGACCACCCTTCTCGATGTTCTTGCCCAGCGCAAGACAGATGGTACAATCAAGGGTGAGGTCCTCGTCGATGGTCGTCCTCTCTCGGTCTCGTTTCAACGTTCTGCTGGTTACTGCGAGCAACTCGATGTCCACGAGCCTTTGACTACCGTCAGAGAGGCACTCGAGTTTTCAGCTCTCCTTCGCCAGAGCCGTGATACACCTGACTCCGAGAAGATTGCTTACGTTGATACCATCATTGATCTTCTAGAGCTTCACGATCTTGATCACACCCTTATCGGCAAGCCTGGTGCTGGCCTTTCGATCGAACAACGAAAGCGCGTCACAATAGGAGTCGAATTGGTCTCTAAACCATCGATCTTGATTTTCCTTGACGAACCCACGAGTGGTCTAGACGGACAGGCTGCCTTCAATACTGTTCGATTTTTGAGAAAGTTGGCCGATGTGGGTCAAGCTGTACTTGTTACTATCCACCAGCCGTCCGCCCAGCTGTTCGCAGAGTTCGATACACTGCTTCTTCTCACCCGTGGAGGCAAGACTGTTTACTTTGGTGACATCGGAAAAGATGCGCAGACCATCAAGGAGTACTTTGGCCGATATGACGCTGCTTGCCCACCTAGCAGTAACCCCGCTGAGCATATGATCGATGTGTGCTCTGGCTCTCTATCACAAGGCAGAGATTGGCATCAGATCTGGCTCGAGTCTCCCGAGAACAAGAAGATGCATGAAGACCTCGATGCCATGATCCAAGACGCCGCCGGTAAGCCCCCTGGTACCAAGGACGACGGCTACGAATTCGCCACCTCCCTTTGGACTCAGACCAGACTGGTCACCAACCGCATGAATGTCTCGATCTACCGCAACACCGACTACATCATGAACAAGATCATGCTCCACATTGGTACTGCATTGTTCATGGGCTTCACATTCTGGATGATCGGCAGCGGTGTCTACGATCTACAGCTCAATCTCTTCGCAATCTTCAACTACATCTTCGTTGCTCCAGGTGTCATCGCACAGCTTCAACCTCTCTTCATCGAGCGTCGCGACGTCTATGAGACTCGTGAAAAGAAGAGTAAGATGTATGACTGGAAAGCCTTCACTACAGGTCTCATCGTGTCTGAGATCCCTTACCTTGTTCTGTGTGCGACATTCTACTTTGTCTGCTTTTACTTCACCGTCGGCTTCCCTGGAAAGGCTGCTTCTGCGGGTTCGGTCTACTTCGTCATGTTGGTCTACCAATTCATCTATACTGGTATCGGTCAGTTCGTTGCAGCCTATGCTCCCAACGCCGTCTTCGCATCGCTTGTCAACCCTTTGATTATCGGTACTCTCGTCTCGTTCTGTGGTGTCCTGGTGCCTTACGCTCAGATCCAACCTTTCTGGCGTTACTGGTAAGTTTTGCTGAGCTGTCTTTATCCTTGCATAAGTTACTAACAACACTCCAGGCTATACTACCTCAACCCCTTTAACTACCTCATGGGCTCCCTCCTTGTATTCACTACCTTCGACGAGGTTGTTCACTGCAAGCAATCCGAGTTTGCAAGATTCAATCCTCCTTCAGGTCAGACTTGTGGATCATACCTCGCCAATTACCTGCAAGGCATGGGTCATGCTTCAAACCTTATCAATCCTGATGCTACTTCTGACTGTCACGTCTGCCAATACACTCGTGGTAGCGACTACCTTGCCACCCTCAACCTGAAAGAATACTACTATGGCTGGAGAGATGCAGCCATCTGTGTCATCTTCGCTCTGTCTGGTTACGCTCTTGTGTTCGGACTCATGAAGCTCAGGACCAAGGCATCCAAGAAGGCTGAGTAAACGCTTCTTGTACATCTTCATCCTCTTTTGATTCATACATGTCAGCGTGGCGTTCAATATAGAAATGCATCTTGTAATATCAAAATAGACTCTCGTATCTTTATCAAACTCTTCTCATATCTGCCCTCTCCCTGTCATTCTCTTCTCTCTTCAATGGAGAAATCATCTCCGGTGTTACTATCAAAAGGCACAGACGTGTTCTGCAGTCTGGTGGGTCCAGGAAGAGGTCCGATCGAACAGTGCTTCGCTGGCTGCAGTAGTCAAGCGTGTGGACTCTCTGCCTTTTCACAGCTAGACAACACCAAGTTTGAGTCCTGAGATCTTTAATCGCGCCAACATTTTCCGACAATCGACAACATTCGGTTCATATTCACTCGCATTCGAAATTCTCTCCCAACTCGCTTCCGTTTTGCTTCCACTCTACCACAACACTGTCAACACCAACGCGATGGCTAATCGTGAGGGACACGCTATCGCGCCTGCTGGCTCTCGACAGGCTGGCAACGGTGATCGAACTACCGCTACTTCTCTCAAAGACGCGCTCAACGCCAGCGAAGCTCCTGACGCAGCTCAAGACGGCACCACTGTCGACGAGTTGGAAGAAGCACTCTCAGCATCGCTTGAGATACTCAAGAACAGCATCAACCAAGGTACTATTGATAATATCCTGTGAAACACCAACACTGCTGACACAATTCAAGACGGCGCTGTCAACACCAGCACAATGGGAGAAAGCGACCACTTTACCGCACCCCTCGACGACCAGCCTCTCAGTCACGTCGTTTCTACTCCCTTGACCGACGCTCTGAGCCTTGACCACTCTTCTAGATCCATTCAATACAACACTTTCGATGGTACCGCAGAAGAAGACATTGACCAGAACACTTCCGGACCAGTCGAGACCCCTGAGGTCGACACCATGAAGCAGTCTACCTCTGAACCCCTCAGCAAGCTTTCAGGGGACGCTCACTCAATTGCCGTCAACCTCGAGTCTATCTACCAAACCACCGCTTCGCCCGAGACGAAGCAAATCATCGCTTGCCTCGTGCACCTTGACACCGCCATCACCCGTCAGACCCATCTCAACAACCTCCATGAAGCTCACACTGCCAAGAACTTCCGTGAGCAGCGTCACGTCAATAAGGATCGCAGACTTCGCTTGTTGGAGACTATCCAGAACGTCAACAGGAAGTTCGCAAGGTTTGATGCTGAGCGCATGGAAACTGAGAAACTGGCAAAGCAGTGTGAGATCCGTGTCAACAGTCATGATGTGCAGCTGAAGCACGTCAAGGACAGGGTTGAGATGTGTGCTGAGGGTGGTGAATGGATGGAGGCTGAGCTTGCTAAGGTTACTGAACGCTTTGAGCAAGGGAACAAGGAGCTCAAGAAGCAGAACAAGTACCTGAAGAGCAAGGTCAGGGGCTTGGAGGAGCAGGTTGAAGTTCTCAAGGAGAGAGACGGGGCTTGGGAGAGAAGAGTAACTGCCCTGGAGGAGTACGTCAAGAGCAAGAAGGAGAGTGACTGGATCGAGGTCTCCGTTGGAAAGGATCCTGTGTTTGATGCTGTCAGATTCTCTGTTGGCAACTATCGCGTCTTCTCGATCTTCCATTGAGAGGAGTAAAACCTTGTCAAGCGGCACAGTGGTGTGGATTTGTGGGAAGTTCTGAAAGAAACCACCTCAATGACAATTGCAAGCAGAAAATCCCTACATCCATTGTTTCTTTGTGATAGCTCAGAAAGCAAGTCACAATTTCAAATCTGTCCGTTTGCTGCTTTCTTAATGCAGGTGTGGCATGTGCTACGAGATTGTTGTCTAAGATGCTAGCAAACAATGATCCCGGCGTGCTCAAGTATATCTTCTGACTTCATGCTCTGGAGTCTCCACATGACAATCACGCACGTTCTTGCTTTTTCCTATATACCAACATGGAAATGGAGTCACGATGCACGCGAATGGTCTTCCGCGTGCCAGATCCATACTTGAATACGTGTATTATGCGCTGGAGTGCCAAAGCAGTCAGAGTCATCAATGATTCTGTATGATTGTATATATACAGCATCTCTGTCTCGGAGTGATTTTCCCACAGCATTATCCAAAGCTTACAAAGCGCATCTATCTTCAGAGCTATTTCAACAAGACAAGACAACAAAGGCTTCAACAATGGTCAAAGATCCTTCCCGCTTCGCTCTGGAGATCTTGACTCTCATCGCCATGCTTACCAATGTTGAAGACCTCCCAAGTTTCCGTCTGGTCTGTAGGGCTTTTCATGATGTTGCAACCAGATGGTTTGGAGAAGCATTCTTTACTGAGCGCGCACACGTCCTCTCGCACATCAGCATGGCTGAACTACTGCTGATGTCCAGCAACTCGAAAGTCGGTCCGTATATACGACAGTTAGGCTTCAACAGCATTCTGCTTCCTCTGCCCTCGTTCATCCGCGCTCATGAAACAGGCTTGAATGGACGAGCCTTAGTCTCCAGAGCAGCCGCTCGTCATGAGCAGTTTGTGTGCCTTGAGAGCGGTATCTTCGAGCAACAGCTTATGCTTGTGTTGCACAATTTCAAGATCTGGGGCAGCCATCCTATTTAGGTGCATGTCTATTGCAATCAAGGCCCATACCATGGTTGGGGCTGGCAGAGTCTGCTCCCTCAGCACGACTCTACACCTCTCAACGTCTTTCGAGCATCACCTCCCTCGATTGAGCGTGGAGCAATGCACGAGATTACTGCTGCTTTCACCCATGCTGTTCTACTTACCAACTACCCCATGGCTGGTATGGTACTCGACTTCAATCACAAATGTGCTGGTCCAACAAGTATCTTTCACTATCTCAACGAGCTCCCAGAAGATGCCTACAGCTCAGCAAGAATCTCCGGAGGTGATCTACTCTGCCGACGTTTTGCTGCTGGTTTCAATGGGCACAACAGCGGTCAACACGACCTACTCCACTATATGCCTGACACAAAGCGCCTTGAGGTCCGCTCTGGTGTCACATCCGGTATAATCAACGACTTTCAAGCCTTCACAAGCTGGCTACCTCGAAATTCCATCAGCACACTGGTTCTCAGAGACATCACCACTTACTGGGAGGGCAAACTCGACACCTTTCTTACCCACAACCCCCAACTCGAACATCTCGAACTCCACTCTTGCCAATTTTGGGGTCTTGAGTGGAGCGAGATCTTTGCGCAGCTTATCTCAGACGCCGATAACGACGAGCCTCTTCCTCAACTCGAGTATTGCTGTTTTACAGATCTGCGTCTCCAGGAGCCGGAGATCTATACACGTATTACGGAGCTTGTTAGTGCTTGCAATGAGAGACATGAGTATCGTGGTCACGAGCAGATCAAGCAAGGACTGGTTTTGTTGAGTGCAAGGTTTCAGACTCTGGAGGAAACGGACTTCTTGAGTGATAGTGATGACACTGATGTTACTGAGGAGAACTTGAACTGATGAGCCACAGTGTGGGTCTTGGACTTATGTTGGAACGGTATATATGCGAGATGCCGGACGAGCTGTGTAATCTGGAGAGGCGAATGAGCCTGTCATTCTACGTCGATGATATATTGGGACAGTTCAATATATGAGCTGTCTTTCCCTCACTCACACGTTCCATTCCAACTTCTTACTTGTTGTCTTTGCCTTTCTTTCTTTCATTGGACCACTTGCTAAGATACCTTTGGGGAATCGCACAGAACTGATAACAAGGAGACCCCCTGGTGGTCCTCGCTGCGAGACACATCCCCAAAGTCTATATCTCAGCGTATCAATTGAGATACTGCTAACCAACCCGAGCTCGGAATGCATGCTATAGTCCAAGGAGTTGTCCGGTGGTCTAGCGGTGACGTATACATGTCGGTGTGCCGGTCCCTCTGGATGGCCAGGTCTTGGCGTTGACCAATTTTCCGTGTGGTTGTTATGATCAGTTCGAGGAAGCGTTCTCTCTATCTGCTTCTCGATGACTACCTCATCAATCACTTAAGTTTTTATCTCAAAGCTGACCCTTTACCAGCATGGATGCTCTTCCTACTGAGATGGTAGCCCATATCGGCTTCTTCGCCGGCGCTGAGGGTCTACCTGCACTGCGCTCTACTGGTCGCCTTGCGAGCAATGCCACTGTCCTTCACTTCGCCAAGACCTGTTACCAGGCCATGCGCATCTCTTTCACTCTCAAATCCCTTGAAAAGCTGTGTCTCGCCCTCCTTCATCCTCGATTCGGCCCTTGCATCGAAGACATCACCTTCATCATCAGCGGTACTGAGCAACTTACACCTGCACTATTCGCCAAGTCGTGGTTTATCCTCAGCACACTGGCAGCACGCAGACAGCGCGTCAACATTAAGGTCTGTGTCTCTGCAATTGGTGTCGCAGACACTGCTTTCATCGAGGCCAACATCTATCGCATTCTGCTGCAACTCGTGCGTGGCAGCGCCTTGAAGGCCTGTGTGGGAGTTCCCATCATCCTTGACCTCCCTTCTCCTCCCAGGGACCCTCGAGATGCCCCTGCCAGAAGTATGTTGTTCACCAGCTTGGCCGTCCTCGCTGTTAAGGAGAACCTACACATCACATTTGCAGACCACCACGAGTCTGCTGCTGTTCTCTACGACACAGCTCGGGAGACCCTCACGCTGACCAATCTTGCCGTCAAGCACCTCAGCGAGCTCAAGCACCTATTCTCTGGACTTCACATCCGCAAACTCGTCGTCAGAAACTCTGAGCTGGACACCACCACTCTTAACAGGCTGTGCTCTGTGCACCAAACCACTCTCAACACCGTTTGCATCAGTAACGTCAGTCTTTGGGACTGCTGGTCGATGGGCGACATCGTGCCTACTTCGTGGAAGCATGTATTGGACAGGCTTACAGGCCTTCCTGCTCTGTTTTCTTGCAATTTGTCGGAGCTTCGCATGGAGAGCTTGGTTCCGATCTGGGACGACACTCGTGTTCAGAAGGACCCAGTTCAGATCTCAGACTTCTTCGCTAGTGGAATCGTCACTGTCAACCACAGGCTGGACCTCTTGATTACTGCCACACAGTGGTGAACTAAGGTAGGTTGACATGAACTCCGTATGAGAACCACTTCTCAAAACAAAAAGTTGACTGAATGTGTGCAGCATCGACATTTCAACGCGAGCTATCCACTCGAGAGCTTTCCAAGAGACTCTCGATCCTGCCACACTTGCGGCTAGTATACAACAACTCAACAGCATCCGCGTTCTCAAGCTTGCCACCATTTCGATTTACTCGGACACACCTGGGATTCAACCTCAAGTCGCCTATCCTGCTAGTGCTCAGAGCAGACCAACTGTTCGTTCTTTCTGGGCCCAAAAAATCATCTTCCAAGTTTTCTTGCTCATTGTTCGTTCCATCAGTTGAAAATTCGCTCGGCGACCGGTCGAGTCGTATACAACTTGCGAGAAACAAAAGATCTGGTCAGCTCCTTTTCGCTACGAGGCCCGAATTATTGGAAGCCTGTTGTCTGCCCTCTATGCTTTCATCTTCCGCTCAATGCAAAGTAATCCTTGTTTCCTTCTTTCGTTCCTTCGGTGCTCTTCTTTGCGGGCATTGTGTCAACTTCGATTGGCCCTTCGTCTGCTTTGTCTACACTCTTTTCTCTTATTCCACTGGAAGCAATGGGTCAATTGCATCTTGGGTTTTCGTTATTTGCGCATCAGTCGGTCCTTGGAGGACATGTTGATTTAGGTCGATCCTCGTTTCTTTTGTTTCTGTTTTTCTTTTTCTTGGATAACTAGCAACAAAATCAAACTGTCTCTTGAACTTGAAGGTCGAGCTTCTTTCTTCAGGGTATAACTGCTATGAGACTGGGTTTCGATAGTTCAATCGTCTCCGCTGTATAAGACAGCTTATATAACATGTTCATTTCACCGTGAGACCGCTGTTAGGCTCTACAGCTTGACGTGAAAGACCCTCGTACTTATCGGACTCGCTGTCACTACTTCCGCGGAATGCACGCTGGTGTACCTGATTGATCATCAAGAAGTCGGGCTAAACGACACAATCCTCGGTGGGATGTGCGCTGTGCATTGAAACAGCCCGTTGACTCATAAGAAGTCTCTATGACTCCTTCAGACATCGAGAGTTGAATTGAGCAAATCCACGGTCCAGCTTGCAGACACGTCCCACCGCTACCTTCCGGGCCCCGGCCGGTCATTCGTCCTCGCTTGCACATGAGTTCCGAAAAGAAAGCGGCGAGGGGAGTTGCTTGTTTGCAGAAACAAAGCCACTGTATAACCAGCACAAAGAAACATGATTTCACAAATTCAGTATCAGCAACGGGCTATGAACCTAGAGCCAATACTCCTTATTCGCAATGCGCCAAACTCCTAACTCCAAACAGCCTTACGCCCAAACAGAACCCTCCTTAGGGGCCTTCCAACCCTTCTCTTTCACCTTCGGCCACCTAATATCAATTGGTCTCAACCCAGCCGCCATCGGGACTTCCTCCAACAAATTCCGATCCATTGGAGAACCATTAACATCATCCTCATCAACCTTCGCGATCAAAACTCCCTGCTTTAGACTATCCTCATGAATCTGAACATGGTCAAAGCGAGCACGTCTCCTCTCATGAAGTTGTTTTCTGACAAACTTTTTCTCCATCTCAGTGGTCGCGCCTTGGAGAGTTGCTGTGCGTTTCATGTATCGAAAAGTGCCAAAGAGGTATTTCAAAGCTTCTGGGACTTCTCTTTTCTCCTCGACTAGAGATCGTGAGAAGAAGACTGCAAATCTAAAGTTTTTGACTTGAGGGAAGTCAATCACTAGAGGAATTAGCAAACCATCTAACCACAACTTCCTGCTGCTGAAGGTGAAGTCGCCATTCACGAACAGTGTGACAAGAAGGTCACTTTTCGTGAAGCGACGTTCAAGTTTGGGTTCAACGTCGCGAGAAGCCAGAACGTCCACAAATTTGCAAGTCGCCGTCCAGCAAATTCCAGCATAGGGGTCCTGATAGAATGCGTCGCGACAGAGGAGTTCTTGTTCGCGGTCGAGGCGACTCTGAGCATATCTCCATTTCTCTTGCTCCTCACGATGTTGATACCTGGCGCGAGTCTTTTGCTGATTTTCGTAGGCTTCTCTTTCTTTTCTTGGAAGCGTGATAGTTTTCAGAGCGTTGTTTAAGCTTAGACTGTCATGACAGCTGCCTGGCTGCGAAGATGTTGAATCTTGCAGTATGTCATGTGAGTTGTTTGCTGCTGGACGACAAATTTGCACTGGATCATGAGCATCGCGATTGTTGAAACACGATGAGTTCTGTTGCTGCTGAATTGGTAAGAAAGAAGATGTAGACTTGACCAAGGGACAAGCCCAGGAGACACGCTTTGGAGATTTTGAGGTGGTAGCCATGAGGTCGACTTGATACGGATGCAAAAGCTGGAAATGTTGCCGATAGGTCTTGAGTCTCAGAGTTTGTTCTTATGTGAGGGAAACCGCAAGATGAAGTCCATTCAGGCGTGCGCGAATATAAGAAAGGGGATTAGCTGCCGCTGACTCAACACAGCTGTATGACTCCCATCGCGACACGCTAACGACAACATATCTTGCGCTTTACCATAGGAGAACATATGACCAGTGAATGACCTCTATCTGGGAGAGGCGCTATTCTCGAATGAAAATGCACGACATTCTTCGAGGCGTCGTGCATATGTGCAGAAACATATCGCTATACCAGCGACGCTACCAATGCCAAGACCTACTACTATGAGATGTTGTGATAGCCTGAATTTGACTTACAGATTTTAGCATGTTAGTGACGGTTCTTGCTAGATACCCGAGATATCTTGACCACCTTTTCGAGATGGTCTACGAGATGTCGTCTTAAAAAGAAAGTTGAGCGATTTAAGCAACTTCGCAATCGAGCTCGCACGACTGCGTTCTGGGCGTAGCTATGGTCCACCTTCCGGTTTCGAGCCGTCAAGCCTCTTCTGTCTTGCGATCTGCCGAAGCAAGGTGACTCGGTCGCTTATTGATTTTTCTTTCTCTGCGAGACGTTCGACTCGTTCGCCAGCGATCGCAGCTTTTTTCTCTGCGAACAGCCTCTTCTGCTCAGCACGCTCAATCCTCGCCTGTGCACGCTGAGCTTCCTCTTTGACGCGCAGTCTCTCGCGCTCGGACTTCTGTGCTGCGACTCTTTGTTTGTTTATCACGGCTTGCTCTTCTGCCAGACGTCTTCTTTGCTGAGCACGGTCGTCTCTGGCCTTTGCACGCTGAGCTTTCTCTTCAGTACGCAGTCTTTCCCGCTCGGCTTTCCTTGCTGCGGCTTGATCACTCTTCATCGCAGCTCTTTCTTGTGCGAGACGCCTTTTCTGCTCGTCACGCTCAGCTCTCGCCAGTGCACGCAGCCTCTCGCGCTCAGCTTTCTTTTCAGCTCTCTCTTCAGCTGTGGCTTCCTTCAGTCGTTGACGATACTGACGCTGATACTGACGTTGGTGACTTCTGGTAGCCTCCTTGTGCTTTTCGTAGTACTTTTCGGTGGCAATTTTTTGCCGTTCAGGGTTGCGAGAACGGTATTGCCGATAGTACTCCTGCATTGCCTCTTTGTTCTCCTGATACTTTGCTCGATTCCTTTCGTTGATTGCATCTGCATTATCGGCACGATATTGGTTTTGCTGAGCCCGAAGTCTTTCTCTGTGTTGTTGGTAGAACCTTTGGCGGACTGCTTTGCGGGCCTCTGGCTTATCGGCATAGTATGATTTGAGTCGATCCTTGTTGTTTTGATAGTACTCTCTCATATATTCTTCACGGGCTCCTGGGTGCCTGGCGCGATACAGTTTCTGGCGAAGCGACACGGCTTCTTTATTCTTTTCACGATTTGTTTTAGCATTCTCTGTTTCCTCAGAGATAGGCAGGCTCTGCGGCGTATTCGAGAGCCTCTCTTCTGCCAGACAAGAGCGAGTAGATGAGAAGTGCCGGAAGGACACATAATCAGGGAAAGCAGATACAAGTTTCAGCGGACGATAGACGACCAAGCGAAGGCCACAAGGTGTGGCTGACATGGTTCGTTCTGTGGAGGAGACCACATTTGACTTCAGTCGAAATTATCGGGGATAAGTAAAGAACATCTCAGTTTGATAGATTGTGTATAGCAATGATGATGTTAGGAGTCTGGCCGAATTGACAGATTGATACTCGGCAGACCAATGCCAAGCCGGCAGTCGTGAAAGCGAGGCCAAACGCTCCCTCCCGATCGCACGCACCGAGAGCACCGAGTGCCTTCCTCTTCTCGTGTCAAATCGCACCGAGATCTTTCTTGCCCCTGTTCCAATGATGTAAGGGCAGTGAAATTTTAGGCCAACGCTCTTTTCGCAGCCAAACTTGGTTTGAATGTGGGTATGGTAGTATTTTTCTTGTCTCTTGCCGCGTCCTTGGCAGGCGGCCTGCAATCCTTCCTTCGTGCCAATCCGTGGCGGCATCCATCGTCCTCCTAACGTCTTTCTCTGTCCATATACCCCTGCCTGCTACTCGGGGATATTTTTTCTCGCAGTCCCTGGGACCCTTGAAGCCTATTCTTCGCAACATCGCGGTGACGACAGGCCTACATGAGTGTGTAGCAGCTCGATCCTTACTGGTCAGCGGCATCTCCGGATCGTCCGCGTCATGTTGTCGGCTCCTCGAATTAGCGGTCGTTTCACCCAGCTGCTGCTGTTGGCTGCCATACTCTCCATCCTTACTATAGTCTTGTACGCCAATGCCGACGCCATTCATGTCCCGGAGGGTATCTCACTGAAGCCTCCGACAAAAGGTCGACCGCACCACCCCATCGACGACTTGATTGAAGAGGCGGATCGCCAACAAGATGCGCTGTTGCAGAAGGAGTCGCATACCCTAGCCAATGCTGTGCGCGCATACGAAGAACGCAGAGGACGACGGCCTCCGCCAGGTTTTGACGTCTGGTTTCATTTCGCCCAGGAAAACAATGCCTTGGTCATTGAAGATTTCTTCGATCGCATATACCACGATTTGAATCCTTTCTGGGCTGTGCCTGCTCTTACGATACGCCAACAAGCTGGCGACATTTTCCACCGTATCAGTATTCGCAATGGCAATACATCGCAGCTCAGCGATCAACCGCGCGTGTGGCTAGATCTATGGGAGAACTTGATTGGTACAATCGCTCAACATCTGCCCGATCTAGACATTCCCATCAATGTCATGGACGAATCGCGCGTCGTGGTACCTTGGGAGACGATTGATGAATACATGACTGTAGAAGAGAAGTCCCGGCGCATTGTCCCTGCTTCCGAGGTCGTCCACAAGTTTGGCAAGACGTCGGTCGCGCAAGATGAGGAAGTGCCTGGATTCGACCCTCAATGGGAAGGCGGACCATACTGGGATCGCGCTGTCATTGGCTGTCATCCTGATTCTCCTGCTCGCTCATACAAGGCAGAGGTGGATTACACTGTTTTCCCGCCTCTGAACAACTCGTACCCAGAGAAGAGTCACCACGGCTATGTCGCCAATTGGACATATGTCAAACAGCCCTGCGAACATCCTCAACTGCAGGGTCTCCACGGCACATTTGTCGAGCCCATTTCCATATCCAATTCGAGAAAGCTCATGCCTCTTTTCGGAGGCTCAAAACTACCCATGAACAATGAGATTCTTCTACCACCAGCCATGTACTGGACAGACGATCCGTTCTACTCTGGAGGAGAGGAACATGGCACTGAGTGGAGCAAGAAGAAGAACAAGATAATCTGGCGTGGTGCAGCTTCTGGTGGTCGCAACAAGGATACAACGTGGGCTCGTTTCCAGCGTCATCGCTTCGTATCAATGGTGAACGCTACCAGCATTGCTTATGCTGAAGAAACAGGCAAACAGCCGAACTTCGAACTGCCCGAGTCCGGGTCGTATGACCTACCATCTGGATCGCTAGCCAAGTGGGTAGGTGAGTGGGGAGATGCGGCATTTGTACACTTGCTCTGCTTTCCTGACACAAGACCACCGTTTTGTGACTACGATGATGCCTACTACCAGGTCAAGGCATCGATGCCGATGGGAGAACAATACAACTACAAGTATCTGCCAGACATTGATGGAAACTCGTTTTCTGGACGATACCGTGGATTCCTCGGATCAACATCTCTACCTATCAAGGCAACGATATACGACGAATGGCATGATTCACGAATGATGGCATGGAAGCACTTTGTGCCCATGGATAACACGTTTGTGGATATTTACGGCATCATGCATTACTTTTTGGGTGGCCGTGATGCAGCAGCCAAGAAGATTGCACTCGAAGGCAAGCAGTGGACTGAGACTGTGCTTCGACGAGAGGACATGCAGATATATGTTTTCAGGTTGCTGTTAGAGTATGCAAGGTTATGCGACGATAACAGGGAGAAGCTTGGGTGGGTCAGCGAGACGGAGAAACTGTTGCTGGCCGATGCAAACGCAGCTGGGCAGAGCGGTTAGTATATTTTGAATGAGTAATGACAATCTAATATGAGCATGAGATACACATGGAAGTTGCAACCCTGGAAATTGTTCGGTCGTGCCTGCCTCTGATCGAATCTGGCATGACTCATGACGCCAAGCAATCGGGCGGGGGACGGAAAGAGCTGGCGGAGTTGGGCTGGTCTTTGACTGTTTCCGAACCAAAAAAGTGTTTTCGACTCATCTTCAGTCATTTTTGAGCTCAAGGTGTATGCGCGCATTCCAAGTCAGAACCGCTGCATCTTTCCTTGGTCACTCTCCTTCACACAGTACTTCGTTTAACCGATCCGGACTCTTCCAGCTCTGGTCACACACGCGACCCTTCTCAAACTTCAAAGTCCCAAAGCACAAAGGCGTCACCATGGAGCATCTCACTGCTTCACTCCAGACTCTGGGCCTCAATGAGGTCCCTCAGCTCGCCAACCTGGCCACCTTCCCTACATACAACCAGGTCGACATCTACCGTGCACACATCGCCGAACTCCTTGCGCCCATCACTGGCGTTGCTGCTGAGACCGTCTACCCTCTGCTGCAATGGACTCAGGTTCTGGAATACGGCGATGTCATGTTGCCCGTTCCCGCTTTGCGCATCAAGGGCAAGAAGCCCGATGCTCTCGCCGTCGAAATCAAGGAACAGGTACCGTTGGGCCGAGCAACTCTCTCATTACCACACTGACTCTGTCTGTAGTTCCCCGAGTCACCCCTCGTCCTTCCTCCCGTCGCCGAAAAGACCTTTGTCCGTTTCTTCTTCAAGCCCGGCCCTCTCGCCAAGCTCGTCCTTCCCTCAATCCTCAAGAACAGCACCAAGTACGGTTTCAACCCCAACCTCGGTCTCAAGGACCCCAAAAATCCCAGCTCCGACAAGAAGAAGATGATTGTCGAGTTCTCATCGCCCAACATTGCCAAGCCATTCCACGCCGGTCACTTGCGTTCAACCATCATTGGAGGTTTCTTGAGCAACCTGTACGAGGCTGCTGGTTGGGACGTCACTCGCATGAACTACCTCGGTGACTGGGGTAAGCAGTACGGTGTTCTGGCCATTGGTTTTGAGAAGTTTGGAAGCGATGAGGCACTTGAAGCCAACCCCATCGGTCACCTCTACGAGGTCTACGTCAAGGTCAGCGCTATCGCACACGACGAGGGTGAGCAGGTCAAGGCTCTCAAGGAAAAGATCGTCGAGCTTGAGGGCAAGAACGAGTCGGTCGTCGAGCAGCAGGCCGAGATTGAGCGTATTGAGAAGGAGGGTATCGACCAACAAGCCCGTGACTACTTCAAGCGCATGGCCGATGGCGAGAAGGACGCTCTGGCTATCTGGGCCCGTTTCCGTGACCTCTCGATTGTCAAGTACAAGCAGACCTACGCTCGTCTGAACATCACCTACGACGACTACTCTGGTGAGTCGCAGGTCAAGAACGAGAGCATGGAGACTGCTGCCAAGGTTCTTGCCGAGAAGAAGATCAGTGAGGACAGTCAAGGTGCTGTCCTTGTTGACCTGACCAAGTACCAGAAGAAGCTCGGTAAAGCTCTGGTCAAGAAGAGAGATGGCACTACCCTGTACCTCACCCGTGATATCGGTGCCGCTGTTGAGCGTCACCAGAAGTACCACTTTGACAAGATGATTTACGTTGTCGCCTCGCAGCAAGACTTGCACTTGGCTCAACTCTTCAAGATCCTCGAGGTCATGGGCGACGAATACGAAGAGGTTTCCAAGAAGTGCCAGCACATCAACTTCGGTATGGTCCTGGGTATGTCTACTCGCAAGGGTACTGCCAAGTTCCTTGACGACATTCTCCGCGATGTCGGTGAGAAGATGCACGATGTCATGAGAAGCAACGAGGGCAAGTACGTCCAGGTTGAGAACCCCGAGCAAACCGCCGACACTCTCGGTATCTCAGCCGTCATGGTGCAAGACATGAGCGGCAAGCGTATCAACAACTACGAATTCGACATCAACCGCATGACATCGTTCGAGGGAGACACTGGCCCTTACCTCCAATACGCACACGCTCGTCTCTGCTCGATTGCTCGCAAGGCAGAACTCACACCCGAGCAGCTCGCATCCGCCGACTGGTCATTGCTGACCGAGAAGCACGCCGTGGACGTTATCCGCTCGCTCGCACAATGGCCCGACACTTTCGTCAACACCATCAAGACACAAGAACCTGTCACTGTCTTGACATACCTGTTCAAGATGACACACATGTTGAGCAGTTCTTACGAGCAGTTGAACGTCATGAAGGCCGAGCCTGAGGTCAAGAAGGCTCGTGCAGCACTTTACGAGTGCGCTCGCCAAGTCTTGTACAACGGTATGAGACTGCTGGGTCTCAACCCTGTCGAGCGTATGTAAGATGGGGGATTCTACAAAAGATTTTGGAGGCGCAAATGGGACATGGTTAGATGTTGATACCTGCATGGCGCATGGGATGAAAAAGAGACGATGTGCTTTCTTAGTTTATGTGAAAGAATGAACAATATCACAATTTCCGCAGACATGAAATGCAGCCAAAGAAGCGAGTGAGGTTGTGACTTTAATCAAGGTTTCTTGGTTGACAGCGCGCAGGACCCTGGAAAAGTGGGCGGTTGCCGTGGGGAAATTCGTGTTGATCGACAGAGATGCAGCCAACCACTTCCCAGCCATCGCTTTACCAGCCATCGCATGCGCAAACAAGGAGAACTCCTGTTCGCTCTTCCATCTCCTGTACGCTTTCCTCACACAAACTTTTTCTCTCAACGTCTATCTCTTCACTTTCAACTGTTCATCACACCGTTGCAATCACTTTGTCGATACTACCCGTCTTCCCCACATTTGTCTATACCATTCACGACTGCGACTACTTTCCACGCTTGATACACCACACAACTTCCTGGCTGAAGGAGCCTCAGCAACAATGGCACCCACAAACCCATCTCACCACCTTCTTGCTCGCACACCAGCTCCGCCCACTCCCTGCGCCGGCTGCCTCGACCCCACCAAAGTAAACAACAAAGTCTACTTTTCACTATTCGCTCTCATCTTTGCAGCAATCGTCATCGCCTCCATCTGGTTCTTCTTCCACGCCAAAAACGGCGGGTTCCACTGGCAACAAGGCGACTTCGAAGACTGGAAATCTACAGTTCTGCGACGCAAAGACGCAAATGGGAATACGATTTACTCGGCTCGAAGTGTGGTTTCTCGCCCGAGTAAGGCGGAGAGACTTGCAGCAAGATCAGTGGTTGGCTATGATGAAAAAGGCAGAAAAGGCATTATGGCTATTAGGGGATTTGGAGGTAGTCATTCTGTGTATTACTCTGATGGGTTTACGCAGTATTCGGGTGATGATGCGTTGACCTCTGTCTCGAGGAACAACGAAAAGAAACCGAAGATTAGAGGTGGATACATGGAAGCTCCTACTTCGACTGACCATTCTCGCCGCTACCGCGACCGCGATCTCCGCGACTACAAACACGAGAAACCTGCCAGAGTGGGAGGTATGAATAGATCTGCAGATGGCACACAGTACGACTACTCAGATCGCAGCGAGACCGTCTCGCAAGTCACTGAGTCAACGTCTTCTGCGGCACCTATTCTCGCTTCCTCGGATCGCAAGCGCCAAAAGGCAGAAAAGAAAGCTGCGGAAGATGCTGCAAGAATGGAAAGAAAATGGCGCAAAGAAGCCGAACGCGCCGCCGCCGCACTCGCAAAAGAAAACGCCTCTTCTGTTCCTCCCTCTGCTGCAAAAAAGACATCTCCACCTGCCAAATCCCAAACTCCCAGAAGTGCAAAGAGAGGAGAAAGCCGCAGCCGCTCATCCAGCCCAAAGAAACATTCCACGCCTAGGCAAAGAGACTACTCCTTCTCAGGCGGCCCAGATGAAGTCAGCACAACCTACACCGCAAGCTCGACCAACAGAACAACAAGCAGTTATTACGATGCATATCGACCTTTAGCTCAACAAGCCTCGCCTGAACACCAACGTCGCGATCGCAGAGCTTCGTCCAGCAGAAGAAACACCTCAGCATCTCCTTCTAAACAACACAGGAGTTCGAGGTATACTTATGCCGAGAGCGAGGCTACTGCCAGTACAGACAGAAGCGGAGGCAGGTATGAGAGAATCAGAGGCGGTGAAAAGAAGAGCAGAGGAAGAGATGTCATGGCTGGATATCGTAGGGGCATGGATAGTTTGGCTAGTGATTCTGAGTAATCGAGCCACTGTCTACCGTTCAGACCATGGGGGAAAAGAAAGGAAGTCAGAGGGGAGCAAGGAAAGCAGGACAAGATGGCCTAGCATTGGAGCAAATGATATTGCAGACATGCACAGCAAGCATGATGGACTGATAAGAGCATGATGGATGATTGAACCAGAAGCGATGGAAGAAGGAAAGCAAGACACAGGTTATGTACAGGACACGAAGGCCATGGCAGTAATGAATCCTAAATTGCAACGCAGCGAGCGAGTTTTCTTCTTTATTCTTCTAACTTCCCAAACTGCCTTCCCTACAACTATAGCTTTGACCATCTTTCTTCTTCGCCTTGTTTGTGCAGAGATCTGCCTCAACCATACTCTTCCCATAACAATAGTAGCTGTAGATTTGCAGTCTAGAAGCATGACTAAAGTATTATCTCGCGGATACGTTGCTTGTCTCTAGAACGAATCCCAAAGAGAGTCCAGTCATTTATCAGGGGATATCTGAACATCCACTTTAAAATTCGCCTTCTTCTCTGACCCGTTAGCCATCGCTCGAATATTTCATGCCCTTATCTGAAAGTCTTCTCGGGGGAGGGCCATTGCAATAAACCTCTGACTTTTTCTGTCTTGAGAAACAACGGTTTTGGTCGAGGGGCGAGAGCATCCCGTTCTCTTATGGACTTTTGCAAAAGTCGAATAAGCCGTACCAGACTGCCTGCCATGCCTTTGAGGACTTGCTGAAGATGTGGCATTTGCAGTCCCGTTAGAGATTCGATGGGGGGTCGGTGAGTATTGGACGCTGCATGTCGCTGCAACCCCAAGCTTTTTTCCTTCGACATGTGTTTTCAGCTGTCAGATGGCCACTATTTGGCTTTCGGAGCTTCTGGGTCCGAGGTTCGCGAGTAGCGATTCTGGGTTGGCTGCTGAGGATAGCTATGTTGAGTGTTGCGTGTTGCATTCGTGTTGCACCACATCTGGCTCTCTGGAGCAGAGGTATTCTCGTCCGGTTCGTCAGGGTTTGCCCAAGGGTGCGAATGCGAGACGGTCCGCGGATGTGATGCTGACATTATGCCTCGCTGATATCTCCAGCAAGTCTCGTTATAACCATCGAGGCCCAATTTCCAGACTCGCTGATTGAGCCTGGCTGGTGGGCAGTGGAATGTCGCTGTGCCCGTTCCGAGCTCGGTGGATAGAAATCCCACATCCTGCTTGCCTTTGTCCTTCTCAATAAGGTAAAAAGTCCCAATGCTGATCGTGCATAAAGCTGTCCCAATCTTGTGTTTCGCCTCTCTCGGTGCTAGCCCAGAAACTTTCTAGAACTTCCAGGGAGCGGTGAATATTAGGAATATGCAGAAGCTCAAACATCTTAGACAACAAAGCTCTCACACGATCACGGTCTTGTCCTTGGGCTTCACACCCAGCAGCAAACAACGGCGTCGTCATAACCACCAGAGGCGTAAGTCCAGCTGTAGCAGTGAGACTCTCCACACAGCTAAGAATCGTCTTGACTGAACTCTGCACCGGTGTCGAAGTAGCTGGATGAGAGGAAATACGTCGGTAGATGTAGATGAGTGCCATGTGATGCCAAATCTGATTACAGGCCAGGAAATCGTCTTTTTGGCGGGGAGACAGCTGGTCCTCGACACCAGGTCTGAACCGCGGAGGTTTGACTTTCTGTTCGTCAAGGCGTGTCCAGATACACGTTGCCAGGGACGCGGCTTCTTCATCCAAATCTCCTTCTGAGAGAATGGTGGGTCGAGCACGGTTCCTCCGTTCCCAAGCCGCAGCACCGATTTCGCGGAATATTGGTGTCAAGTCAGTGGCAAACCCTGCATATTCGTCCAGGTAGATTTTTTCTTCCTCGTCGCCGGAGAGGTTGCGTGGACCGAATCTGGCGAGTTGGCCTGAGGCAAGACCGTCGGTTGTTAGCGCTACAAAACTCTCGGTCATGTTGTACCATCGAGCGAGGAAGTAGCGCGTGCTATCTCTTTGCTTTGAGGAGTAGTTGGCCCAAGACTCAATATCCAGCATTAGTGCTTTTGCGCCTTCGAAGTGGGCGCGCCAGGTACCGGGACGATCACCTCCTGCGTGGACTTCGCAGAGGAAGAGTGTTCGTATGGTTGCTAGCAGTACACTACTCTTGTTGACATCCTTTTCCAGTAGATCGCTTTGGAGACCGAATAAGCTGTTACTGAGCAGTCGAGAGATCAAGGGGTCTTGTCTTAGATTGTCGCTACCAAGACCAAGTCTTGATTTTTGGTGTATTGCTGAGAGAGCAGCAGTGGCGTAAAACAGAGTTGGACTTTGTAATGCTGCAGGAACAATGACTCGGCATACATCTTCTTGTACCTTGGAATGACATGAGATGACATGTGAAGTCCCGTTGATGAAGTGATCGAGCAGTGACCGATCCAGTGTTCCGAGATTGACAAATGGATCGACTGGTGCGAACAAAGGGAAGAAGTCGATATCATAGTCATCTAGTATGATGCCTTCTGTAGACGATGATGGGATCAAGGCCAGTGAGTCGTCCACATCCAGAGCCAAGTCTTCCAAAGCTGGGTCTTCCAATACTTGCTGTTCCACTGGCAACGGTGCCTGTACAGCAGGAGCAGGAGCAGGAGCAGGAGCAGCAGTCACTCTCGGAGGCTGAGGCTGCACTTGAAAGCTATTCACGGTATAGATAAAGCCTTTATCCACACTTCCTGTCCAAAATCAGTAAACATTCATCCCATAAAACCCCAACATCAAACCTCCTTACCAAGTTTCTTCACCTTATCCTTGTCCTTAGAAACGCCCGCATCAGAAATACAAGCACCAAACCTAGACTGATTAAACGCTCTCCCACCCCATCTCAGCTTAACCTCATAAACGCATTCTGTATTGGCGGCAAGACATCTCCCACAACCAGGTCTCTGTTCATCACATTTTTGTCTTCGTTTTTTGCATCTGGCACAACCGCTCCAAGATCGTTTGTTCTTGGTTGCACGTGTAGTAGCGGCAGTTGTGACGGAAGCGGAAGGTGTGGTGCCAGAAGCCGAAGCTTTGGGGTCCTGATCGTCCATTCCTAGTATCAAGACTGCGGCTGCGGCTAAGTCTGCTGTGGAAAAAGGGGTCCTGCAGGTCTCAAGGTGGCCTCCGCCGCATTCTGATGATATCGTTTGTCAGAGAGTGCTGTCAAGACCTCAAGGAGTCGACTGGTCTGCAAGTGTCTCTAGAGATGACTCGAGAGGTGAAGAAGATAGGTGATAGCAGAACGAAAAGGGAAGGTTGAGGAGATTCTTGGCGATATCGGGGTAAGACGTGACCCTGACTCGTGTCACCTCACCTTCTCCATGACCCCACCTTGTACCTTGGTATCGCGTTTAGGGCAAATACGCGTCTTGGTCTTGTAATCTCAAAGAGGCATGTACAAGAGTAGAATATATCTGCTTCTTCTATAAGAAATTCCGAACGCCAGCTGTAAGTACTACGTGAACATCTCAACTCCATCAACACAACACCACAAACCACCATGGTCGTCCAACTCTCCTACCGCAAATCCCTACGCTGGATACCCGGCGAACCTTCAGAACCAACCTCCACCCTGGTTCTCGACGTCGGAAACTACTTCGTCGATCTCCGTATGCTCAAAGCCGATTCAAGCATCGATTGGGCCATGGCCGGCAAACGCACAATCCTCTCCTCATCACCTCTAAAATGCCAATGGAGCAAAGAAATCTGTTCCCAAAACACCGAAGCCCACGATGACATTGGAGAATTTGAGGACTTGCCTAATGGAGATGCGTTGGAGAAGGGCAGTATGCCTAATCCTGATAACAATGATGAAGTTCAGGCATATGAGGAGGTGTGGGGCAGTATTGAGGTGAAAGCCTCAGATCAGCCGGCGTGGATCTTGAGGAGTAAGGATGAGAGTGGGATTACGTATGTTGGCAAGGTTGGAGATTGGTTTCAGGTATTGAGGAAGAAGGAGGATGGGAATTTCTCTGTGTTGAGAGAGCAGAGAGTGGAAGGCAGGTGGGTCAAGAGGTACGCTGTTGGAGAAGAGTTGCCTTCAATGGTTGATTTGGGAGAAGGAACTTTCAGTCCTGCAGGCTGGCAACAAGATAAAGACATTCAAGTCGGAGGAGTGACATATACAGTCTATGCTCTCGAGAAAGTATAAAAAGTCATTCAATAGTTTCAAATCATCCTACCCGACCTTCTGAAACTGCAACCGACACTTCTGGCCCTTGGGTCTAGAAGAAATAACCTGATCATCAAATCTCATATCTGCATCTTCCTTCCCCAACAGCGTCTTATACCCTCCATAAACCTCTCTCAACAAAATCTTCATCTCAGCAAGAGCCAGATGTTTTCCAATACACCCTCTCGCACCTTGCGAGAAAGCAAAGAACATGCGATTACGCTCCAATTCTCCCTTTTCTTCAAGCCATCGCTGTGGGTCGAAGGTTTCTGGAGAAGGAAAAACGGAGGGGTCTTTGTGGAGGGTGAAGGGTTGACAGGATACGATGGTGTGACCGGGGATGTAGTAGCCATCGAGTGTGGTTCCAGAGTCTGGTGTGTAGCGAGGAAAACTCATGGGAATGGGTGGGAAGACTCTGAGGCCTTCTTTGACCACGGCATCCAGATAAGGTAGTTGGTCAAAACTCTTGTCTGGATTATTGATGATTTCGTCTCGTAGTTTCTGTTGGATGTGTGCGTTTTGAGGTAAGCTGAGTTCGTGCATTAGGAAGCAGAGACCATCGCCTGTGGTGTCGATACCCGCAGCCAAGTGATCCATACACTCTGCTGCAGCAGATAACTCTTCCAGATCCTCTGCTTTCGATTGCAGCTTGGAAAGCAGGGAGTAGGACGCCGGATCGGGTTTCTGTACTGCTTCGAGCACGAAATCGTTGGCCAGAGGTACTGATCGCGAGCGTTTCGAGTTGAGATTGTCGAAGAACTCTGCTAGTCTGGGTGCATAATATTCCAGGTAGGGCGCTTGATCATATTAGCCATCAAGACTTCAAGGTAGCCGATTGAGAGCACACCTCGCAGACTATCCGCATAAGACATCTCCTGCATGATCTTGAAATCCTCAGGATCAGATAGCGAATTAGTACCATAAGGCGCAAACAAATGCTGACTTGCTCCATCAAGAGCAAAGCAATGCAAATGCACCTGCCTCAAATCAGCATCTCTTTCCCTCTCACCTACACTACCCAAAGACTCACATAAACATCAGCATCACCTCCATCCTCGCCTAAACAATTCTCTAGGAACCTTTTCGCTCTTGCTTTCAACGCTTCCACCGTCTCGGTCCTCAATATATTACTATTCGCATACCGATCCGCCAGTATTCTTTTTCTCTGACTATGTTCCCCCCTCGGTGGCATGGAAAACAGCGTCTTGGTTCCAAACTGTTTAAACAACTCATAAAACTCTGTTCTGTCAAAGCCAGACCCGCCAGAAGTGTAGATCTGTTTCATAGCCTCGTAGCTCGAGAAACTGCATTCGGAGGGGGAAATGCGGATGACAGGGCCATATTGGGTGTGGAGGGAGTCAATGTAGGTTCGTCTGTTGCCGGAGAATTCTTGGTAGATTAGGTAGAGGGGGGTTAGGTTTGTGTAGAAGGGGCCGGGGAGTTTGGAGAGTGGGGAGGTGAGTCGGGTGTAGAGATAGTAGACGATTAAAATGACTGGAAGGAGGTAGATGAAAAACATGGCGAAAGTTGATTAGGATGAGGAAAGGTGATGAGATGGCATGGGCAATGTAGAATGGGAGCGTTAGAGTAGTGGCATAGCGGACAGTAGAAGACTAGCTAGCATGCAGTAGAAGTCACACTTGGACACGTCGTCCCAAACAAGCAACTTGATGCGTGACCAAGAGATAACCTCGTATCTAGAGTTGCATGGCCGAGCACCACACCTAAAGTAAGCAGCATGGACGTCGTTCGTGACCGAGAGACCTTATCGCAGGACCGCACCGGGTCCCGCCTATCGCCTCCGATCCAGCACCCCGATATCGCATGCCCCAGACACCCTTATGACGAGACCCGCAAACCATCCACATCATCAACCATCATGGTGCGGATACTGCGGATGATAGGCCAGTCCGAAAAGTATATATTAGATAGTTACCCATCTCATGTTAAAACACAGATATAAAACTCCAATCCCAACTCTCAAATCCATATACAATTCATAACCCTTTTCGTCAGCGGATCATCACCTAAGTAAACAACAATGCCTCTCGTCAAAATCGACATGATCAAAGGTGTGCGCACACCAGAAGAGATCAAAAAACTAGCAGACGTGGTTCAAGAAATCATGCTCGCCAAATTTGCAGCTCCGCCTCGAGACAGATATCAAGTAAGTCCACCTCTGCCTTCCCTCTTCTCCCCCGTCCCCTAGTAAACCACCCACCCACCTCTCTTCCACCGCCTCACTAACACCCCCTCTCCACAGGTAATAACCCAACACGAACCCTACGAGCTAATCTTCGAAGACACTGGCCTGGGCATCCAACGCACCAACAAACTCATCCTCATCCAAATCTTCCAACAAGGCAGATATGCCGATCAAAAACAAGCTATTTACGCAGACTTGGCAGAACGTTTGGAAAAGGAATGTGGAGTCCCAAAGACGGATTTGGTGGTTAGTTGTTCGGCGAATACAAAGGAGGATTGGAGTTTTGGACTTGGAAGGGCCCAGTTTTTGACGGGGGACTTGTAGAGGAGATCGGGCAGGGAGATGAAGGGAGAGGGAGGGAGAGAAGGGGAAAGAGGAGATGAGGAGAGGGAAGGAAGTTTGTATAGAAAGGAAAGCTAGCTATGCGAATGTCATGGCAGTAAGAGTAAAATCAGTATATGCATGTATCGTCGTGAGAAGGGGGTTTCAGTCATCCATCCGTCAATGCAGTCATCTCCTATCAGGAATAGGTTCGTAGTCATCCTCAGCAGGCAACATCTTGGCAGCAACAACAATACCAACCATATCCACCAACAGCACAATCCAAGAGACGGTGCAGAGGATCCAACTCCTATCCAACTTCCAGCCAACGAAAAAGCGGTTATCATGATCAAAGAGGAAAGCCTGTAAAGCTCATCAGTAAAGATCCTCTCTAGTTCCACATCCTCGAGTCCACTTACCACAATGCCCATAGCAGCAACCTGACAAACAACCACAACGCCCAGTAACCCAGCACACATCTTCCACCCTCCTTCTCTATTACTTCTTCCTCCAAGCAACACAACCGCAAAAGCGACAAAAGTCGCTAGTTCCAGAACAACAGAGAAGTTCATAAGGAAGCCTACACTCCTCCACATGGAGCAAAAGTATCGGTCTTCGCCATGGCAGTCTTCAGGCACTGGGAAGGGTGTACAGCCAGAGGTGAGCGAAGAGCATCGACGGTGCAGTCCGTAGGAGACGTGAATTGGGGCAGAGGGGTGGGCCGGATTGGGAGAGGTGGATACGGGGCTGGTGTATGAGATCCAGTCGGGCAGAGCCATCGAGGTGAAGGTCAGGGCGACGGCTGTGAATAGAGCATATCAGCGGTTGCGACAGGCGCGCAGATTGAAGAGCAAGAAGCAGACGCACCTGCTAGGAAGACCCAGAGGCCTATACCATAGACCATTCGTCGCGTCATGTTTGCTGCAAGACGAGAAAGATCGAGTCAAGTCCTCGAGGTTATGTCCAAGGGTCAAAGTCGCGACTCGAAGTGTGGCTGGGAGGTATCGAAGTCCAACCAAGAAGCAGCCAGAGGTAGCGAAGCCTGAGCGAGGATGGCTAAGAGGTAGCGAAGTGAAAGCAGTGATAAGAGCCCCACGGTGCTCTCTGGAGATATCGCAAGCGGTGAGTGAACAAGCAAGACACCACCAGGCTAACCAGCCCTCCTTCCTACTTCTGCACGTTTGCGCGAGCCGCGAGCGATGATCGCTCAATCCTGGCGCCTGCTTTCCCCTGCCACTTTATCGCTCGATCTTCGCGACGAGTTACGTCATTTAGGAAAAGAGACAGGGTCGTACCTTTGACCACCTTTGTGAAAGACAACGATGGCGATATCTTGTTCACCGCAAGGAGCATGGGTGAGATGGATCTTTGGCTATGTCCAGGGAAGTGTATATTCGTGTTCGATACAGTTTTGGATGGTATGCTCGGGAATTGAGCCACATCTTTCGCCTTTTTATGAGAATGTGATAGATTACACCAAGATTCTACGGCAATGGAGGTGATTTCCCACCTCCAACCATCACGACAATTCATCACATACAAGACAGAAAGCAGGAGTTACAGATCGAAAGTCAACATTAAACTAAAAGTGAGATATCGAGTTCTATAAATCAGAGATGACGGACATAACATAACAAAACAAAATCAATGGTATCATTCTTTCCCCCCCTTTCAAACCGAGCCACAGCTTCAAAAGATCCTAAGCTCATCTCCTGTGTCTAGTAGTAACCTGGCGAAAATCAACAAAGGAAAACGGCCAGGATTATACATTACAAGAAAAGCCTTCTTTTCTTTGTGTTTCCAAACACATCCATTTTCCCTTGCTGTTCTGTTTCTCCCTCGTTCATCATTATGACTTTGTTCAGTCGTTTAAGCCAAAGAGCTTTCTCAAGCCTGAGAACTTCTTCTTCTTGCCGGTGCGATCGCTCTGCATGGTGTCTCCGTTGGCCATACGGTTGAGGTCGTTGCCGCTCATGCTGCGTCTGTTTTCTGGTCGCAAGCTCTTCTTCATTGTCGGGACACCATCGCTGGTTGTTGGTCTGGCGTCATTGCCGACATCGCCATTGGTGTCTGCGGCAGGAAGAGGCCAGTTCTGTGGTGTTGTACGTCTTTGTAGCTTGGGCTGTTTGTTAGGGCTGCGCAGAGTGGTAGGACTGCGTGGTTGTTGTGAATCTACCGGCGAGCTGGGTACGACAGAAGAACTGTTTCTGCGAAGCACACTACCGAGGAAACCCTTACGTCTAGTAGGTGTCAAGGGTGCTTCTGGTACTGCAGTGTTGCTTGCTGGTACTGGAGGCGCCTGAGGTACACCAGGCTCACGACCACCATTCATGGCAGCGACATTACGTCTAGCAGCTTCCATTGCTGCATCAATATCTGACTGACTGGGCACGGCAGGCTTGGTACTGGCTCTACCCGAGGGTACCTTCTTCTTGCCTCTACGACCCTCATCTTCAGAGTCAGAGAGGTCAGTCGAGTCAGAGTCATTGCCTCCACGTTTGGGAATACCGCGGACTGGAGCAAGGTTGGCTGGCATATGCTTGGGTGGACCAATAGGCGAGTCCTCCTCATCAGAATCAGCAAAGCGACTGCGGTATGCTCCTCGAGGTGCATCATCCTCATCGTCGCTGTCAGCAAATCGTGATCTGAAACCCCCAGATCTTGTCTTTGGTGCTGGTGCAGGCGAAGCCTTCGACTTGCCAAAGCCGAAGCCCGATGAAGCTTTTGCATCGCGCGAAGCTCTACTATTCTTGCCGCGCATTGTAGGTGCATCATCGGCAGGTGCGCCACGCAAAGATTGTCGGAGCTTCTCGCCTTGGTTACGACCCATGAAAGAGCCTGTTGGCGAGAGCGAGCGCAGACTGAATCTGCCACTGCCCTTCTGTGCTGGTGGTGAGGTAGGGCGCCCACGTTCAGCTGGTGCAGAGCCTGCATCAACCGAACCAGAGCGCATTGAACGTTTCATGGTGTACTTGCCCATAGAATCGACCGTCGAGACAGAACCACGACGCTTGTTCTTCTTGAAGCTCGACTCGGAATCCGAATCGTTGGCTGGAAGAGGAGCCACAACTGGCTTCGCAGGTCGTTGCGCTGGTTGTGATTTGGCTGCAGCTGCAGCGGCTGAACCTGCTCCAGGAATGCTAGTCGTGACAGGAGCCGACGCTCTCTTGGACGGAGTTCTAGCACCAGCATCTCCGCGCATCGAACTTCTCATTGAACCTCCTTCAGAGCGGACTGATCCACGCATAGAGGTACGCATGTGTGTTTCATTTGAAGCAGCAGCAGGTGCTGGAGGACCACGCATAGACTTCCGCATTTGGCCCTCGCTGGATGTACGCTCTGACTCCCCAGACTTGCGCATCGATGTGCGCAATGTAGGGAAAGGTCCATATTGCTGATCCCTGGTGTCGAAAGGATCATCTTTGGTAACAACCGCAGCTGGTGCAAATGTGGTGGGATTCGTAATGTCCACTTGGTTGACCGGCTGCTTCTTCCTCCTAGCTTTGGGCGCTGACTCAATGACAGGGACTGCGATTGCGGCCTCGGCTTCGGCTTCGAGCTCTTCCTTCTTCTTTCTGCTCAGACTGCTCCAGTAGGCAGTTGCTGAGTTCCAGTCGGTGTTGTCAGCCACGATTGGCTCATTACTAAGAGCAGATGAGCTTGACGCGGTCCCGCGTGATGGCGGAAGGGCAACCTGTGGGCTGACAGGAGGGCTAGGAATAACCGCTGCAGGTTTGGTAACAGGACTTTCGACGATAGCATCGAGAGAGGCAAAGCCGCTGGGCTCGAACTCTTCCTCAGCATCAGCAAAGTCTTCGCTCGCGTCAGAGTCAGATTCGTAGATGGGCTGCAGCACGGGCGAGTGTCCATCTGCTAAAGCCTGTACAGGTTGCAAGGTTTCAATCTCTTCGTCGCTCGAGTCATTCTCGGACAACAAAGCTGCATCGCGAATTGCTTGCCTGGAAAGTCCAGCAGGGTTTTGTTCTTCCCATTGATCACCATCCCATGATCCAGGCATGCTATTGCGCTGTCTGAGAGTAGGTCTTTGAGTCGTTTGCTCAGCTGCTCCTTCTAGTGGAGATTCAGCTTCCTCTTCGAGGCCAGGGGTGGGAGGCTGGAACTCGAGCATAGGTACAGCTTGTTCAATGGGGTTTGCTTCGGGAGCTTCTGTGTTGTGTTCCGAGACTTCAGGCTCGTGAGCAGACGATACGGTTTCGTCTTTGGTGATAATATCCTCAGCCTGGGAGGATCGCTGAGCTTCAATTCCTGCCTCGTCCTCAGAGTAGGCCGAAGCCGAATCGTCAGCTGGTGTCTCCTTGCTGGTGACCTGGGGTGGTAGTGGCTCGTTTGCGGTGGTAGTTGACTGAGCAGCAATTTGGCGACCCTTTTCTGCGTGATGTTGAGCAAGAACGGCGCCCACCAATTCGTCGTTTGACACCTCGCGGTGTTCTGGCAAAGTGCTCGCACTGTCTGTCATGCTAGAAGACACAGTCTCGGTGACCTTCTCGGGAGCCTCTACTTGCTCAGGCTTACGACCTCTGACGCTGCTGAAGGATGGAAGGGCCGATCGTGGCTTCATTATTTCGTTAATGTCGTCGTTGGCCCATGATCCTGAAAGTTCTCTTCGTGCATTGGGGTCAACAGCAGGTGAGATGGGGGCACTACCATCTTCGCTGATGCGGACGCTCTTCTTTGCCTTGGCCGGTTTGATCCCATCCTGAGAAGCCAAAGACATAGTGTCAGATGTTTCGCTAGGGGGCGCTCTTGCTCCGCCATTGACGGCAACGTTGGGAGAAATGTTTCTGACGGATGAAGCAGGAGACTGTCTAAGTGCCGATTTCATGGGCGAGACAGATCGAGGTGGCGGCTGATGTCTAACACTAAGTGGGGTTGTCAAAGCCTTTCCTTCACCGAAATGGGCGTGCACATTGCGCGAAGGGCTCGAGGAAGCAGCACGCTGACCACTGCCTCGGGGAATATCCAGGCTGACAGCTCTTGGACGTGTGCCTCCCGGAGCAACATAGGCCTGGACTGGTCCCTCGGATGTGGTGATCATACCGGAGGCAGTTCCTGGATCTGTGTCTCGAAGCGACCTTAGAAGGCTGTGTTGCTTTTTCAGAGGAGTAGATTTTGGCTTGGGTTTGGATTGAACTTCAGCAGTGGCTTCGGCTTCCGGATCCTCGCGTACCATGGATGGTTGTTTGTGCAAGATAGCTGTGGGTCGAGGAGAGCTGGGACTGTTTGAAGCATCCGTGCTCGGAGAGGGGTTGACAGGAGCAAGCGACGAGCCCGCGGACGCTTGGGTATCAACAGGCGGCACGACAGTTGTCTTTTTCTTCTTTTTGGGCGTTGCATCTGCCTGGACAGGTTGAGTTGGCGCGGGTTTTGCTTGAACAGGCTGAGTGGGCGCAGGTTTTGCTTGAACAGACTGAGTGGGCGCGGGTTGTGTCTGAGCAGCTTGTTTTGTTGCGCTGCGCACAGCAGAAGCAGTAGGAGCTGTATTCATAGTACCATTTGCGAGACGAGCACCTTCAGTAACAGTCTTCTTATTTTTCTTGACGGGCGCACTGGCAGCGTTTTGCACATCTTGCTGTATCTTCCTCGCTGCTGGGGAAGAAAAGTCCATGGCGGACTGGGGTCTGGCGGGTGAGGGATTCGCGCGAGGAGTTCCATTACTGACCTTGGGCGAGGTGAACCAACCAACACTCGAGTTTGGACGGGGAGGAGGAGAAATGGCGCGAGCAGGACTCATGGGTCGCGAGAAGTTGACGCCAGAGCTGTCTTCCCTCTTCAACTCAGGCATTGTGGGTAAGTTGAGCGTCCTGCCTGCTCTGTCGACACTGGTGTTGCGTTTTGCACTCCTGGGGCTCTTGGGAGTGCTTGGGCTGGGAGGCATACTAGTGCGATTGGGTACGTCCAGACTGGCAGCCCTTCTTTGTGTTTTGACGACATTCTTGGGAATGGCGGGGACTGGAGGAGCATCGGGCGCAGGCGACACGGCCCTTGGTCTGCCACCAGGCGAGGGCGATCGGAAGGTTCGGTCGGTCATGGACGAATTGCTAGCTGTTCTGACCATGCTGTTCCTAGCATTTCCGCCCATGATGGCGCTGCCTGCGACCGAAGATTGGGAACCTCTCCTGACCATGCGCTTGGTCTGGATGGAACCGACTGGTTCCGGCGACGAGGTCTGCGAGCGCAGAGCGGTGGCGGCAGCGGCCGAGGATAGAGAGGCAGCCGAGGGAGACTTGTTAAGAAAGGCGGCGCTCGCAGCTATGGCAGCTGAAGAACTTGGAGGAGGCCCACGGGGCAGCGGCTGTAGTGGTTGTGAGCAGTAGTTACCAAGACACATGTTGCACGGGACCAACCGGCTGCGAGCTCGCGCGCTTGCGATTAAATAATGGCATCTTGACAAGGAGACGTCCAAGGCGTCAATTGATGTCTAAGAATGCCTTGAGGATGGTGATGCGTCTAAGAGGGAGGCTTGCGACACGACTCTTGGTTCGGAGGGTGATAGAATTCCAGCGCGTCACAAATCCAACATGACGTTCCCGGGGAAGTCTTGATTGGAGAAGTGCCAGGACCTGGTTGACTGCGTATGAGGCTGCAGGCGCTGTGCGAGTCGCAGAGCCGGATATACTGGAGCACAAGAATACTCGTGATGAATATCGCGTCGATGACAGGAGCGAGAAGAAGGGAGGTTGCAAAGACTCAATTCGACCGTTCCAACATGGCCTGTCCTGCCTTTGCTCCTTCCTCCTTGTCTCGACCTCCATCTTTAAGCTCCAGCCCATGACGATCCCGCTGCCGACCATGTCCGTGCGCTACCGCTGAACCACTGCGATGCCACAGGAACAAACCACAAAACAACCTCATTGAACTGATGCCAGTGGCGCACCACAAGAAATGCTGTGTCTTGATTTTCCTTGTTTGTGGCATCTTGTTGCACACCATGGCTTGGGTCTATTTCAACCCAACATGTTTATCATTCTCGTCCTCATGGTTGTTGAATTCGCGCGTCATTAGCATGCAGATCTATTTTGTCTTGGCCGGCTTGTGAAGCCTCCAAGACCAATTTGTCAACCGTGCAATTTCATCTTCGACGAAGAGAAGAAGCATGAGACATGAAATAGACGACATGCCATGCGTTGCGGTCAGATACTGACTGACACGATTGAAGCCTTCGTCGTAGCCAGACGAGCATCAACACTCGTTGCACCTTCCAACCGTCTCGCTGGGACTTGATTGTTGATCACCCCGTTGATCTGTCCTCCATGCGCTGCGCTCGTGCCAGGTTGATCTCGAGAAAAGGTGTCTCCGAGGGTGCCCTGATACGCCCATAGCAAGCTAAAAAAGATGCCATATAAAGATGAGTGGGGTCCCAGGGCCCAACAAAGGCAGCTTCAAACATCCTGACTTGAGAGTCTCTGGCGGATGGCTCATGGCCCGCGCACACTTTGCGACTGCGCAGCTCGGACATTGACAACTCCGGTCATGGAATGGACGGACGACTCAACATCCGCCAGATATAAATTATTATGCTGGATCATCAAGCATCTCGTAGCTTATTATCACGCAAATCAAAGACTGACCTCGGCAATGCGGAGCGCTGGAGCTCCAGCTTACGACTCCTCTCTGACGTGACCATCGTAGTTTATTAATCTATCCTATGGGGTACATCTCTTGCTCCATCCCGGCATAATAATTTTTGTGCACAGCCGTCTTGACCATTGCCAGATATTCATCATGACTTCGCTTGAACCATTGCCGCTGCCAGAGGGCCTGGAAGAATCATACATTGACTGCACAGACTCATGCGGACTCGTGTTCCATATCATCTCTGCTGGACAGAAGAACAAGCCACTGATACTCTTGACCCATGGATTTCCAGAGATTGCCTTTTCATGGCGGAAAATCATGCCAGCTCTGGCAGCACAAGGATACTATGTTGTTGCACCGGATCAACGAGGATATGGCAGAACCACTGGCTGGGACACACGGCCATTCCATGAAGTCGACTTGAACCAGTTTACCATGACAAATTTGGTCAGAGATCTGGTGTGTCTGGTCTACGCACTGGGCTACAAAGAAGTTCATTGCCATATTGGACACGACTTTGGTGCTGTTTCAAGTGCCATGGCACCTCTTATGCGACCTGACATGTTCAAAAGCTGCATTCAGATGTCGCATCCTCACCATGCACCGCCGACTCCATCTTTCGAAGTCCAGGCCTCAGCAGAACCTATACCAAATCCTGGATCAGGCTCAAAACCAAAAATGGACATTCAAGCAGAACTTGCTAAACTCGATCCTCCTAGAAAACACTACAAATGGTACAACTCGACATCAAGCGCTTCGAAAGACTGGGAGACAGCATCGCAGGGACTGCATGATTTTCTTCGAGGGTACTTCCACGTCAAATCAGCCGACTGGCCACACAATGAACCAAAGCCATTAAAGGCATGGTCAGCCGCCGAACTGGAACAGATGCCTCACTACTACATCATGCCAAGAGATTGTAGCATGCCAAAGACGATATCCGACATGATGACAAGTGAAGATGGCTCTGCGACCAGAGGCTGGCTGCCTGATTCGGAACTGGCCGTGTATGTGAACGAGTGGCAGCGCGTAGGATTCCAAGGTGGACTGAACTGGTATCGAGCGCAGACCAGTTCGTCACAGATTCAAAAGGCAGACATGTTGTTGTTTGCAGGAAAGAAGATCGAGGTGCCTTGTGCATTCATAAGTGGTGAACAGGACTGGGGTAACTACCAGCAGCCTGGAGCGCTTGACGGCTACAAAAATAGTTGCTCAGACTTTCGAGGGGTCACGTTCATTCCACATGCGGGGCACTGGGTGCAGCAAGAGCAGGCCGAGAAAGTGATTGAGGCGGTGAGCAAGTTCCTCGATGCACTCTCTGCGTAGAGGTCAGATGGCAGTCTTAGGTGCATATTGTATGTATTATGCATGGACCTTCACATGTCAAGTCGAGGTATAACAATGCATTCGTGCACGTGCCTCTTCCATGACTTCTTTGTTCAAAATCGAAGACCAGCGAAAGAGAAGCATGAGAACGGTATGCCGTCAGCTGCCCAGCAACCACTGAAAAGAATTTTACCAGAAAGCTCCATAGTCATCCAGAGTTTTTCACTGCTTCGTCTCCTCTCTGTGAGCCAACACGGTGATCGAGGAAGATCGTGATATACGTCAGGGAGATTTTTGCGTGCAAACCCCTCCAAGGAAAGTCGGGCCAGACCCCGCCTAAATCCTCTTCCTTCAGTCATCAACCCATCGCCCAAAACCATCGCTTCTGTACTACCACGCCCTGTACACATCCCGGACACTCTCTGAAACACACCGTTCGATATCAGTAGCCTTCTTTTCCCTCTGGCAACGATGGATTCGATGCGCAGCCTCAACACATCGCTGCCGCGCACCTCGCCTCGTCGCAACCAACAACCCCCGGAAGAACTCCTCTCTGCCTTCAAGGCTGCCGCTCTTTCCGTCACAAACCTCTACAAGAATGCTGCATCTGAGCAGGCACGATCACGGGCTGCTGGCTATCAAGATGCCTTGGACGACTTACTCTCTTTCCTCGACAAGGAGAACCTCGGCCTCGATGACGGAGAGGGTTGGAGGGTCAGGCAATGGGCCACCGAGCGTTTTGATGGAGCACATTCCGCCAGCCGGGATAGCGATGATGAAGACGAGGAACAAGAAGAGCAGCCAAGAAGCTCCAGCCCTGAGGTCGTAAGGAAGCCTACCATGGCTCCTGCTGTGACTCAGGAACAACCACAACTCGATCCTATCATCGTCCACTCCGATACACCTTCTCTTCCGCAGCAACAGCAATCACAAGCCACACGCTCAGATACCGCTGTTCCTCAGGCAGATGCCTTTACGTTTCGCTCATCATTGGCATACCCACCATCACACCTCGAACGGGAAGTAGACATGGATGGATCCAACAATGGTCCCATTGACTCGCCCAATTCGTCAACTTCAAATAACCCACTCAGGCTTGAAGTCCACCCCAGACGACGACACAACCACACCCGTTCAAACAACACCAACAATACCAACAGGATCACATCGATAAACCTTGGATCTCTAGGCTCTGGTGCTGGTTCCAAGCGCAAAAACCTTGGAGACTTTTTCGACATCTCCGGACTATCGTTCGGAAACAACAGCAGAGATGGTTCTGATCGCGGAGGAAAGAGAGGGAGACATGCATGAGTTCGCCCCCTGATTTTGTTCATTCTTCTTTTTTTCTTGCAGGACTGCATCACACAAACATTCCCAAATACCCAATACAGCTTTGTCCGTTTTTTGTTGTTAGTCGTTCATTTTCCTTTTGTTCTTTCTTTCTCGGAATACTCAGCAATGAATCACGACATACTTTAGTTTAGTTTTGCGCTTACTTCGTTTCTTTGCATATCAGCGTGCGGCATAGGGAAGGTCCAGCTGCTTTCTTGTCTTTGATTCTACTGTCTGTTGCATACCGAATGTGGGTGGATACTCTTCTTTTACCACCTCTGCTGTCGTTGTTCTTGTGATTTTCTAGTACTTAAACCACTATACCCTCAAACAATTTATCACGATTAATGCTTTTCAGCTTTTCCTTCTTCTTTGCCGTGACAGCCGACTCTCCCGTCTGCTTACTGCAGTGCCCCCCTCCAGTGACATGTCTTCGTGCACAGCTGGGTAAGGCTGCTGACAGCTTCATGCAGAAACCGTATGTACCTTTCCACCTGCAGGTCCACATCAGGACATTGCAAGTAGCCGTCTTTGATACACTACAGATGTCCACTCAACAGACCGTGCAGACCTTTTCACCAAGTATCTACCCACACGCAACCTGTACATAAAAGTTTTGACCAAACCCTTTTTTGGTTGAGGATTTTGGTGATCAAGTGCATCACATGAAGGCTCTCCACAAGCCCAAACCCATCAGCATACCACTCAACCCAGTGATACCTAGTCTCCTGGCAGACATTGTGAGCTTAGAACCTGATCTCAGGATTTCTTGCTCGCGGGTGCGGAGTTCGCGGTGGCCGGACCAGTAGGTATAGGCTCCTAGAGCACCGAATGCTGTTGCACCTATTCTTTTATCAGTACATTTTCCTAGCGAAACAGAGAGATAGCAAAGAATGAGAAAAGAAGACAGAGAGATAGCAGAAGGATGAAAAAAAGATGGGGAGCGAGAAATGTGCATACCCATCACTCTACAACTCAAACAATCATAATTTGCTTGTTCTCTAGCAATGACCTTTTTCAAGGGCTCGGGCTGTGTGTCTCTGGCGGCTAGTTGGGCGTATATATCCGAGTCTTGTGGTGATTTTGACATTTTTGCTTTGGCGATCTGATGAGTTTTGCTGATCTGGTTGAAGTGGAGGTGTTTGAGGTTGATGTAAAGACTTGTTGGTGGCTTGACTGGTGGATGCGCGGGATGGGTGGCTGTGGCGCAGAGCCTAGAGGTCTTTGGTGCAGTTGCAGACAGAGTAGCAGACTAGACTGTTACAGGACAAGGGCAGGACGGAAAGGCAGTGGGCGAGACACGAGGCCCTGTGGGTCTCTTGGCCGTCTTGCAGTTGCTGCTCCACTCTGTCCCCTTCTCCATCCTCCCCTTGTTGACCGTTCGTCTTTTGCGCAACCACCAAGCTGAGATCTTCAAACGCGACACGCAATTTTACTACCCTCGCACTAATAAACAACCTTGTATTAACTACACAGCACTTCACTCGCTTTCGCTGCTGTTTCTTCTCGTCTCTCGCTTCTTTTGTTGTCTTTCTTTCTAGCAGCGCAGGTCGTTTATTATACCTTCTCCATTCTTTGCTCTTACGACGTCTGTTCTTCCCCTTCCCCCTCTTTGCTCGCGCCGGCCGTTGAAAAGCGGTGCCATTTCGCGATAACAAACCAAACCCTTCCTTGCCATCTGCGCCCACCCGGCCTTCGTCGCACAACCAGCCTCCTTGATTAATCCACTTGAACAAAGCACAAGAGGACAAAGAAAACAAACCAAATCTTCCTTGTCGCCTTTGTGTTAGGTCTCCGAGATTGCGACGCCTATACCGACAGCCCCCGACGACACAACAAAGAGCTTACACCGACGAACCTCTCAGCCATGGAATCTACCTTTTCCAACGGTGCGCCTCCTATCTCTTCTGGCTTAAATCAACAAGATGCCTTATACTAACAATATGCTATCAGTGCATCCTCATGTTGAAAGGGCTTTGCACACTCTCTTCAAGCGTAACTGCGTCGACTGTCCTGGAACCACCCCTTCTTGCCCCTCGTGTTCCGGAGGCAAAGTCTGCTCACTAGTCCCTCAATCTTGCGACACTTGCGCATACACAACTTGCGTCGTCTCCAACGATGCCCCATCACAACACTCTGGTCCCAATGTCGGTGCCATTGCCGGAGGAGTAATAGGAGGCGTCTTCTTCATCGGTCTTATCGTCTTTGCCTTTTACTGGTTTGTGATACGACCGCGCCGCGTAAGATTGGAAGAAGAATGGGAAGAGGAGGATGAAGCAGAGAACCGCAAGTCCAACTTCAACATGCACAGATCCGAACGCGCGTCGGTACATACTGTGCACTCGGTCGCCAACAGCATCCTCAGCCGCGCTTCCAACTTCATCCCTATCGCATACATTCCTGGAGTCATGAACAGAAACGGCAACCAAGAACATGTTCCTCCTGTGCCGCCGATCCCTGCTGCTCATGGCCCACCTGTCAGCGGTCATTCGTCTAATGGAGAAGCTCTGTTCTTTAGCCCTGCCGACCTTCGCGACTCGACATACTCGGATTCGTCTTCATTGGACAACCGCAGCACTTTCTTCGGTCGACCCAGTATTACACCCTCACTCGCTCGCAGCAGCATTGCCACCTACCGCGACGATGCCGTGGTGAACCCCATGCCCGCCCAAACCGTTCTACGCGGAAAAGCAAACGTCGTCAGCGTAAAGAGTGGAAACAGTGGCACACCAACCTCAACACCACCTCAAACCACTCCCGCCGATGAAATCGCAAACCCACTAAACAGAAGCGCCAGCGGCAGAAAACTAAACATTGTCATGCCGACTTCAGTCGATGCCATCAGACCCGGCTCCTCAAACTCGAACTCCTCACAACAAACCCTTAGCAGTGCAAGCTATGGCAAGCCCACTTTACTCACTGTAGGAGGCGGAAAATCCAAAAAAGGCAGATTCCCAATTTCGCCTGAATCTTCTTCCATTACTTCGCAAACGAAACCGAATGTCTCGAGTCCATTGGCGAGTTCTACAGCCACAACACCGGATCAAGAAATCGACGCTTCGCCATTCTCAGATGCTGCGAGCATTTCTCCTCCTGTACAGCCGAAAAGAACACCTGGAGGTTTATCGGCTGTGATTGAAGAGACGGCTAGTATGAGAGGTAGTCTTGCAGCACGGAGGTTGAGCAGACAACAATATCAGGTTCCTCGTGGTGAAAGTCCTTTTGGGGACGAGCACGAGGCTTGATTTTTGCTGGCCTACGTTTTGCTGTTTCTTATGACCCTTGGCGAGATGGGCGCTTTTTATGTTGATGTCATTTGCACCTCTGTTTTCTATCCTCTCTCACGTCGATACCTCTCTTCTCACCTTTACACGACCACCGAACCTCTTTTTTCTTTCGACTTTTTTGCTTGGGCGCTATTCACACTGGAGGGGCATCTTATCTTGCGCTGGACGTTTGTAGATGGGATTTGTTTTGTTGCTTTTGCTTGCCTTTACAAAACGCGGGTTAGCTTTGGATGTTTTTCTTTTCAGCGAGGTTTGCCCCTTTTTATGGTTTCCTCTTTTGCTTCTTCTCGGGATAGCCTTTTTGCACCTTTTGAATTCTACATCATTTCTGGATATGACCTCGCTGCTCTTGACTCGTCCTTGGATGCAAGTTGTGTGATATGTGTGATATGTGTATGTTTTGCTTTGAGTGTGTGATTTCTAGCAAATGAGCAAAATTGCGTCGAAGAAGTGAGAGGAAGATGTTTCTTGGGTTCATATGTTTCTGCTGTCTCCTCTTTTATCTTTCTTTCTGTTTCTGCAAAGCTAAATAACCCTCACGCCTCCCCCATCAATCACAAGTTCGAACCCTACATTCCTATCCCTCTCACTCCCCTCCTTTCCCCATTGATTGACGCTGACTCTGAATTTCGCTTCCCTCACCGCTGCATCCCTAGCTCCTCTTTGTCTCAAAGCTGTTTCTGCATCGATGTCTTTGTTGAAGCCTTGGACTGGGAGTTTGGAGATTATAAGGCGGAGAGATGGAAGAGTTGCGAATGGGGGTGGTAAAGCCGGAGGGAGAGATAAGAACGAGGGAAGAGTGGAAGGGGTTGTGGTGTTTGTAGAGGAAGCTGAAGGGCCAGACAAGTGCGAGGTGGTGTAGAACACTGGAGCTTGAAGAGTAACAGCCACACGTTTTAATGTCGATGCCAGAGCTGGTAATTTCCCTGTCGTCGAGGAGGCTGAGGTAGGAGCAACCGCAATCTTGTCTTCCCAGAAATAAGCAGATGGGCGGGAAATCAAAATGGCGCCTAATCTTCTTTCTTTACTCGTGTTGGAAGGAGAAAGAAAGTAGCCAGGTAGAGAAGAAATCGTGGTGATGAGGGAAGGTAAAGAGGTCGGGTGGTAGATGTGGATGTGAGAGAGTGCGGTGTGGACTTTGGCTTGAGCTTCCAAGAGGGAGAGGGTGGGATTTCTGGAGAGCAGGTGGCTGAGGAGGATTTGAGAGAGTCGAGGGATGTTGACGAGACTGGTCGAGAGGAGGGCTATCGCTTTTGGTGTGGGTTTGTTATGTCGACTGGGGGGATTGGTTTGTTGTGCTGAGTTGTGGAGTGGTTGATCTGATTGGTCTTCGGTTTGGAATGTCATGGCATCCGTTTGGGCAGCTGCAGATGCATCTAGTGTCGAATGCTCCTCCGTAGGTTGCTCCATATCGTCTCCGGCATGATCTGATGTCGTTCCCAAACCATCTCCCACCTCATCAACCGCATCTCCCACTTCTGCCCCTTCCACTTCACCGTCTCCACCTCCCAGCACCAAACTCGCAATCACCCAGTACAAAAACTCAGTCTTACCGGACTTGGGCACATGACTGCTAATCTCAATAATGGGAGGTGCCGGTATGGTAGAGAAGTTTGTAGGGTCGTATGGTTTGGTGTGAGTTGAGAGAAGCTTGTCCAAAGCAGGGACCCCGAGTTTTGAGTTTGAGGATGGGTCGTGTAGGAGGCGGAGGGTTGTTAGAAGCTTCTGTGGTGTTAGTAAAGAGTAATGATAGGAGTGGAAGTGATGGTGATGCTAGGGGTATAAAAATCTTGTGGGCTTGATGGGAGCGAAACGTAATGATTTGGATATGCATCTTTTTTTTTTGGTCTTGGTATAGTGTGTACAGCTTTGTTACGTCTGGAAGATGACCAAATTGAAAGAAACAAGAAACAATGATTGTGGTGCAAAACAAACAGAAAAACAATAAAAACTCACCTCATCCAACCTCTGACTTCGCACCTGACCCAGCTCCCTCGTCCCCAGATCTTCAGCAGACATCTCTTGCTTCCTTCTTACCACCAACACCGATTTTCCACTCTACAACTTCAACAATCCCCTCTTCTTCGTCTTTGCAATGGCGCCAACAATCCACCCTTTCCACCCTTTCGATCTCGAACAAAAAGTTCAAATCCTCCCCACGGGAAAACTGCGCAAACCTCAAGCCCAGCAGAAACTCTCCGACTGCGCGTTGATGGAGATTATGCAGTTCAATTGTGATGTGCAAGCACACAAAAAACACAAGAATGGGATTGTGGTGTGTGAGCCGATTCAGAGGGTTTTTAGAAGGTGAGCTACAAGGAGAAGAAAGATGGAGAGAGAGCAAGAGAAGAGGGTGCGGGGAAATGAGACGGCCAATGATAGGCTGACGAAGGTTGTTTAGGTGTAAAGATGGACTTATGGTTGAGACGACGGCTTGGGAGACGGAGAGTTGATGGCGAAATGGCTGCTTTGTATTGACATGGCGTTGGATGATGGGCATGGAGTTCTGGTAATAGGCAGGCGTCATGGAGTTCATTTCTTTTTATTCTCCTTTTTTCTTCCCTGGCGCAAAGGAAGGAGCCTACTACGCATATATCGAAACGGGAAGAAAGCAATCGCTCGCAAGATATAAGATCAAAGAACAACGCTGGTGGCACTTCAAAGGCATAGCAAGTGTGTGATTGATTTTGGGGGTATCTCATGACTGCCTTTAATTTTGCTCATGTCCATTCCATGCCCCATCCCCAGCCAAAAACTCCCATGAAAGAACAAAACGCCTCGCTAAAGATGAGAATTTTGGGTTGATCAAATATGCACAGCGCCTCTTCCTCTTCGCCAATGATTGCGGTCGTGGTTAACCATCAATCCACCACCTCTACGTATCAAATCAGCCATACTGGCAGCCTTGTCACTTCCATAATCATTCGAGTATCCATCTAGCCTGATGTCTCCATCTGCATCCTTCGTTGTGGGAAGAGGATCTTCACCGTCCTCCTGCAAGTCTGAGATGGTTTCTTGCCATAGCATATCCTTAGCCTTGTCGACAATCGGTTGGCGTGAACGAGCTTTGTTGGCGGTTGTGAGTTTGCGTAGAGCATGCTCGGCTTGGACACCTTCGTCTGTTGCGCGCTCGCGGATGCGTCTCGGGTCTTGTTCTCGTTGTGTGAAAAGGGCGGTACTTTGCCAGGCGTGACGGCTGGGCAGCGGTGGGAAATGTGAAGGAATGTATGCGTATTGCTGGGCGGCAGGGGTGACCAACTCTGGCCCAAGCATGGGAGCAAGATCGGGTGGAGGAGCTTCGTCTGGTCGTGGGGGTGGTATGGTAGGATTGGCAATGTCGTCCGGTAGGCGCAGATCAAGGTGCGGATCCAGGTGATGTGATTCCAGACCAGCTTCTGCGAGAGCGAATATGAAATCTTGCGGTATGGCCGTCGTCCGTCGCGAGGCTCGCATCGAGTCTTTGACTGTGGTGAGGAAGTTGGTCATGTCTGGATTGCGTCGCATTAGCCATTTGTGCGCACTTTGTTCTTTGTTAACAAATTTCTCACATTCATCAACCTCTGCGCGGAACATCTCCAGCGCTGAAGGCTTGACACTGTCATAGCCGACGACGGTCAAGGCGGTGCAGATGGAGCGCAATAGCTGCGCCTGCACAAAAGCTTCATCTTGCGGCGCGGGCTCGGTCGCTGGCGGCAGTTGTTGGATGTGACTGAGTTGATGTGTACGCTTGATTGTTGATCCGGCTCTTTGTCTCTTCAGAGGATTTTGCGGTGCCGATGACATGTTTTGTCGTGTGTTGCTGTATAGAGATGATGTAGCGCTTCTGAGAGTCGCGATTCGTCTCGGCCCAAGCCGCGACTGCCTCTCCGCGTTCAACACCCACGCCGCGACCCTGTCTCGATCAGAATAGTAACCCATCGTCACCTCACGTCGAGTAACGAAAGACAAGGTTATGTTGAGACCGAGTAATCAAGTAGTCGAATCGATGGTTCTCCGTCTTCCATTACGGTGAGCTCTTGTTGCCTCTTGAGTGCCCGACTTGACAGCTCAGAAGTGATTCGACGCAGCCTTTCACATCTTCACATGCCAATTCCTCCAATATAACAATAATCCGAGGTCACTCAAGATTCACATTATCGCTATGGGCCATGCAACTTCAACAACTCCGGAACACTAAAGATCTGCTCGCTCATTCACAGCAGTTAGGTACTAAGCTATCACTATAACACACCTACTTGACCATTGCATAGTAGAACAAATGCTAGCAACCAAATGTTCCTACATCAGCCACAGATAGTATAACGATATGGACATCGACTTAGGAGCCAGACGACAACAAGCTTCAAATCGTCCAACGCACAAAACTCGCACATCCGTAGTAGAATCTCCCCCAGCCGTAGACTTGTTGGTAACCGGCTCGTACAAAAGTCCATCTCGGCACTTGACTTTGTCTTCGGAAGTTGGACATGACCACGAATGGCATCAATCTCATACGAATCGCGTCTGATCGATGAGATTAAACGTCTTCCAGGACACGGACGCGTCGACGCTGAACCGGCACATGGCAAATCTGTCAAGAACATGTCAACTTGTTCGGCGAGACTCATGGAAGAAGCATTGCGGAATCGCCTTCGGGAATGAAAATTGTCGGCCTGACTCTCATGATTGGTTGAGGCATCCGAGCAGAAGACAAAAGCTCGGGCGCTTCCGAGCTCGCTCGGCGTCGCGACCAATCATAGGGAGGCAGGCTTCGATATCAACTCGGCATCTCTTCTGTATGTCGTACGCTTGCAACGGATATGTGGACCTGTGCTTGATAATTGTGCGGAAACATCGAGTAAGCAGTATTTGCCGTCTGAGATATATAGTTTGAGGAACCCCTTTCAAGATGGGCATCCATATCTGTGTTTGCGCCTTCTCGCTATTATTCTCCAAGCCACTTCTACGGGCATACGCTCAGGCTCTTGAAAATGGCTGAGAAAGAGGTAAGTAAAATAGGATTCCTCCTTTCTAAAGTATAGATCATTCATACTGATACTATCTAGGTGAACGAGCTGCCAGTCTACAGACCAGATGGTCGCCGCCTTGGTGTTGTTTTCGAGAACATCACCGTCACAGGCGTAGCAGCAGAAGAAAACACAGTCACAGATTTCGCCCAGGTGCTAGAGAACATCATCACATTACCCTACCAGGCTGTAAAATTATTCGCTGGCAACCGCCGAAAGAATGTTCGCAACTTGATCCAAGATGTTTCTGGAGTCGTTCAGCCTGGAGAAACGCTACTCGTACTAGGAACTCCTGGAGCCGGATGCTCGACGACACTACGTGCCATTGCTAGTGATATCGAGTCTTTTGTTGGTGTAGAAGGTCAGGTCGACTATTCTACTATCCCTTCCGCTGAAGCCAGAAAGTTGTACAAGTCGGAGATTGTCTATAACAACGAGGAGGACAACCATTTCCCAAAGCTGTCTGTTGGAAATACGCTCGATTATGCCTTGGAATTGCGCAAGCCAGCAAAGGACGAACAAAAGAAGGCCGACTTCAAGCAGAACATGCGATCAAAACTTCTTGACAAGTTTGGCATTTCGCACACCATCAACACCATTGTCGGAAACTCTTTTGTAAGAGGTGTATCTGGTGGTGAGCGCAAGCGTGTGTCACTGGCTGAAGTCTTGACGACAAATCCGGCTGTTGCATGTTTCGACAATCCTTCTCGTGGTCTGGATTCTTCATCTGCTCTCGCCTTCTGTCGCCTACTCAAGGATATGTCGAGAAAGACTGGCATGGCCAACATTGTCACCATGTATCAAACATCACAATCCATCTACGATCAATGCTTCGACCGTGTACTCGTCCTTTACAAGGGCAGAATGATCTTCTCTGGAAGAGCCGCTGCTGCACGTCAATACTTCATCGATCTTGGTTACCACTGCGAACCCAGACAGACCACACCTGATTTTTTGACTGCCGTCACATCCGTGACCGAGCGAACTGTTCGCAGCGACCATGTTGGCCCCGTCCCTTCGACACCAGACGAGTTCGCACAGGCTTTCAGAGAGAGCGCGTTTTACACAGAGATGCAACAGGATATCGCAGCCTACCGCGCCGAGCACGCTTCGAACGCATCTTACGTCAACGACTTCAAGGCTGAAGTCCAGCGAGTCCGCTCATCTGGTGTCAGCAAGACAGCGGCAGAGCCACACTCGCTACCCCAGCAAGTCGTTACCGCCATGAAACGTCACTACCAACTCACCTGGGGTGATCGTAACACTCTCTACACCCTCCTCATGCTCAATGCTGTCAACGCTGTCATTACTGGTTCCGCTTTCTACATGGCACCTAAGACTGCAACTGGTTCTTACGAGCGTGGTGGTGCTATCTTCTTCTCTTTGATTTACTTCTTCCTCAACGCGCTTGCCGAAACTCCCGCCACTGTGCTTTCTCGCTCGATCGTCGTCAAGCAGAGAAAGCTTGGTCTTTCTCACCCGTCTGCTTACGTTCTGGCTCAGACTATCGCTGACCTTCCTATCTCACTGTTCCAAGCCCTGGTCTTTTCTTGCTGTTACTACTTCATGCTTGGTCTCGGCAAGACGGCATCTCAATTCTTCATCTTCTCCCTTATCGTCTGGGTCCACTACGGAGCTACCAGTGCTTTGTTCCGCATGATCGGCGCAATCGCTCCCAACCTCAATCTCGCGTTGTTGATGGCTGGAGCTGCGATTCCTCCCTGCCTTACATACTCTGGTTTCGCTCCTCCATGGCCGACTTTGCACAAGTGGGGTAGCTGGATCCGCCGCATCTCACCCTCACCCTGGGCTTTGGAAGCCCTGATGGGAAACGAGTTTTACGACATTACGCTCTCTTGCACTGATTCTCAGATGGTTCCTAGTGGTCCCGGCTACAATAACCTTGCCAATCAGGGCTGCACATTGCCTGGTAGTGTCAAGGGCAGTCCGGATGTACCTGGTTCAACTTACCTCGCGTTGACATATGACATGCACAGATCCAATCTTTGGAGAAACTTTGGTATTATCCTTGCCATGTGGGCCATCTACACCATCATTGCAGCCGTCGGTCTTGCCTTTACTGCTCGCGAACAGGGTGGTGCTAGCGGTCACGTCTTCAAGCGTGGTGCTCAGACCGAGACTATGCCAACCACTGCCAACTCCAGTGGCATGACACTCGGCGAGCAAGACCTTGAAAAGCAACCCAGCCGTACCGTTGAGAACTTGACCCTGGACCCCGCATCTTCTGCCTCTTCAGCCACTCACATCGACGATAATGCCAGCGAACATGGAAAGGTCGGAGACAATGGATCTTCATTCACCTTCGAGAATGTCAACTACTTCGTGAACGTGGCAGATGGCGAAAAGCAGCTCCTTCAGAACGTCTCTGCCTACGCCCGTCCAGGTCAACTTACTGCCCTAATGGGAGCTTCTGGAGCTGGAAAGACTACTCTCTTGGACACTATCAGTCAGAGAAAGAGTGAAGGCCGCGTTGAAGGTGCCATGAGACTCAATGGTCATCCTCTTGACGCTACCTTCGGAAGATCTTGTGGTTTTGCCATGCAGCAAGATGTGCATGAGCCATTCTCGACTGTCAGAGAAGCCCTTCAATTCTCTGCTGAGCTCCGCCAACCTGCTGATGTTCCTCATGCTGAGAAGATGGAGTACTGCGAGTATATCATCAAGCTGCTCGAATTAGGCCCTATCGCCGATGCTCTCATTGGTACACCCGGTGAGGGTGGTCTCGGAGTCGAGGAGCGCAAGCGTGTCACCATTGCAGTTGAGCTCGCTGCTAAACCAAGCTCACTCCTGTTCCTAGATGAGCCTACAAGTGGTCTAGATTCGCAAGCTGCTTACAGTATTGTCCACTTCCTGCAGAGAATCGCAAGGGAGGGCATCCCCATTATCTGTACTATCCATCAGCCATCCGGTGTGCTCTTTGAAATGTTCGATCACGTCCTTCTCCTCGCACCTGGCGGTCGTACCATTTACTTCGGTGAGACTGGCAAGAACTCTGGAAAGGTTGTCGAGTACTTCGATCGTTATGGCGCACACATGAACGAATCCGAGAATCCTGCCGAATTCATCATCTCCACCGTCTCTGGCGCCGACAACTCCGCTGTCTGGCACGACAACTGGCTTCAATCACCTGAGAAGGCTCGTGTTCAGCAGACTATCGAGATGATCAACGAGAAGGCATCTGTTGTCGTCCAGTCTACTTCCTCCAGCAAGGGTGAATTTGCTATGCCCATCTGGCCTCAGATCAAGGCTGTTACCAAGCGTCATTGGATCTCGGTCTGGCGTGATGGCAGCTACAACTTCAGTCGCTTCTTCAAATTCTTGTGGTGTGAGCTTTTCATCTCCTTCACCTATTTCATGGTCAAGACCGATATCCAAGGTTTGCAGAACAACATGCTCAACCTTCTCATCATTGTTCAGATCATTCCTGCTGTCGCTCCTGATCTTCAGTCCATGTGGTTCAGCAAGTGGGCAACGTTCGAAGCCCGCGAGAGAAACGGCATCTATTCCTGGAAGGCTCTGACAACTGCCATGATCTCTGTCGAAGTGCCTTATATGATTGTCGGCTTTACTCTGATCTACTTCTGCATGTACTGGACAGTCGGCTATAGCACCGAGACCACCATCGCAGGTTACGAGTACCTCCAATTCATCACCTGTGGTATCTTCGCTTTAACCTGGAACCAAGTTCTTGCAACCATGTTCTCCAACATGCAGACTTGTGGTCTTGCCTCTGCACTTTTCTGGAATATCCTTATGATTTTTAACGGTACACTGATCCCTCACGCCGCACTCAACGACTTCTACCGCAATTGGCTCTACTGGCTCGACCCCTTCCGCTGGTTCTTCGGCGGCAGCGTGAGCAACCTTTTGAAGCCTGTTCCTGTCAATTGCTCTGCCAATGACCTTGCTCGCTTCGATCCTCCCGCTGGCCAAACTTGTGCTGCGTATGCTGCCGACTACCTTGCCCGCAGCACTGGATACCTTGTTAATCCTGACGCAACTGAGAACTGTGGATATTGTCCTTATTCTACTGGATCAGAGTATGCAGCTACCATGGACTATTACTACAGCCAGAGATGGAGGGATTGGGGTATCTTTTTGGTGTTTGCGGTGGTGTCTAATGTTGCGCTAATCTACTTTATTACTTGGTTTACCAGGGTTAGAGGTAGAAAGACCAAGAGCGCTTGAGGGAGTCTCGGTTTCACGCATTCGTTGTATATTTCTTTAATTTAGCGTTTTGAACAGATACCCTTTAGACTTACATAGATAATCATGCCACAAAAGGCAAATCGATACACACCACAAACAATGAACAGATACAATTCCCAGTACTGTTTCCATCCGTGGATACCGATGCTTGAGAGTACAAAATTCGATACAGAGAAGGATTTGATGATGACCTCCCTCGCCATGCTAAGCCAATGTCGCTCAACAAGGTGTGCTCACTACATCTGAGCCTACCTGATCGTTCATTCTACTACAACGATGTTGTCGTCGATGCTCTATTTCTTCATGTGATTTAGGTAACCCTGTCTTGAGCGCACGAGCCTTCGAGTTTCAGCTTACGTCATAAGCTGCCTTTCCGCAGTCAGTTCCTTCACCTTTGTTCAGCAACAAAACAAGTGTAACAAGGAAAAGAGGTAGCTAGATATAACTATAGCGCTTTTATAGCTATGCACAAGTGGGTATAAGAATAAAAATAAGAAAAAGGAGGCGCAAGAGGCTTGAACAGGGTCTGATGGACCCTGTCTACTAGACCGGGCCAAGCCGGAGGGGGAAGCTGCCCACAACAGCGAGGTACTCGTACCTTGGGCATGAGCATGACGCTCGGAAGGAGAAACACAAGACACTTTCTATCGCTACCGCAGACCTATACGACAAGGCAGAGCAGTAGAGTTACAGCTCGCATGCCGACTTGAGATCACATCGCGCGGCTCCTGGGGCCATCCATTGTCTGTTCCTGACTGGCCTACTGTTCAGTGATTCCCTCCTTCACAAGTTGCTAGTGTGACATCGACAGCACCGAACAGCAGCAACATCATGTGGAACAGCTTGTCCAACTTTGCCCAAAAGGCCCAGGTCTTTGTTGACCAGAATCTGCAACCTGCCTTGAACAACCTCACCCCCTCGGACAACCGCTCGTCCAAGGCCGCACTCTTCCGTCACCAATTCCGTCTGCCAGACTCGCAGAACCCGCTGTACGAGATCACTGCCGAGTTGACCCTGCCTCCCAAGGCCGCTTCCTTGTCCAAGTCGCCATCCGATACACCACGCAAGAGTCACGAGCGCAGCAATTGGGACCGTGAGCGTGGAAACCACTACGTCGGTCGCTTACACTTGTCCGAGAAGTTCCTGTGTTTCTCCACTCAGAACTCGAGCTTCTCTCCCACCGCGAGTACCTCGCTGTCTACTGCCTTTACAGGTCAGACCAATGGTGCAGGTCCTGCTGGCAATGGCTTCACCCTTCCGCTATGTGCCGTGCGCCGTGTCGAGCGTCTGCATAGCCAGAGCTACATGTTCGCCTTGTCCATCACTACTTGGAACGGCTATCCCGCCCCCGACGAGAAAAACACAAAACACACTGGCAAGACGGCGCCGCCAGCACCAAAGCTCACAATCCAGCTGGCTGGCAGTAGAGTACAGTGCGAGAAGTTCTGTGACATGCTGAAGAAAGGTCTGCGTGAGGGTATGCGCGAAGTCGATGGCATGCGCAAGGTCGTAGGAGAGTGCTACTCGGAGTTTATGCTGGCTGCTGAGGCCAAGCGCCGCACTGAGAAAGACGCTCCTTCCGAAAAGTTGGTCGATGATCAGAATCCGGAAGATCAGCTGAAGCCTCCGGATGCCGGTCTGGGCATGCAGTTCCGCTATCCTGGTGATCCCAAGAAGCTCAGAGACAAGGGCAAGATGAGATTGTGGTACGAGTATTTACGAGGTATTTATCATTCGGAAAGCACCCAAGCATGAACACGTACTAACAGGCCGCAGAAAATGGTCGCAATGCTACGCTCGTCAGACAGCCAGATCTGCCTCGACTTGTCAGAATCGGTCTACCAAACCGTCTACGCGGTGAAGTGTGGGAGCTCACATCTGGATCTTTCTATCTCCGGATGCAGCAACCGAAACTGTACCAGGACACATTAGCAAAATTCGAGGGTCAACAATCGCTTGCTATCGACGAGATCGAAAAGGACCTGAATCGCAGTTTGCCTGAGTATCCTGGTTTCCAGAGCGAAGAGGGCATTGGTCGTCTGCGCCGTGTTCTTACCGCCTACAGCTGGACCAATGTGGAAGTCGGCTACTGTCAAGCTATGAACATTGTCGTTGCCGCTCTCCTCATCTACCTTTCCGAAACCCAGGCTTTTTACCTCCTCTCAGTCCTCTGTGATCGACTTCTACCAGGATACTATTCACAAACCATGTACGGTACTCTTTTGGATCAACGAGTCTTCGAATCGCTTGTTGAGAGGACTCTTCCCATTCTTTCCGAGCATCTCGCCAAGTCAGATGTTCAACTATCTGTCGTCTCCTTGCCCTGGTTCCTTTCGCTCTATATCAATTCAATGCCTTTGATGTTTGCGTTCCGAGTTCTTGATGTTTTCTTCCTCGAGGGTCCCAAGGTCTTATTCCAGATTGGTTTGGCTATCCTCAGAGTCAATGGTGAGGAGCTTTTGGATGCCGCAGACGACGGTACCTTCATTTCAGTCCTCAAGTCATACTTTGCTCGTCTCGGCGAGTCAGCTCACCCCAAGTCTGAGAACCCCAAGTTGAGAGCTGTCACCAATTTCCAAGCCTTGATGGTCGTCGCTTTCAAGGAGTTCTCTGGCATCACTCAACAAAGTATTTCTGACTTGAGAGCCAAGCACAAGGATGCTGTCCTAGACAACATCGAGTCCTTCGCAAAGCGTACCTCTATCAGAAATCTTGGCCCTGAAAGCAAGAAGCTGAGTACTAGCGATCTTGGTTTCTTGTATGATCGTTTCTATGGTGTGCTTTATGAAAGACAACAAAGAATGGAGATGATTCAACAAGAACAAGAGCGCAGAGCAAAGGCTGCCAAAACAAAGGCTGCTGAGATTGTTAGCGGCATCCCCAGCAATGTCGAGAAAGGCAGAGTCGGACTCGGTCCTAGCCCTACAGAAATGGACTACGACAGCTTCAGAGAGTTCTTGGCTGGTCTTGCCAAATGGGCTGTTACAGACTCGCCTAGCTCGCCCGCTAAGCAAGAGTCCGAGAAGAATGGTGGCTACTTCGCAAACACTTTCCGCGCCCGCTCTATCTCTTTATCACCCTGGGGTTCTGGTCCAGAGCCTGCCGAGCATGAGTTCTTGCAGCGTCTTTTCAAGTCTTGGGACACAGACGACGCAAAAGCTCTCAGCTTACAGAAGGTTGTCGCTGGATTCGCTCGCATCAAGGGTCCTCGCGACATCATGTCCAACATTAGCTATTTCTTTGATCTTTACGACGATGACAAAGACGGCAAGGTTGACAGAGAAGGTATCTTGCGCATTTCAGAAGCTTTGCTATTCTTGTCAAGGCGGGGCGTGACCGGATCTGTCACGCCGTCTGTATCTTCTACCAACCTTGCTGCTCAGGCCGAGATCGGGCCTGACGGTATGCCATTGAGAGGCGTAAACAAGGATGAGCAGTTCTTGAGTAGTATTTCAGCTTTCATTCGAAGATGCTTTGAGTATGCCGATCCAGATCAATCGCCAGCAACTACACCATCTGCTGAGGTCACTGCAAACACCGAGAAGGAGTCAGAGGACTCAACTTCCGCCGTAGCAGACAACCTAAGCTCCTTCAGTATCGGAGACGATGAAGATGATGAGGATGGCGAAGAGGATCTGCTTCAATTGAGCGACGAAAAACCGAAAGACAAAGATACAAAGACGGAAGAATCGCCAGCAGTAGTGCCAGCCATCACCAAGACTCCAGTCACACCAGTCACCAATAAGCCCTTCGATTTTGGCCAAACGACACCGAATCGTAACGCAGCTGCCAACAAGGCACTCGATCCCAACCACCCTCTCTTCATTACGCTCCCAACCTTCCGCATGCTTATTCTTGCGGACGAAGCTCTCGAGAACTTTTTCGACTCTGGCTTCCCCAACTCTTTCCATCTCGCCGACGCACCCTTACCTGCTGGCACCGTCTCCACAGCCAACCTCACGACTTTCAGCAATCTTCCCGCCAAAGTCAACCTACCCATCCTCAGTCCCGGCGGCCCTGGCGCTGGCGTCATGGCACCAGGAAAGGGCCTTCGCGGTATGCTGGACAACATTGTCACCGATGGCATGCGTGTAGCCGCCGAAGTACGCCGCAGAATGGACGAAGCTCAAAAGGAAATCGACCGTGGAGGTTCAACTCGTGGCACAGAGTCTGACGACGAGGAAGAAGATGAAGGTGGCAGAGATCTTCTCGAGGGAGCTGAAGTCGATGCTGCAGCTCCCCAGACCCCTGCTAAGACAAATAGTATGGAGGTTGCTGAGCAGAATATGGAAAAGGAGATTGAAGCTGCTAAGGCGGATAAAGGCAAGGGCAAGGAGAAGGTTGCTGATGATGTTCAGAAGAGTATGGTGTTTGAGCGATAGGATACATGATGACCTTCAAGTTCCAAGAAGGGGAAGGGGGAAGTTAGACAATAAGGCGAGAATATCGTCTAACGGGAGGTTGGGTTCAAAATTAGACTTGTTTCCAAAAGAGAGTCGATGACTGCCGGGAGCGTTCGGCGTCATTTGTCTGTTCCTCTTTTAGGTAGGCGTTATTATGGGACGAATATACCTCTTCTTTTTTTTCCCCCTAGTTACTCGCTCATCTGATGTGTTTCTTTCTCGCTATCGGTATAGTGGCTATTCTGTCCTCATCCCATTCCGCCAGTATAGATTGATCTATCCCCGTAAACAGGCCGAAAAATGATTCTTGGTTCAAACTGTGGTCAGAGAGAGTCCAGTAGAGAACAAGTCCTTGGTTCTGATGACTGCGCCGATCATCGCTTGCGCGAATGCACAAGACTTACTGGCTTTGAAATAGCACTAGAGAAAGCCAGCTTGCCATAGTGATGAAGACATATGTTAGCAGATGAAGTCAACGAAACTTGTTGGGTTCATCTCTCTAACACGATCTCAAAGCGTTTCACCACCACCACGACGTGTGTTCCTCAATCTCCCACCTTCGAGCTCTGTTGCCTTTCACTTCCTCTCTCTCCGCTGAACACGATTGTAAGTCTTTCAATTCTTGCATCACTACACAACCATACTGATCTCACGACACAGCAAAGATGTCAACCAAGGGCAGCTTCAAGCGTACCTTCAGGGGCAGATCCCTGCAGGGCTGTCTCACCTGCAAGGAGCGTCATATCGAATGTGATGAAGGCAAACCGATCTGCCAAAACTGTATCAAGGTCAACAGGGAGTGCGTACAGAGAGATGACTCTTGGGCACTGCCGTCATCGACAAGCAGCGATTCGACTGCTGTTGACACTTCCAACACAACTCCTCCAAAGTCTTTGGCTATAGGCACCACTGTCGACAATCTAGGTGTTGGCAAAGAGAACGGCAACACTAGTGAGACTGAAGAGGCTACCAACACGATCAGCAACACCAAATCAGAGCCTCTGAGCAAGTATAAAGAAAACAAGATTGGTTCCACCGACCATCACCACGACGTCAACAACCTCGTCCCAAACACCAACAAGATCAATTACCTTCAGACCATCACCATGGACAAGAAGACTCCACCCAAAGTAAACCCAGCAGCTTCAGTCCCCAACAGTGACAAGAATGTCCCCAAGTCTACCACCACCTCAACTTCCAGCAGCCCAAAAATCAAAATCAACAGGAAACCCTCCTCGCCCGCTCCTGGCCCCAAAATCATCACTCCCCTCGCACTAGCCTCAACAATCACAAACCGTCATCCTTCCGCAACCTTCACTCCTCTCAAGCCAATCCACCACTGGCTCCCTCCTCGCCCCACCATCATCGCCAGAACCGACTTGCCAGCAGCCGAAATCGCAGAACTTCGTGCTGAAGAAGCAGCCAGAAAAGCTGAAAAGGAAGCTGAAAAGAAGAAGAGGGAAAGAGAGGTTGAGATGATGAGAGAGAGGGCTAGGGAAGTGCAGATGCAGATGAGAGCACAGGAGTTGGGAGGACATAGGGATTGTCCGTTTGGGATTTGTGAGGAGAGTGCTGCGGATTGCAAGTGCAAGGCTACGAGGTTTGGGGGATGAGAGTGAGAGGTTTCGGGCCTTGAGAGATCTTAGAGATGAGGGAAGTAAAGAATGGAAGAGTGGATGAACAAGAAGAGGAAAGCGATGAAGCGAGGGCTTGGAAGCACGAAGGAAAGAACGAAAAGAACCACGAAAGCTGGAGCACGAGGAAATGGTATATTAGAAACTACTCACACTCCATTTGAATCATCAAACCTGTTGTAGATTCATCATTCCCGTGTCCACAAGCACCAATAAAGCAACCATAGAAATGCACAATCGTTCTCCAGATACACTTGCAGCCAGAGAAGCATCCAAGATTGACGCTTTCTCAGTGGTCATCGCTGCTGTCAAAGAAACATCGTGCCTTTCTATAGCCAGTCTGAGGATTATCAGCGCAATGGAGAGGATAGACTCGATTGGAAGGAGGTTAGGGAAGAGTGTCACACTGGATAGGGCCACGTCATTGAAGACATACATTGTATGACATCTTAGCATCTGTGTCTGATGTAGAGAAACCATAGAGATACAAAATTGTTTTTGGAACGTAGTTACAACCATAGAGATATCTCAAGTCAACGTCATCTCGCTGGGCATGACTGCTGTCAAGATAATGTTGTACATTTAGAGGCAGTGTGAAGGTGTCCAATACGACGGAGAAATCAAATGTGATTCAAGGAGTTTAGAAAGCAATCGACAAGAGTGAACAACAAGCTCTGACGCGCCGCTGGTGCGGCATGAACCCACCTTTTTCCATCGCAAAACACTTTCAACCCCTCTTCTCTACTCCAACAACCCATCTTCCACTTAGCTACCCTAAGCTCCACTTCAATAGTAAGTACAAGTCTATCTCCACTGTCGTAACATCAGAAACACTAAGTATTCCAAAGATCACTCGCAAAGCACACATCCCATCAACAACATGGATCCCCCCTGGCCCACCGCTGCTGCTCCACCAATCCCACTGGCCCCGCCATGCACCCAAGAACAACTCGATCGTGTTCGCGCCGAACTTGCCCCTCGTTTCCGCATTCTGCACGACTTGCTCGATGAGCAGGTTGCTGAGGAGAGAGAGCGCGTCAAAGAGCGCTTCATCTTCGTTTGTGTGGCTGTTCTTGCCGTCAAGATGGAGATGGAACTTCTTGCCGATGCTGAAGAGCGCAAGGATAGTGAGACTTGCTGAAAAAGGTATGTTAGAACATCTGTGGGATTGGATATGCAAGTTGCTAATGAGGTATAGTGAGCCGCCTTAACAACAAATTACTGATCTCATCCCTTCGGCACGCTGGAAAGTTTCGATAACCCAAATGCTCAAACTTGTTCCGCTTCTCCTTCTCCTCTGAGATACCCATTATCAAGCACATTGTGAAGTTATATGCATGCAAGAAAATGACTTTTGACCCTCTCTCTCTGGTTGCACACCTATGATATGTTCGCATTCTGCAGTTTGATGGGTCACCAAAAACACTGCTTCCGATATCGAGAGCTCGACTGGCGATACGCTAAAAGTGTCCGCTATCAGATCTGCGCCGTATCTCACAGCTTTCTTGAATATCAAAGATGAGACAAAGGCGCTTCAGCGGTGATCTCGCCAATCCATGCGCCTGCATGCCAAGCATATCCTGCATCTGTGGCGTCCAGGTGGATCGCACTCGAACGTCCAACCTCACCTTCAACATTTTGGTGAGATTAGCATTCGTTCCTCTTGAGCCTCATCATCCTGACAATTCCACGCCGCAAGTCCAGTCATCCCATTCGCAAGCAATTCTTGACTCAGCATGATACTTCCGAAGCCTTTGTTTACCCTCTGTCGCGTCGTAAGCTACGTTATGATACAAGTTCTCAATCTGCTTCAAACTGTTTTTGAACGGGCATTCAGATCGAGCAAGACTTATACGAGCGCAGAAAATGTCAAATCGCATCAAGTGGTCCCTGTTCATATGTGGGATCTGCCAATACGTTCAGCTGTGGTTTATCACATGTCGAGGTTCAATGCACCGCTTGACGCGAACAAGCTTAGAGACTCCTTGATCAAGCTAATTGATCGCGATGGTGGTTGGCGCAAACTGGGTGCTAGATTGCACCAGAACGTAAGCATGGTCTTGTTACTCACACGCGAAGCAAAGCTGATCTGATATCATATTCCAGGACAAGAAAGCGCTAGAACTTCATATCCCACATCGATTCGATACCGATCAACCTGCAATTGCATTCAACCATGAAAAGTTCGAATGTACCATCAACGAGCATCCGCTGGCTTCGCGTCTGCCCTCAGCTTCTCAGGAGCCGGAAATAGTTGCATGTGCTAGTGACTTGGTTGCCCTCATGCGCAGTAAGGGTGATCCAGAATCCTTCCAGGACTATCTCAACAAGGATCGACCAATACTAGGGTTGCGTGTCGTAACATTCGATGACGCCACTCTAGTAACCTTATCCTGCAATCACTTGCTCTTGGACGGACTGGGAGGGAAAGCGGTGTTGGACGCATGGTCTCTTGTACTTCATGGCCGTGAGCACGAAGTTCCGGATTTGCAGGGAGTCTACGAGGATCCTCTTGCTACTTTGGGGACTCAGTCTACCGTCCCTTACAAACATGAGTCGCGTGTTATGGGTGTCCCGCAGCTCATTTTGTTTGGCGTTCGTGCCTTGCTCCGCAGAACCTTTTCGAAGTCTGAGATCAAAGACTACATTATTTGTGTCCCTAGCTCATACGTCAAGGAGCTCAAGAGCAATGCTCTCAAGGAAATCACTAGAGCCAGCGACCCATTGGCTGAGACGCCATTTCTCAGTGACAGTGACGTACTCTGCGCTTGGTGGTCGAGATACATCGCATCCTGCATGTCAAAACAACCAACCGAGACATTAGTCATCAACAACCTGTTGGACTTGAGGCCAGTCCTGACACCAGAACTTTTCTGCCCTGAGAATCCATACGTATCCAATGCGCTCATGATGATGCCTACATTTACCACAGCAGCGCAGCTTCTTAGAAAACCCTTAGGCGAGACTGCTCTATCGCTACGGCAGACAATCAAGCAACTAAGCACAAGGGAACAAGTCGAAGCTCGGTTCTCTTTGGATCGAGAATGGCTGCGACGAACAGGTCATCCAGCACTCTACGGAGATCCATGGATGCGCATGATCATCTGTACAAACTGGATCAAGGGCAAAATCCACGAGGTAGACTTTTCTCCTGCTCTCCTAGAAGGAAAGTCCAGAAATACTGGTCCTGTGTGTCCGTCGTATAATCAGATACATGCTATCATCAAGGACTTTGATCTCATTAGCGGTTTTGCCATCTCGAAAGATAAGGATGGCAATTACTGGATCTACGCTCGACTGGACGCTAAGCACAGGTCTAAGGTAGAGCAAATGCTCTCTGAGGAGTTTTGGGCAGACTAGCATACATGACTTCGCGGATTGCTTAGGTTTACGGCGTCACATGATCAACAAAACAATCTTAGAGGCTCCAAGAGACGATAGTTGCATTTCTCCATCAGTCCTGCCATCAAGCGTGACTACAACTTAGTTACCACTTACTTGGGATAAGGATTGCACCCTCTTTTGCTAAGATTGTGGTCTTCCATCGCTAGTAAGGTCTATGTCGCCACACCCCCGTCCCTGATTTACTTTTCTTTTTCCTTTGTGACTTGCCTCCACTCTTTAAACCACTTATCGAAAGCGCGAGATACTATATTTTTACCCTCTGCGATCATAACCTCATTCGTGACGTATGCCTTCGCGACGTAGGGTGTCGATGCATCGACTCAGCTTAACGCGGTGGCAGTACGCAGCACCAGACAATGTCCAGGTTATTCTCGAGGCAACACTACATAAAGAGGATGTTCAAGGATGGCAAAGAAGCCATGCTTGGAGTGAGAAGGAGAGGTTTATGTATTGGTTAAGTGAGGTATGCCTTGCTTGATCTGGAAGTGAAAGCATCCCTTGCTTCACAAAATACAGGTCTTTGCCGAATCTAATAATGCGTTTATGGATTTGTTTTTCGTGTTCTCGCAGTGATGGCAAGCAAATTCTTAGCTGTAGAAAGGCATAATAGAATCTTGGATAGAAGTGTGTTCAGGGACAGCCACTCATCAGCGAAAGGACTCAGTGGATAACAGACATTTTCTCATCATCATTGTGCATCCTTGTAAGCTACACAAACCACACACTTCCGCATTCGAGATGTTCAAAGGTTTTCTTGCAAGCTTCTTTCTTGGCAGCAGTACTCGAAACGCAGGGGTTAAACCGAACTTTAGTCACCAGTTGCACGTTCTTCATTCCCTAGACCGCGAAACACAGCAGAAGATGTCCGATGAGGCGGCGGCCGTGAGCTGTGTGGCTTGTTCTGCAAGCTGACCGAAAATGCCATGTGTGCCATAGCATTTGATAGTCGCGAGACCAGAGAAGCTGCAGTGGGGTCCATGGAGTCTTTCCGAAGAGGCGTCACGGAATGTTTGTAAGACAACAGTTGTTCTTGCTTGATATCGACGACTGTCAATTTTTCGGAAGGCAGGTTTGGTGAAGCGATGTTGGGATCTGCACTGCCTAGCGATGACCGACGAAGCGCTGTCGGTTCAAACAGCGAGGCGAACTGGTTGGCTAAATCTGTCACATGTCGGCGCGTTGGAGAAATTGCTGTGGTCACTGGCGTCCCGGCTGCTGGAGGGAACAAGGGCGAGTGGCGCGGATACGATGTCTCCTGGCCGAGACCTACAGAAGTGCTGACCTCGCCAATGGCAAGCGACCGAATGTAAGCCTTAATCTCATCATGTCGATCTTGCAAGTGATCGACTTGCACGCCCTCAGCCAGAAGCTCGGCTTGGATACTCCCAAGTACATCGAGGTTGGGAGGCCAATTCAGTGCTGTAGATGAGATCTTGAAGTCCACCAGTAAGTTCTTGAGCGCGGTAGAATTGTTCACGAGCTTTGATTGCAAGTAGCGCAACCCTCCGGTCGCCAGACACGCCTTTTCTTTAAATTGACATTGCTCGAGCTGGTCCAGCTGCGCGAAAGAAGTCCAGATGCTTCGAACATTGAATAAGCTGTGGTCGCATGCCTCGAGGACACTCCAGAGTTCTGACGCTTGTTCTCTTGTAGCCATTTCAAATAATGCGACAGACGGCGCGGTCGCATCCGCTAACAAACCAATCGTCTCCGAGAGGTAGCTGACATTGGGAGCGATCGTTCTCAATTCTAGAGGACCTTCTTCGACGCATTTCACAGTCGCTCTCGAGCTTCGGTGCACTTCGACAATTTTGTTCTCAAGGTAGAATGGCATGACGTCGAGCGGCTCCCTGCTTGACGAAGCTTTAATCGGATACGGCGGGTCAGGTTTTCTCAATTGATAGCGAATAATGTCGAGCGATTGTGTTTTCTAGAAAAAGAGCTTGAGTCTTACTCACGCTGTCGTTATATGCTTTGCCTCAAAATCACACAAAATTCAGTGACGCGTACTGTCGCCATGAATGCTTCAGAGTGCAGAAGCAATTTGGTCGTGTCGATCGCCCAAGCAGAATGTACGGTACCTTTGTACCAGACCGCAGCACGGCCACGTAACCTGCGACCATGACTTCTTGCAACTGATACCTCAAAAGCGCATGAAGATGAGTCGGGCATGCGACTGATATAATCCCTAGAAGCTCGTCATACGGCGCACCACATCAGTTGACGTGGACGGCAACACGAAAGCAAGGTTGTCGCGGCTATCAACCTTTCGAAGGTTGCGCTGCCGCCAAGCTGTTGATGACTGCGCCCAGAATAGCTCAAGGACATGGATGGATGCTCCTAGCAAGGGACAATAGTTTTGATGAAACAAAGAGCTGGGGGTCGTTCAGGGTTATGCACTTCTTTGTTCTAAGGAATTGTCGTGGTGCGGTACTGGCTCCGACTCAAAGAGCGACTGAGCTGTCTGCCTGCCGAGTAGATTATGTAAGCAGACTTCGCCTTACCTTGACCCCTCCTTCCTCCATTCTCTTCTTTCCAGAATTCTGCCGAATGCTGTAACGAACAAAGACAAGACGAGACTCTTTCTTGCTTCTTGCTCTGATGGTCAGTGGGGTGCATCTCGCATTTCAAGTCAAGCTTCTGCACTTGAGCCCGAGTCCATATTGATGATCAGAGCTTCTGAATTTGCTGTCAGGAATACGGAGGGATGGATAGATCTTGACGAGGGTGCATAGATTTTTGTGGTGCGGAGTGCTGCCCGGCCAGAAACCTCTTCATATTTACTCATGCTCAATGATGCCCGCAATAAGCTCCAAGTGTCTCTTCACCCAGTAAGTTAGCCGAGCATTCGGGTAAGAAATTGTATGAACCTCCTTTGAGACCCCAGTATGCCCTTCCTTTGACCTCCACATCACGTCCTTCTTCTTTGGATCAGACGATATTTCCCCTCCTTTTGGTTAATCCTTACCATGTCTCCTGCTTATGGTGAGCTGCCCATGGCTGCAACCGTGGTGATTATGCCGAGCATTTGCCAGTCCGGACAATCCTTCGTCGATTTATCACACGAATGCTTCAATTCAGGCTAAGCTATTGTGCCATTCCAAAAGCACAGTGTAGCTCGGCAGAGAAATGAGATTTGCCAGAAGATACAGACCTGTTGAACCAGGTTCCCACGTCGATCTCAGGCAAGCAAGAATCAAGATATACTCTCCTCATGATGCAAGTTCCTAAAAGGCAAATCAAACGTTTCTTCTGTGTTGTTGCATGAGTCGTAAGCCCGCATCTGTATGAAAGTTGTTGTTCCGAATGAGCTTTGACCGCCAGCGAACAATTCGTCGACCAACCATCCTGCGGTTCAACGCGAACATAACACTCTTCCTCTCGTCTCTTCACACTCCTCATCTCTCTGTATCTCTTACGACTCATCTACCACGACGGCTACGCCATTCGATCAAGATGGATGCGTCCCCTCCTACAGCGTTCCGCATCAAGGATCTACCTCCTGAGATCTTCAAACTGGTACTGGAGAACTTGGAGAAGTCCGCCCTTGTAGCCACCAGATCTACCTGCAAGCAGTTCAAGGAAGAAACCGACGATCGCTTTTACATTACTTTCCTCGCCGAAATCGAGTCCAATCTCACGCAGAGGAAGCTGGAGAGCTTGCTCTGGCTTTCTCAGCAGTCTCGCCCTGCCCGCCACGTCAAGTCTTTGTTATTTTCAATCGACGACGACTATACTGCTCGTCCTCACCATCGACTCATCAACAGAATCATCAACAACCTCGGCCTCTTCAGCAGCTCAGTCACTCTCGGTGTTGCATCGCAGCAGTGGAATCATCCCGCCTTCTTGGCTCACTGCACAGACATGGCAGACTTCCTAACGTTCTATCTTGTCCCCTTGAGAGATGTCGTTAACGTGGGCACCTGGAAGATTGTGGTCAGGACACATGATCTCAGCCGCGCCGACTGGAGCCTGGAAGACTGTTTCGGCGAAATCGGTGATTTCATGGACTGCGTGGTGGACGGGGATGTCACCCTTGCACAAGACACCGCACTCGAGATACACGACGGCGCCGGAGACCCCGTTCGCCACGTCCAGGTGACCAACCATGCTACCAGGCATGCGACTCTCAAAAACTTTATGTGCGAAACGCTCGACAACAACAACAGAACCTGCTCACTGGATGATGCCGGCTTTACCGACTCTTGGAAGCCCAAGACTCTCACCATCAAAGATTCTGTCTTCTTGCAAGGGACCTTGCGTCGTTCAGTCAACAAGAATCCCATTTTAAGACACCTAATTCTTGAGAATGTCTGTATCAGACGCTGGTTTGACCAATCTCAATATGTTATCGAGCCTGCAGATTGGATTGAGACCTTGCAGATGCTTCAGCTCGGTCACCTCGAATCCTGCCGCCTGGTCAATCTGCGCGACGGCAATGATGACTTCTTCGTCGAAGGTGTTTGGGAGTTCACTGCCACGCCTTACTGCAGTGTCAGTAACGCCATTGCTGGCCTGATCGAGAACGTTCAGCGCGCTCGCTATATCGAAGACGAGCTTGAGGCTCAGTAGATCCTTCCACGGAGGTTCACAACGGCGACAACAAGGACGGTGTCTCAGGGATACTATTCAGCTTCTATAGATGATTATGGTGTCAAACAAGTAGGAAGAGGGGGGCACTCAGAGGTTGAGAGCACAGCACTATTGCTGTCGCAGGCTCTCTGCATCAAGACATGCCTTGTGGTTTTGTGCACACACAACCTCGCTGTAGCAGATAGATGAAGCGCAACAGATGGAAGCTCTTCTAAAACACCCTCCCTGACCTACGAAGATCTTCTGTTTTCGTGATAGTGTAGTGCTGTATCAGTGACACTGATAGATAGGCACAAATATGTCAAACTGTCTGTTCTCTGTTGATGATGAGTGAAAGCAAGGAGTAAGTCACAGACGAGGTGTTTCTTGTGCTCGAACTGGAACCAAGGTTGGTTGACAAGAAGGCTGGCTGCTCAGACCTTGCTGTCGTCGACTGATCGATAGAGAGTCTCGGACTTTCGTTGCCAGGGCACTGAAACCCGGTCTTTCATTCGTTCGTCGCTCGTGGTGCGTCTTTCGTCTTTCTTCGTTCATCGTGCGTCTTACACCTTCACCCCCAACACTGAACCCCCCTAACGCGAAGATCTTCCAGACTAGCAGCATTGACTGTCTCCTCATCATACCCAGTCGCCGCTATGGAACACTACAGCCGCGCCGCACGCATGGCTCGCTCTTCTTCTGCGAACCGCTCCCAAGATGGTCCTGGTTGGTTGGTACTACACGCATCCTCGTCCCACTGCTGACCACATATAACCATAGGAGGAGGTATCTTCGCCTACCTCAACTCGCGCCGCACCCCTGAAGTCGCTCAGATGGCCTTGAAGCTAGGCCCAGATTCGAGTCTGGTGTCCCTGCCCACGGAACTGCTTGAGATGATTATTGCTCTTGTAGCCGAGGACGAGAAGAGTCTTCCAAGCGTGAGACTCGTCTGCAAGCTGTTCAAGAACTTGAGCAAAGACTACTTCCACTGCGCTTTCCTCACCCACCTTCACGTTGCACCAACCCGCAGAGCATTTGGCAGACTGCTGTCGACTGCACGAAACCCCGAGCTCAGCACTTCTGTCCAAGCCATCACTGTTCTCTACGACAACGAAAATTTCGCTGACTCGGGTGCTTTGTGCTCTGGTATGCACGAAAGGGGCAAAGTCGATTTCTTCCTCGAAACCCTTGAGTACTTCCATCGAATCGGTAAAGAAGTCGACCTCAACGTTACAGTCGCCAATCCTCCTCTCGATGCAGGTTCCTCGGTCATTCGCATTCTGTACCGCGTCCTTGGATATGTGCTCTATGGCTACCCCGTTTACGGCCCTCCTGGTGTACGAACTATCACTATGCACATCGACGATACCTCAAGCGCCGCTTATCCCATCTTAACCGACCCTTCCGAAGCACGCGAGCTCGCTGTATGTTATAGCGCCGCATTCCAAGATATTTGGGTGCGCATGGCCGAAATTCAAGCTCTATTGGAGGTCAAAGTCAGATTCAGCAAGAAAGGTGAAGAGACGCAGCCACCTCGTGAGCTGATAATTCAACATAAGGAAGGATTCATGCATATCGGCATGTACAACCTCGCAACCTGGCACTTTGACATCATGGGCCGCATGACTATTTTCAGCGAGATTTACCTCCTTGACATCCAGAACTGCGCACTCGACATCAGAAGAGTGTGGGATTGGTTCCACGAACACGCTAGAATGCAGCACCTGGTCCTCAGAAACGTCAGTGTTCACGACATTAGCAGACTCTACAATCCGCCACGGCTTTCTGCGAGGCCCATGGAGTGGAATGAATTCATGAACGAACTAGCTGGTTCCACCAACCTGCAGTCATTCTGGGCAGAACACTTGATCGACCATGATGGCTCGATTCTCTACACTGAGCCCTGGCACATCCAAGCAACTCCAAATGCTTCGGTCTCTGATGGCATCTGGACTCAATGGCCTTGAGTTGTTGTCAATGGGAAGGTGGTCTTTGGATTGGGGTTCAGATAGCACGTTGATCGCTTGGAGTAGCACTGATGAGGCATGCATTTGACCATGCGTCAACAGCATTCATGACAGGGTCGGTCCCTACAGAACGTTTTTTCTTCTGTTCTTCGAGTTCACAAACGCGTTTTTGGCATCTCTCTTTTGCCTCTGGATCGTTCTGCGTTGTCATTCAAGCTGTATACTAGTATTTACCACCGAGACACTCATCTCTTCAAGCCAATGACCTCCACATGAGACCCATAAAAATGCAGAATAGTTTTCACAGTCATATTGAGTCCACTGAAACAGCCCACATGGGTCAGGGGTGGCAATGTTCTCTACCCTTAACCCGTTATGCACGTTCACGAAAATGCAAGATGTTATTCTTGATTTAAAGCAGATCCACTGAGATACTCTTGCATGAGCAGCTTTCTCTGGATATCTCAGACATCAACAAAGGATTATGCATTCTATAGCCTATCCATCTATATTTGTGTGTCCTGAAAGCATCGTCAAGATGAAGTGTCGAGAAACCAAGGGTAAGGTCTTTAGCTCTCTTCACCGCATTTGCAAGCATCGAGAACCACTTCAATCCACAAACGAACAATTCAGATCTCCAAACGAAAGTTGAGTTCATCCTCGAGCAGGGTGGAGTTTTCTACTTGCGTCGACCCGACGACGACATTTCCATCCACTCTCGCTCCCCCTTCAACTTCGACCATCTCATAACCCCTGTCAAACCTCTCCCATCTCACACCTTCTCCACCACCATCTCCTCCTACACTGCCAGCACACAACCAACCATGCCTGCCAACATCCTCTCTCTACCACCCGAGCTCCTGCTTCTCATCGCATCCTCCCTCCCTGCCTCTTCAATCCTGCGCAAGAAACGACTTGTGTCGCAGCATGAAGCAATATTCGTTCAAAAGAAAAAGATGGGAAGAAGAAAAGAAGGAGAAGAAGGATTCAAGCATCACAACTATGCATTTCTTACTGTTCGCCAGCCATGGAAAAACGAATCAACGGCTTTGTCCTGAGGAAACTCCCAGGAACACAAACACTCCACGCTCTTTTGGTGGTCCAAAAGATACAAGAGAAAAGGATCCAAGGCACGATGACGGATCACAAACATCACCAGAAACCACATCGACACGATTTCTCGGCAACAAAGCATTACATCTCCCCAGTGCTCGCAGATGCACACGAACAGACAGGTGCATAGTAGAAGGAGCAAGACGCAGTATCGAAACAGTAACGACGAGCATATTCTACAAGAAGCAGGAAAAGGCAAGAATGACAACAACAAAGACAAGACACGGATGGAAAGAAAAAAGCTGGTCATTTTGGGAAAAACACACAGGGTCAAGAGAAACGATCAATCATACTCTTTTCGATCCTTTTTGTACAAAAAGTGAAAAATCCAACGCAATCCCAATCTATTCCGAAAACACCAAACAAAATGCCGCTAGAACCACAAGACTGAAAAGAACTCCTTGCCTCAAGTTACAAGAAAGAGAAAATAATTAAGTGTTGACTAGTAATATACAAAAGGACAAACGTCTCGGTGCACGCAAGACGCTTATAATAGATACAACCAAGGAGATGGCGACAAGGCGATTAATCGCTACAAAACAGTCAGTATACATTTCTCACATCTTTCTCTCTCCCGAAAAGACTTACTAAATTTCCAAAGGAGCAAGTTGATCAATGTTGTAAAGCCAATTGCCACCTTTTTCTTCTCTCTCAAGCCTGTGAGTTTAGTCAGCGATTGATCGTCTTCGAACCTTTCAAGAGAATACTCACCAATCATAAGGGAAAGTCACCAAATGCCCCTGAACGAGCCTCAGCAAGCCCTCAGCCTCCTCTTTGGTGAGGACTTCGGGCTCAAACGCGCCTGTAGCCTTCATACTGCCTCTGGTGTTTGCACGATTACGTCTGCGCTTAGAGGTGCTGTGTTGCATGTTTCCACTGCCACTGACAGTAGCCGCATGTTGAACCTGACCAGGCTCAAAGTTCTTTTCCTTCTCGGTCATCTCGGGGAATTGTATAGTGCGGGACTTTGTAACGCGGACAGGTGCTCCGTTAGCACTGCTGTTGGTGGGGATGCCATCAAGTGGTGGTGGTGCAAGTGTAGCGTCCGTGTTGGCCGTGTCATTGCGTTGAGCGGCCACCTTCTCGTCAAAAGGCTCTTCGTTGGCGGCATCGTCAGCGCCATTGTTGAGCGCAGAATCAGAGGCACGAGGGCCACCGTCCATCCCTTGCTTCTCAGACTTTTCATTCAGGTCGCCATTGGTTGCAGCGACGTTGGAGTGAGAAGTGCTGGGACGGCCACCAAAAAGCCTACTCAATCCACTGAATCTGTTGCTGGCATGTTTGCTTGCGCGATCTGAGACGTTGGCCACGGATGAGAGGACATCGGTGCCGCCAGAGCCAGGAGGACCACTAGAATCGGGTGCATCTCCGGCAGGCTTGGGAAGCGGCATACTCGCGCCCAAACCTTGCGACAGCATGAATTTCTCGTTGTATGTGTTGAAGTTGCGATACTCGGTCCACGACTGAACTTCGGAATCCGGCATGCAACGGAAGACTTGACGGTAGATGCGAGTATTGTTTTCAGCTACCTGGTGCCAAATCTTCTTGTAGAAGTCGTTGGCCAACGGGTCGCGCATACAGTCCTCGTCAACCACAGGTCGCATCATGGAGTTGAGGAGTGGGTTGATGATGTGAGCATTCTCAGAATCGACCTCCTGGACTAACGACGGGCCACCTATGTCCGAGTCATCGCAGACAGGAAGTGGTGGGAGTTGCGAGAGCTGTGTCAAGCCAAGCTCGCGCGTGTTCATACGAGGTGGCATGGGTGGGGGCATTAGACGACCTGCCTCTGTGGCATTGTGAGGAAGATCGTAGATCTGGTGGTTGATGACTTCTCTCTTGATTGAGGAGGATCGGGGACGTGTGGCAGCGTCAAGTAGATTGGCGCTCTTGAGCACTTCCCTGCCGTCGGCTGTGATGTAAGTATCTCTGGCAGACATGTCGACTACGTTCTCAAGGTTCTTCATGTTATCGGTACCAAATCCGGCGACGTCGAGGTCATGGGACTTCTCGCCAGAGTGCTTCTTGCCGCCAGCACCATCCATTTGATCAGCGTTATCGTTGTCAGTTTCGTTGAGGAAGTTGTGCAACACACCAGCCTTTCCATCACGCTCACTGTTGTGGTTCAAATTCTCCTCGGTCAGGCCGTGAGCACCTGCGGGAGTCTCCGGTGGTGTGATGAAATCGTCTCTGTAGATACGTTCCATCTCCTCGTCTTGGAAAGCCCTCTCAGCTTCGCATTCACGACGGTAGATTTCGTCAACATCAACTCCAAGATGCTCGCGCATAAGACGCATGCGAAGTGAGTGCGGGAAAGTTCCGACGTCGTAAGGCTTGCCCCCCATGAAGGAAGGAATCATCTCTTGGTCAGTAACAATGGCAGCAACCTCGGAATCTCTCGAGCCCAGCATGGAGCGCTCGTTGATGTTGGCAGATCCGATGATGACACTGCGATCGTCAACAACCATACACTTGGCGTGGATGTAGAGCTGTTCAGTGGTCAAACACTTGCGAGGACCAATCTTGCCCCATTGTCGGAGAGCATAGAACTCAATGTACTGCGTAGGGTCGATGCCTTGGGCACGTAATCTGGCAAAGATGGATGATTCACCTCTACAGATACTGCGGTATTGACATTGCATGATGAGACGAACACTAGTTCCGTCTTGTGAATCCACTTGGTTCTGGAATCCGGGCATCAGAGGGATGATCAAGCATGCTCTCCAATTGTCACCTCTCTCATGGGCAAGTATGATTCTCTCGACAAGAGCATCACCAATCTTGTTGTTGATCTGGGTACCTTCGACAACACAGCTTGTGATAAAGAACTGGTTCTCGATGTACACGAAGTGCTCAGAGTTTTCGATGAGATAGACATAGGCGTTCATGATACTGCACTCGGTCTTGTTTGGTGTGCCAATCGACCACGATGTGCAAGAGCGGAGGATTTGAATCTGGCAGGTACCAGTCATGCCGAGACGTTCAAGCTCACTCTGATCAAACTCGGGTGGAGGCAGTAAAATTGGCGTAGGACGAGAAGGCACACGCTGTCTGAGAATGTAGTTCCATCGTTGGACGAAATGACGAGCCACATCTCGGGCAGGCTGGCCAACAATGGTCATGGCAATATCGTGCCAAGGCATACGAGGCACCTTTGTGCGATCGTACATTTCCTCGTACGGGCGGTCCAGTCCGTAGAAGTCCTGGACTCTGGGATTCGAGTAATCTTTGCCAGGCCAGACCTGACAGTTGTCCGCAGTCCTGGGTCCTTCCATGTCCAACTCGAAGCCAGTGAGCTTGTCATCGGTCAGGGAGTGGTGAGGGTCATCCCATCTTCCAAAACACAAATCTACACCACCCACGAACGCCATAGCATTGTCAATCACCACCAATTTCTCATGGTGCGCCCAAAAGAACTGATTCTGCCTGAACTGATTGGGCGAACGTTGAACACAGACGTTGGGGTGGAGGTCTAGGAGGGAGGCTTTGGTGTATTCCGAGTCGATGGGGATGGCAGACTCGATATTGCGGTAGACGATGACGAAGATCTTGACGCCTTCTTGGGCCTTGCGAAGAAGTAGACGGTCGAGACGCCACTTCTGACTGATGGCAGCTGGTCGGCGAAGGTAGAGTTCAGGACTGAGCCACCAGTCGTGGATGTACACAAAGCTTCTCGCATTGTCAATGGCTCGCGAAACTTGCCACATGTGATCTCTGCCATCAACCAGCCAGCGGGCAAAGACATTCTTGCGGACCGGCGCAAAACTGTCGAAGCGATGTTTTAGCGACCAGATTGTGTTTTTTACCATGTAATCAATAGACTCCTGAAATTGCACTAGTTGGCGCTCATTCTTGGCCAACATCTTCAGTTTTCGCTCCGAGTTGTACAGACGAAGTATGTGGTGCTTGGGTTGTGTGGCATTGCCAGCAGTTTTGGCCAATTCTTCTGCTGTTTGGTCTCTCAATCGCTTTTTGCTCGCCTTGTCGGTAGTGAAATCGCCATCTACCAGGAAGACTTCGCGCGGCTCTAGTGACTCGGGACTATCCAAGGCAACAATGTAGCTGTGGCGGATCATGAACCATTTGGGTTCCGCATTTCTCTTGAAAGCCGAGACTGAACCAGTGACAGGCCTTCTACGCAGGTCAATGTTGGGCTTGGAGATGATGGACATCAAGCCCTCCTTGCCGTGATAGCCGCCTTCTACTGACAAACGCAAAGATAGAGCTGAAAGTTCGAGGAACTTGCACAATCGTGTGCTGTCAGGGCGGAAGACTAGCCACCTGATCATCTGCTGCAGATAGTTCTCGAGCTTCCTGCGTTGACGCTCGTTGTACAGATCCTTGGCTTTAGCACCTCCTGCGGCACCTGCAATACTGCCAGCTCGCGCGACTTCGCCAGTTACACCATCGGGACCAGACGCATGTCCAGTGCTTGACTTGCGTCTGGATAGAGCAAACGACGTTCTACGTCGCTTCTTCATACCAGGCCTATCAGGGCCACTGGCTTCACCATCAGGACCGCTTTGTTCAGCTATGGCGTTATCATCGTCTTCCTCCTCGTCATCAGCCAGACCTCTCACACCACGAAGGTATGGGAAAGCACTTCTGGGGAATCGAGGAATCTTTGCTTTCGAGCGATCGTCGGTCTTGAGTATCGAGTATCGCTCTGACTGACTTTGAAACTTGTACTTGAGGTGCAAATTGCTAAAGTCTCTGAGAGAACGGTGGATGGTCCACGACATACGTGAAGGCCCGCTTCCATATTCAAGATTGATGGTGAAGACCATATGGCGATCACCAGACTTGCTCTCGCGTTGCTGACTTGAAGGAATGGTGATTTTGAGTTGCTCAAGCAAGACAGGAATCTTGCGACGACCATGTTCATCACGCTGGTACATGCTGGCCAGGAAGATAGCAGCGGGTGAACCAGCAAGGAGTTCAGCCATGAGTTCTGTAGACTTTTGATGGTCAACTTTGACTCGCTCGTCTTTCTTGCGTTGACCAAGCAGTTTCAAACCAGCCTTGACTTGTTTCCATTTTTGAGCACTGGTGCTCTGCTGGCGCTCTCCACGGCCTCTCCACGGTGAGGCTGAACCGTCAAGTGCACCGAATCCAGTGAATCTCCTCGAAGTGGTTGGACGATTGGAGTCAGACTGCTCAGCAGCATCATTTGTAGGTCTGCTACTGCGAGGTGCATAACTCAGACCTCGCGCGCCCTCGAGACCACGCCTCCAGGCACTTTTGGCAAGACGATCGCGGCCTTCATCCTCGCTAACGCCTGCTCTTGAATTTTCAGGAATGTCTGTCATGGTGGCTCTGCGCGGTAGGCGTGGAGTTCGATCAGCGTGGTCGCGCAAGAAAGAAGGAAAGCGCGGAGTACGTGGTGTCGAAGGACCAGCGGATGGCGTCTTCTCCATCTTTCTCCTGGCTTTGCGCTTCTGACGAGGTTCGTGGCCCTCGGCAGCTTCATCCATTGAGCTCTCCTCGATATCACCCTCGGCCTCGCTGCCATCATGCTGCGACTGCGAGTAGAAAGGGAAATGTGGTTCTTCCAACTCTTCTGTAGGAGTCATCAAGACTGAAGCATTGGTGAATTCGCTAGGATGGCGCGAGTGGGTTGGTGTAGCCATGGCTTTTAGACGGGAGAAGAAGGAGCCCTGACGGCCGTGTTCATCCGCACCATCGAGCTGGTCTTCTCCTGCTTTTCTTTCAGGCGGTGTCTGAGTACCACTGCCTCCACTAGCATCTCTATTGCGGGACATTGTACGCAGGGTCGGATCTGAGTCATGACGCAGAACGAATGGTCGCGGACGAGGGCTTGTGGCCGAGACGGAGCGAGGAGCTGAGCCATTCTGGAAGTTCTTGAATGATGGCAGATTGAAGTCGGCAGGAGTTGGAGGGCCGAAATGTACAGAAACAGCGGTTGGGGGTCTGAGCAATTCGTTGGAGAGAGTGGTCTGGGCTGGGGTAGGGACATCCGGAGTAAAAGTAGTTCGTAGGGGAGACGAGGGCTGGCTGTGACCTTCTCCCAGGCGAGTCCGCGCAATTGGCGACAGGGACCTGGGCGCCTCCTCTTCTGCCACCATCTGCATCTTGACCGGAGTTTGTAGAGGTTGGTAGGGTTATGTCTCAGTTCATATTACGATACTAAAAGCTGTAGGGTGTGGAAATTGTCGTCACGGATGCACGCGAGTCGAGGCTTCGGAGGTGCTGGGAACGCTGGATAGGAGAAGGTGACCGGCGACTGGACCAAGGCGATTGCAGCTACGGAGCGAAGAAGGAGACTGGACTTGACGAAACTGTTGTCGAAACAAAGGGAAAGAGCGTGCAAGAGAGAAGCCTTCCAGAAGTCGAGAGTGCCTGCTCGTTTCCGACTTTGGATCTGAATTCGATAATCTTGAATTGGAACTGGAATTCATCAAACTCCCGCGCCTGCCCCCTCAACCCGCGACGCCGTCATCTCCGCCGCGGCCTTGGCCATCAGAGTCAAGCTATTAACATCACCCTGTCCATATTATTCTGGAGTGAACACCCCCTCGAAAAACCATCAATTTCTATATTGATGATTGCTTCAATGATACAAGTTCACAATGATGGAATGTCAGCTTTGACGAGACGCGACTCTTGTAGACTCAATTGTTGCCATCTTCTGCAATCGACTTCGAAATACATTAAGCTTCGATGAAGTCACCAGTCAATTGTGATAAGGAACAAACTTTCAGAAAAATGAACAAGATTGATTAACTTGTACAACCACACTTTTCAAACGCCCGCTACCATAGAAAAGCCATATGTCAAAATGCTACCAACAAAAGATATGCTCTCTCTCAAGCTCGCTCACACCATTTATTCCTGGCGTTGACGCTTGTAGTTTCCACCTTGTCTGGGTTGACTGCCGTATGCGCGACGAGCGCCTTGCTTCTTGTCCATCTTCATGCTTGAGCCCAATTGCATGTCCACACGCGGCGGTGTGTTGAAGCCGAAACTCTTGGCTACCTTGACAAGGTCGAGCTCGTTGACGTTGAAGACTGAGCGCAGCGAGTGCGATGCGTATGCCTGAAGATATGAGCGGTAACCATCCTTGGCCGACTGTAGAATTCATCGTTAGCACCATGATCAGCAACAGCAGCAAATAGATCATTCTTACCTTGTTCAAGTAGTAGTTCTTGCCAATCAACATCTCAAGCTGGCTCTGAATGTTCAGCACCTTCTTCTCGGGCATCTCAAACTCGGTTAACGGCACACGAGCCTCCTCGAGGTGCTTCAAGAAGCCAACTTCATTGGGTTGCAAGAACATCAAACTCTTTCCCTTGGTGTTGGCACCTCTGGCAGTACGACCAACACGGTGAATGTAGTCTCTTGGGTCATCCGGAGGGTCGAATTGCACAATCCAGTCAACGGCAGGGATATCGAGACCACGAGCTGCAACATCGGTACAGATCAAAGTGCCCTGTTTGGCGTTGCAGAACTCGAAGAAAGTGTTTGTGCGCTTTTGCTGCTTTTGCTTGCCGTGGAGATCCAGAACGGGCAGGTCAATGTAGTTGAGGAGTTCGGCGTAGTATTTGACACAGTTGCATGACGAGAAGAAAACAATAATCTTCTTCTTGGGGTGTTTCTTGAGGAAGGTGAACAGCAGACGGAAACGCATATCAGGCTGGCAGACAATGAAGCCCTGCTCCAGACCTTCTACGGTACTGTGCTCTTTTCTGTGGTCAACGTTGATGTAAAGAGGTCCAGGTCGCAGCGAGATTCTTGCAAGATCCTCGACCTTTGTTGTCTGGGTGGCTGAGAAGAGCATGGTCTGTCTCTCGTCCTTGGGCAAAATCTTGATGATCTGGCGCATTTCATCTTCGAAACCGACTTCAAGGATGCGGTCGGCTTCATCGATAATCAGAGCCTTGATGTTCTTGTAGACAAAGCCCTGGGTGTTTTGCAGGTGATCGAGGAGACGTCCAGGTGTAGCGATGAGCAAGTTGACACCCTTGACAAGCTTCTCGGCCTCAGCGCGGCGGTTGGCTCCTCCAATGACGATACCGAAGGTCTGCGAGTGGTGGGCCATGAGCTCACGGGCGACACCGAAGATCTGAAGAGCGAGTTCACGGGTAGGCGAGACGACAATGACACCAGTACCTGAACAGCATAATTAGTACAAAGTCGACAGGATAAATCAGACAGGCACATGCTTACCGTTTCTGGGCTTAAACTTGAGCGAGTGCAGCATCTCAATGGCGGGAATCAAGAAAGCCAGAGTCTTGCCGGAACCAGTCTTTGCAGCACCCAGAACATCCTTGCCGGCAAGAAGAGGCGGGATACCTCTTGCTTGGATCTCGGTCATCTTCTCAAACTTCATGTCGGAAAGAGCCTTGAGTGTCTTTTCGGAGAGGTTGATGTCGGTGAACTTCTCGGGCAGGGCGTCCTGTCCAGGGAGGGAGACTCCAAGCGCTGAGGGCAGATCTGAAGGCTCGCCAATGTCCTGCTTCTCGACCTCTGCGCCGTCCATGTTCTCGTCTGCCTCCTCTTCATCGTCGTCGCTGACGTTGGCGGCTGCGGACTCAGCGGCGGCCTCGCGCAACTCCTCATTTACTTCCTCCTCCTTCTCGACATCCTTTGCTCTTGCTTCGGCGGTCTTTGACTTCTTGCGGGGCTTCACTTCCGCATCCTGAGCGGCGACAGTCTCTTTGGCGACGACGGGGGCGGGCGCATCGGCAGACTTGGAAGAGCCGTGCTTTCTCTTTCTCTTCTTGGATGCGAGCTCCGGGTTCGACATGTTGATATGCTGTGGTAAATGACGGATGACAGGCGAAAAGTCGACAGCCCAGCAAAGTTTGGTCGGGCAGATCTTCGAACAAAAAAATTAAGGTTATCGCAGCGCGTGACGCCAAGCACAGATTATCTTATCAGATCAAGGTCGCCAATCCCCGAAACACCGAACAGACCATGCGAGACCCTTTCGACATCATCAACCACCCATTAATCATACCACCGGTGACGGATAGATTGGCTGGATATGATGACTCGCATATCCATCGTCCTTGACTTTCATGAAGTCTGTCACAGCCTACAGTATAACAGTGTATAGCCTATGCAGAGATGCTCATAGCCAACCCCTCTTCTCTCCCTCCACAGCAAGCTGAGTGCCGCTGTCTCAATCTCCGAACACGAACAGGAGCCGTGTCGAACCATGGATATCTTCGCTTGCGACTATTCATCCTTTCTCCTTTCCAACACGACTGCATGATGATAATCGGTTTCTAGACTTCGCGTTTTGAGCCCTTCTTCTGGAAGCTGTTGGCAATCTTGTGAGTGTGGTCCAACGGTCAACTGCCCGTTGCTAGGAAGATTAGATCCACGCCGTGACAACAACCGTACTGATATGTCGCCCTGTACTACAACAATACCTTTGCATAGACCTACCACTTTCAGTACTTGTATATAGTCTTACATAAGGCCGCGTATTGTGAGAACGACGCTGCTCGGCACCGTCCTCGCCCTGACCGCACTGGCACGCCGCGTTTTGCACACAAGTATATGCTGCTGTGAAAGAATCATCACGCGCAGGCCCAGTCCTGCCAGACAGATTATTTTAAGATGAGTGCCAACCATGTCCAAGACCTTTGTACTCATTGTTTGTCTATACCAAGGCTGGCGCAGCTTGTGCTGTTGTCCGTATGCAAATACGCTGGGGCTGGCCAAGAAGATCCCTATCCGTATTATGAAGCTTGGCGACTCAGATCGAGATAGCATGCGACAACTCCGCTGCTGATCTCTGAAGAATGCCTCCAGAGGACGATGGGAAATGATGTTTTCATGCCGAGCAGGTGAAGCAACGGCCACACTGAATTGCAAGGAGAAGAGAAGACATGAGGGGATGGGAGAGCACCAGAGACTTTAAGCAGTGCTGTCGCTGTACAAAGGCCGTTTACGGGACTGCATAGCCGTTGTCTATTTTGAGCACGCGCGGGTTCTGTTTAACCAGGTGATCCTGGGAATGATGCTGTGGCTTTACGAGTCCGGCTGCTACGGATGTCGTCTTGTAGGTGAGACTTGAAGAAAAGGCCTGAGCCGGCGTGTGTACGTAGCCAGTGTACAAACTCAACAGAAGTCGCAGGGATTGCGATGGACAAGAAGTAGCATCGACAGGGCTCGATGGCGTTTCAAATGGTTTCCCCAGCTTTTCTTGGTGCCGCGTAATAAACAGCAGTATGGTGGCGCACTGATCGCCAAACGGGAAGAGTGGACTGGAGCGCCGTCTCAGGTCCAGGACCCCTGAAGAGCGAGCGTGTGGGATTGGATTGGATTATTGCTCGAAAACAAGCTGCACAGCCCCCTTTGTCCAACAGCCAATCTGGCACGTAAAACAGCAACCCCGATGCAGGCGCCCATACGGCAGCGCTGCTTCAAATCAATTTTCATCCGTTTCTTACAACGCTCGCCTTGTCCTTGAGAATCTGTGACGAAGGCAACCAAGGATCTGCTTGTCCGACTCGGAAAAAGGAAAAAGATCGTAGCGGTCGTTGACATCAGCTGGCGTGGCTTTGGCGCTAATCTGCGCTTGTTGATCGGGTCACGCACGTCTTCCGTCTTTGGGAGGCCCTTTTGGCTGTGTTGAGGGTCGTGTTTCTCGCCTTTTCGTCGTTCGGATTCCTGCTGCATCCCACGTTCGTTGCCCTTTCCACTGAACGAACCGCCCGTCGCCGCTGCACTTGCTGCAACTGCTGCACCCGCCGCGACTCGTCACTTCCAACTTTCCTTCCCTTCATCTCCAACTCTTGCCCTTCTATTTTCCCCATTCCCAGCCTCCCCGCGCGCCTTCCCTTTTTCCCATCATCCACGCACGCCGTCACTCGCTCAGCAGTCTCTCGACGTCAAGACTTGACTTTCCACTCTGTTCCGGTTTTAGCAGAGCTGTCTCAGGCCCAAAGAGTCCTGTCGTCCGCATTTACATTCCAACCACCCATTTGCCATCAAACACACACCCACATCTCCGACCACTCACCTCCCCACTCGTTCTTGTCGCTCTGAGTCGCGACACCATCTGCAGCATTGCACGCCTTTACCAACATTAGCATACTGCTTCTCCGGCACTAGCATCACCAGCAGCATTTATTAATTGGTATTTTCTATTGCTCGCCCAGCATGCGTCCTACAAGGTCGCCTCTAGGCTTCCTAATAGCCCTCCTCGCCGCCCTTCTCCCTATGACCCAGGCTTCCGGCATCAACAATGAGCGTGTCATCTCGTCTTCATCGCTTAGTACGTGTATGGCGAACTCCAACTTCTCGGCCACTCTGTTCAATGTCGCCTTCACTCCTGACAACCGCACTCTTACCTTCAACGTCGTTGGTATCACCACAATCTCTGGCAATGTCACCATCGACATGGTCATCAGCGCATACGGCTTGTCCATCTTTAAGAAAACATTGGACCCTTGCCAGGAAGGATGGGCTGGTTTGTGCCCCATGAACGAGGGTCAGATTGACCTTGACTCCAACATTGTCCTGCCTGCCGATGCAGTCAGCCAGATTCCTGGTAAGAAGTCTCGAGTTCTCAATCCACGAGTTGTCCACTAATTTACCATGCTAGGCATCGCATACACCGTTCCTGACCTCGACGCCAAAGTCCAAGTTTACGTTAACAGCACCGACACTGGTAGAGCCACTGCTTGTGTGCAAGCTGAACTAACCAACGGCAAGACGGTCGACCAAAAAGGTGTCTCATGGGCTGTCGCCGTTATTGCCGGCCTCGCTCTACTTGTCTCTGCCATCACTTCGGGTCTTGGACACTCCAACACTGCTGCTCACGTCGCTGCCAACACTCTTGCCCTCTTCGGATACTTCCAGGCACAGTCTCTGGTCGGTATGACTGCTGTTCCTCTTCCGCCCATTGTCGCTTCGTGGACCCAGAACTTCCAGTGGAGCATGGGTATCATTCGTGTCGGCTTCCTTCAAGACATCGCTACCTGGTACCAGCGCTCTACCGGAGGCACTCCCAGCACTGTCCTGTCTGAATTGTCGACTGAATCTGTCGAGGTGCAAAAGCGTTCTCTTCATGCTGCCCAGCGCCTCATCGCCCGCGGTGTTATGAAACTGCACCAGCTTATGCCTAGAGCAACATCAAGCACTACTGACGCCGCCACCAAGACTATCATTCTGCGTGGTATCGAGCGTGTCGGTTTCCGCGCCAAGATTGAACTGACCAACATCTTCCTTACTGGATACATCTTCCTCCTCATTTTCGTCGTCTTTGTCGTTCTCGGAGTCATCATCTTCAAGTTCATTTGCGAAGGTCTCGTCAAGATGGGTAAGATGAAGGGTGACAAGTTCCAGGACTTCCGCAACGGCTGGACCACCGTTCTCAAGGGTATTCTTTTCCGTCTGGTTCTCATCGGTTTCCCTCAAATGGTCGTTCTCTGTTTCTGGGAGTTCACCAAGCGTGACTCGGCTGCCGAAGTCGTTCTTGCCGTCTTCACTGTCTTCACTATGATTGGCATACTCGCCTGGGCTTCTTCCAAGGTCATCCGTCTTGCCCGTCGTTCCGTCTCGATGCACAAGAACCCTGCCTACATCCTCTATTCGGATCCCGTCTCGCTTAACAAGTGGGGTTTCCTCTACGTCCAGTTCAAGGCCACTGCCTACTACTTCATCGTCCCAGTCTTGGCTTACCTCCTTCTCAAGGGCATGTTTGTCGCCTTTGGTCAGGGTAGTGGCACACTCCAGGCCATCGCCTTCCTCATCATCGAGGCTGTCTTCTTCATTGTTGTCTGCGTCCTCACCCCGTACATGGACAAGAAGACCAACGCCTTCAACATTGCCATCTGCTTCTTCAACTTCCTGAACTCCATTTTCCTGCTCTTCTTCACTGGCATCTTCTCTCTACCTGGCCTGGTCAATGGTGTCATGGGTATCCTCTTCTTCATCTTCAACGCCGTTTTCTCTTTGATTCTCCTCATCTCCATCATTGTCGCTTCGGCATTCGCCATCTTCTCCAAGAACCCCGACACCAGATACCAGCCCATGCGCGACGACCGTGGTTCCTTCATCAAGTCTCAAACTCAACTCAACACGGAGCTCGATGCCCTGGGTGCTACCGCTCGTGGTGAAGGCAAGACTGGCTGGAAGGGTGCTCGTATCGAAGACGATGAGGACGGCTGGTCTGGTAGTTCCACTTCCGAGCCTCGCATCGGTGGTAACAGCTCTTCAATGGCCGGCAGATATGGCGAGATTCCTCGTTCTCCTCACGACGCTAGCATCTCGAGCTTCCCTTCGGATGGTGGCTTGCCAAGACACAACCCTCCCACATATCTCGACGAGAAGACTGGTTTCACAACGCCAGATGTGCGCAGCAACCACAGCACGAGCCCAGCACGCTCGCCACAAATACAACAAACAGGCAGAGCGAGCCCGTGGCAGCGTGGAGCCGGCTATGAATAAAGGCAGCGATATGTTTAATTATTGCAGGTCATGACTTTTCCTTTTATCAAACTCTTTTTTCATTTGCTCACACATTTTCTTCACTGTTGCAGGCGGCTTCTCGATGGAAAATGGAAGCCAAAACATGTATCAACACAAGCTATTCTCCAAAAGACTTGACAAAGGCACACGATCCTTTTGAAAAAGTGACGATGGTCTTTCACATCTTTTCATTCGCCAGGCTTGCTCCTGTGCAACATTCTTGTTTCTTCTTTTTTTTTTTCCTTTTTTGGTTTGTCACAGGGACTTAGGAATACCATTAGGGTTTGCAGAATACCCTCAGGAGTGGCGTCTAGGCCT